ACGTGCGCGCGGAGTCGCCGGCGCAATCAAACAATAGATTTTTGTAATATTTGCTTTTGGCTTGTTTAATTTTAAAATTTACTAAATTTCTTATTTTTTTATAGTCTTCTCTGTACATTTGATTTGTTTTATTTCTTTTGCATTTTAAGAAGTATTTATCTCGGATTTCAGTCAAGCTGACAATTTCTTCTGTTATCCATTCATTACCATTTTTTCTGGATCTTGAATTATTAATATATTTTCTTTCAACATTGGCTTTCTTTATGAGCTGAATTATTTCTGCGATCTGTGATATCGGGTTTTTATCTGGATCTTCTAAGTCGATGTGTTTATTCCAGTCAAAGCGACTAAGCATTTTATATACTTCTGCATTATTTATTTCATCTTTGTAAGTAATTTCTTCGTTTTTAATTTTACTAAATAACATTGAGCAGGTCATGTAATGATCTGAAACTTTCATTTTGATAACTGATGATAAATTTTGATATTTGTTAAATTTGTGATACACGTGGTCGATCAGAGTGGTGGAGTAATTATTTCCACAAAATTCTTCGCGCGTCGGCGAGAAAATGCACCGTTCTAAACCGAATTCTGCCATTAGGTTTTGGTATTTCTCTATTGTGGTGTCACTCTCGTCCAACAAGTTCAAATTAATATCACCTGTTATGAGAAGGTCGCTTTTATCAGCGTTACAAGAAACATCTGCTTTTATTAAATAATTTTGGAGCTCGTCTAAAAAGTATTTTTTATTGCTGGAAGGTGGCCGGTATAATGCCAGCAGCAAAATATCATTATTTATTTTTATTTCTAGACTCTCTGCTGTATTAAAATCAGTATTTTGTATTTTTATTTTGAAAGAGTTTCTATAGAAAATTATTATTCCGCCGCCGCGGCCAACTTCACGCGGCTTTGCTACTTGAGAGAAACCTTCGATTTTATACTTATTTAAATCTTCCTCTTTACAATTTATTTCTGTGAGTACAAGAAAATCGATTTTTTTAATATCTTCATTCATTGTACTTAAAAAAGAGTTAAAGTTTGCATTAATTGATCTGATATTCAGATGTGCTATTATGTAATTTACGTATTGGTTTTGCATAAATGATTTTGCAGTAATGTAAAAAATTTCAATTTTTGCAGCATTAGTTAAAACTTGGTCATGATAATTGGCTAGATCAGTCATTTTGAGGTGCTTGCGATGTTTTCATCGGATTTTTATCTATTTTCTGATCGGCCCCTTTGTTCAGTTCAATTTTTGTGATAATGTCTGCAGTTGTTCTGATGCGCATTGCCACGGGAGTTTTCTCGTCTTTGCGAGCAAAGATTTTTCCTCCTTTCGTCCACACAAATTTAACGCCATTCTTGGTGGCTGCTGTGCGCGTATCAAAAAGCAACTGCCTGTTTTTGAAAGTGAGTTGCTCAAATATGCTGATGGATGGCTTTTGCGGGCCGCGCGAGCCAGCGGCGGCGCCGGCCACCGCGCTATAGGGCCTAGCGTAGTTTTTGAACTCCTCGCTTTTTTTCCTATCCAGCCATTTTTGTTTATCCTCAGCATATTTGAATTTGACGACAATTACTTGCGGCTTATTTTTTGTTGTCCGGCCGCGGTAAACTGCCTCAACGTTTTCTGCAGTTTCGGGCACTTTCATGACCTCGGCAATGTCTCTCACAACGGAATGCAAATCTTCGTTGTTTTTCTTTTGTACGCCGAGAATTTCGACATTTAGAGCGAGCTTTTCTTGCTCGAGGTCATTCACTTGCAGCTGCAGTGTAGCAGTTTGCTCTTTCTGGTCTTCGAGAGCCTTGTTTGTTTCATCAATTTTCTTTTCAAGTGTTTTTATTTTTAGGTTTTGATCATTGACAGTTTTTTTGAGCTGATCAAGCTCGTTCAGCACCTCCGCGAATTTGCCATCTACGTGCTTGCTTAAAGTGTCTGAAATCATTTTTTGGTTCATTTTAGCTTGCAGCACGGGCATATATTCGCTGAACACAAATTGACCAGTTGCTATGGTGGTGGGCGAGTTGTTGCCTTTATTGCATTTGCTGCATTTCCAGGTGCGCGAGCTGCCTTTACCTGTCTGTGATAACGACACCAACATGTTGAGGCAGCTCACGTGCGCACCCGAAGAGCAAGCAGTGCTCGAGCATGCATGTGTGGTGATGCTCCCCAAATCACAATAGAATACAATATTTAACTTTGGGCATATGAATAATATACAGTTCTAAGTGAACTTTCTGACACTGTATCGCGCAATATAGTAAAAAGATATGTCACACTTCTCAATTTATTTGCCACTTTTTCACATTGTAGGTGCCAGTTAAGTGTATCATTTATTGTCACTGTTTACAATTATTTACTGCTTCAATATCCGTACTATAAATTTCAATCTCTGGAGGGACAACGTTTCTAGTTTGGTGTGTATGCATCTGCATAACCTTAGTCTTACTAGCATTTATTTTTAACAGGTTTTCGTCAGCAAACTCGACAATTTCTTTATTAGTTTTGATAGTGTTTATATTTGTTTGTTGTATGGTTTTCCCTTTAACTAAAACTGTGGAATCGTCAGCAAAAAGGATCAAAATAGCAATTAAAATTCGAAGTGACAGGTCATTCGTGTACGAAACAAAACTAGTTGGACCCAGAATTGTTCCTTGCTTCACTCCCATATCTGATACTAGTCTCTCCGAATTGATTATTATTTCAGTTCCGTCGCAGTCTGTATCTCGTATTTGTACATATTGTTCTCTTTGTATTAGGAAACAGTGTAACCATGAAATTGCATCGTCTGTAACACCATAGATTTTAAGTTTGCGTAATAGTAATTGAGGGTACAAAGTATCGAAGGCGTTAGAAAAGTCGTACAGGATTACGTTAATTTTTTCGCGTGCGTCATTTGAAGCATATACCTGTTTTGCAAAGTCAAATAAAGCTGTTACTGTACTTCTCCCCTTTTGAAAACCGTGTTGTTCTGGGTTAATTATATATTATTTTTGTCGAAATAATATTGTAATCTATTTAGAAATACCTTCTCGTTGACTTTTGAAAAGGCAGATGTAATTGCAATAGGTCTGTAATTTGTTGCCTCTTCCTTTTCTCCCTTTTTGAAAATTGGGATAATTTTCGTTATTTTCATATTTTTTGGGAATTTGCCAGATACAAAAGAACAATTTATCAAATGACATAGTGGTTGAAGTATGAACAATTCAATTCAATTCAATTTTATTGTTGTTCTGTTAGACAAGAATATTAACAGTAGTCTTTAGAACATGTCAGGTCTAAAATTAAAATTTAGAGAAAAAAAACCCGTTGCTTAGGGCAAAGGGAAAAAACTGTAGGATTATAGCGCGAGAGGGAAATACGTTTGAGGGTTTTTAGTCAATAAAATAGCTATAAAAACATCAAATATTTCAAATAACATTCAGTGATTGAGCTCGCACGCCATTGTACATTGTAATTCGACGGGGATTTGACTAACCCTCATAGCTTACTACAGGGGAAAACCACCCCCGAAAACCCTGTAGCTTAGCTCACTCTGTTAATTCTAGGCACTCAAAGTTACATCTCCAATATTCGTTCGTTGGTGCCGGGTTCAAGATGTGACAACCTTTTAGGTCCAGTCTAGGGAACTGGACCAGGGTGCGGAATTGCACAGCTTATTGATCCAGAACTACTTAATAGCTGGTGCCGGGTCAAAGAGCCAACCTTTGTAGCTCTGCACTCTGAGTGCGCTCTGACTAAAGCTTTAGATTATCGCCTTAACTAATAATATTGATGCGCTTCTTATTAAATGAGTTTACTCTTGTATCATTTTATTTCAATTGACTGACCCTCACTCGTAAATAATGCCTTCGGTTCACCCTGCAGACGTAACGCCCAAGGACACAGCCCGCCGGGAGTGCTGTAAATATATATATGTATATTACATGCACTCAAAATATAATTATTCTTTATATTACAGTAATAATAGTTGTCTCACAAACTCTGTTGATAACTTTTCTCATTGGAAAACAGTTTTCAAAGTACGAAAACGCCCGATATCAAAAGTGACTAGGCCACAGCAGTAAACCAACAGTATCGAAAAAATGAACAATCACAAACACTTTAAAATCTTGAATTACTGCCACAAGTGCTCCTTGCAGAGGGAGGGAAATTTGCTTGAGAGACAGTCTTTAAGGGCATGTGGCAGGTCGTTTCGGGGCTTGACGATTCTGAAGGAAAAAGCTTCGCTGCTGAAATAAACTACACTTGTTGGTCTTGTTTGTGAAAATGGGCAAGAGAGTGCCTAAGAGTAGTCTCAGACAGGTATACTTTGCATACGTGCAAAGCCATATCTTGTACTCGATTATTATCTACGGTGCCTCCCCATACTTTAATCTTGTCGCTATCGCGCAAAAACGGGTGCTGCGGGCTATGGCTGGCAAACGGTACTGGAAAGGACCCGATCCACTTGAGTCATGCAGACAACTATTCAAAGACTTTGACATCCTCCCAGCGTTTTCTTTGTACATATTGGAGTGCGCGAAGTTTGTAAAGAAATACCCTGATAAATTTGCCAGAAACAATGAGGCAGAGGAAGTTCACGTCTACAATACGAGAAACAAGCCAGTCAACGAAGAAGACCTTCACATACCCCCAGTGACACTAAACTTGACAGCGCAAAATCCGGCGGTCATGATCGCTCTAATTTACAACCACTTGCCTGCCGAGTTAAAACAAATTGAAGATCAAAAGACATTCACCCTGAAACTGAAACAAGTGCTAAGTGAACACAACTTCTATGACATACACGAATACTTCCTGTGCAGTTTTGACAAGTGAAATTTCACGCGCTAATCTTATAGTTTTTTCCCTTTGCCCTAAGCAACGGGTTTTTTTCTCTAAATTTTAATTTTAGACCTGACATGTTCTAAAGACTACTGTTAATATTCTTGTCTAACAGAACAACAATAAAATTGAATTGAATTGGAGAGGTTATTAATTGAAATTTTGTCTGTTTCAGGAATTGACCGAACTGCATCATGATAATGTGGTGGCACTCTTGGACTGCAAGGTAAAGACTTCTTCTCTCATTTGAAAATTCATTGCCAATATTGGCTTTTATAGGCAGCTTGTAAAATAAGATTGTCAAATGATACTTGGTTTTTAAAAAAAATTCAACTTTTGTATAGAAGTAGCCAGTAAAAGTTGGACTTAATGGCATAAGAATTTTTCAATTTAACTGCAGAAGATGTAGTAAAAATATCATTTTGTCAATTAGTTAGTGTGTGTGTGTGTGGTGTGTGCGTGTGTGTGTGTATGTGTGTTATTGTATCTTTGTGTGTGTTGACAACTCAGTCTGCCATTCGGTCCGCGCGCGAAAACTGGCTGTGGAAATTGGGAAAAGGCCCAAATGGGAGCTCTGAATTCTGGCGGTATATAAATGGAAAAACAAAGGTGCCAAATAACACCGCCAGTTTTGAAGTGCGAGGTATAAATGTGACGGAACCACGCGAGGTGGCAGCTGGCTTCAGCGACGTGTTCAAGAATAATTTCTCGCGAGTCACAAATATTTTCCCATTCATTAGGCGCACTCCGGCCAGCGTAAATTCTCCGGCTACTACGCTATGTGAGGTGGTATGCATACCTTCGCTCGTGCACAATCAGCTGCAAGCAATAAAGGCGAACGCTGCGGCCGGCCCCGACGGCCTGCCTGCAGAGCTGCTGAAAAACTGCGCCGCCTCACTCGCACCTAGTCTCGCTTTTCTTTTCAATAAATCTCTCGAACAGGGCGAATTACCCGCGGATTGGAAAACGGCCGCCGTAACACCCATCTTCAAGGACGGAGACAGGCAGGACATGCAAAACTACCGCCCTATTAGTGTTACATCGCTAGTCGGAAAAGCACTCGAGAGAATTGTTCGGGACCAAATTTGCGAATTTTTTGAAAAAGAAAACCTAATTCCGGCCACTCAGCATGGCTTTCGCTCCAAACGCAGCTGCGTAACACTTCTCACGGGAACCATTGACAACTGGACGGCGGCGCTCGATGAGAAAAGCGGCTCGCACTTGCACGCTGTTTTCCTGGACTGGAGCAAAGCGTTCGACCGAGTCCCGCACGCGCGCCTGCTCTCGAAACTGGACCACTACGGGATTAAAGGGCGCCTCCTGTCGTGGCTCAAAAGTTTCCTAGTCGGTCGCTCCCAATTTGTTACGTTCAACGGAGGCAAATCCGAACCCTGTGAAGTTTCCTCTGGTGTTATCCAGGGTAGCGTCTTGGGGCCCCTTTTGTTCAACATTTTTGTGGCCGACCTCCCAGAGTGCGTGGCAAACAGCCAAATCGTCCAGTACGCCGACGACGCAACAATTTACAAAAGAATCACCTGCCAAGAAGACGCCGACCAATTGCTAGATGATTTGTGTAATGTGGACATTTGGTGTGCAAACAACGGGATGAGTTTAAATGCGAAAAAGTGTAAAGTGATCGACATTTCTCACGCGCGCGTCCCCCTGTATTTTATGTACACCCTTGGCGAAACCGTCCTCGAGTACGTCAACCAGCAAAAATTGCTCGGCGTCAATATTTCCAGCGACCTTCGGTGGCAGGTCCACACAGATATCGTTCGGGCAAAGGCGGCGCAAACCCTCGGCTTCGTGGCCCGCAACCTGCGCGGCTGCACCCCCCGAGTTAAAAGAATCGCGTACCTCTCTCTCGTAAAGCCAGGAATGACCTACGGACTCCCTGCATGGCACCCGACGACGCAGGTTAACTTTAAAAAGCTCGATAGAGTGCAGAAACGGGCGCTGCACTTTATTCACGGCCGCACCCTTCCGCCGGCAAACGAGCAGAGAGTTATGCCCCTCGACATGCACCTCAGGTACACCGACCTTCTCTTTTTTAAAAAGTGCCTGAGCGGCGAGACTGATTTTGACGCGCGCGCCCGAATCATCGAGGGCCGAGTGCTGCGAGGCGACAATAGTCAGCATCCCCGCCTCCAGCCACCCCCGGTCCGAAGTGTGTTCGGCCAGCGCGCTTTTTCCTTCAGGGTCGTCAAGCCCTGGAATGACCTGCCACCGACCCTCAAAAACTGCCCAACCAGCAATTTTCCCTCCCTTTGAAAGCAGCATTTGTGGCAGCAATTTTAAAGTGTCGTGATTGTTCTTTTTTTTCGATAGTGTGGGTTCACGCGGTGGCCGATCTCTTTTTGATGTCGGGCGTTTTAGCAGACCTCTGCTAGTTGTGATACCCTTTCTGCTCATTTTTCCAATTTAATTTTTTTTCATGTATGACTTGAGTAGAATAAACAACAATAATAATAATAATAGTGTAGTTGTGTCGTGTTTGCGTTATTAAAAGGGTTTAAAGGTTTCGTTTTGTGGAGGTTCAATATTGGTGAAGAAAGATCCGATTTTGCGCGCCCTTCAAAAAGATATTGCTTCAATTAGATTAGATGTGCGACGTACGTAGCTCCAAAAGAATTTGTTGCCTCCAGGGCCGCGACCAAACTCCCACATCCATCTGTCACGCGCGAGCCGCACTGCCCTCTGGACCATTTTTCGGGCTTTTTCAAATTCGGCTCTGCTGAAAACAGATTTGGATTTCTGCCAGGTGGAATAGAGCTTATCTCGCGCAGCCATTAGTTTGCTCAATTCTTTAGTCAACCAGGGGGCGCACTTCCTGCGTCGGGGGCGGCATTTTTTCTAAGGAACCAAGTTTTCCAAAGTTATGAAACTCATCACTCCATTTTTCCCAGGCCTCTTGAACTTTTTTTTCCGGCAAATTGAATTAATTCAAAGTTCGCCTGCAACTGCTCACTTAGCTCCAGCCAGTTAACGTTTTTTAAGTTGAAAGTTCAATTCATTTATTCTCTCGCAACAAGTCAAACAGAAATGGAAAATCACATTGGGAGAGAATTGGCAGCCAGCTCTAGTAAACAACTTACTAAAACTCATAGGCCCAATTAGGAAGCAAAAGTGTTTCCAAATTAAACCTACTCGCCGAGCTAGAGCCGTAAACGGGAAAAATTTTATCAAAGGGTCACATATTCTTTACATGCAATTTTAAACTCAGGAACCGTACAATTTTTTAACGCAGAATGCAGGGAATTCCACTGATCCGCGAAGAAAAACTTTGTGGACCGAGCTCTGTGCGCACTTTTGGGAGAATTAAACGGTGCTTGAACTTGAGCTGCTGCTGCACCGACAGCAACCCGTGTTCGGCCGCGTCAGGGATGTGCCGCCCGTACACAAACCTGAGGGCTCTTTTTTGCACTCGCTCGAATTTTTTGATGTTGGTATCGTAGGAGGGGTGCCACGCGGCGGTGCCGTAGAACAGGAGCGGTTTCACCATCGTCTGGTAGGCCAATTTTTTCACGCGCGGCGTGCAGCTGTGCAGATTTCGCGCCGCGAACGAGAGCACTTTTGCTGCTTTGCCGCGCGCGATGTCCGTGTGTTTGCTCCATCGCAGGTCTTTTGACACTTGGACGCCGAGGAGGCGCTCGTCGGTGACGTACTCGAGGCTGGAGGCGCTGATTTTGTAGACGTCGTGCCGACGTGTCCGGGCGCGCGTCACGTCCATCACGTGGCACTTGGTCGGGTTCAGGGACATGCCGTTGTTGTCGCACCACGCCCGGACACTGTCCAGGTCGGCCTGCAGCATAGTGACGTCCGAGAGCTTCAGAATTTCGCGCCAGAGTGTGGCGTCATCCGCGTACTGAACCAATTCAGAGTCAATGTTAGTGGGCAGGTCGGCGACGTAGATGTTGAACAGCAGCGGCCCCAGGACGCTGCCCTGGATGACTCCGGACAGGACACTTTCAGGTTCTGATTTTGCTCCTCCATAGACGACGAACTGGCTGCGGTCGGTCAAAAAACTTTTCAGCCAATTTAGGAGGTTGCCGCCGACGCCATAGTGGGCGAGTTTGGACAGCAGACGGTCATGTGGGACGCGGTCGAAGGCTTTGGCCCAGTCCAAGAAGATGGCGTGGACGTGCGTCCCGCTTCTTTCGTCCAGCCTGCTGGCCCAACTACAACTGGATATTTCTCACGCACTTGATCGGTTGGAGTTCGTTTACAACCTCGGTGAATCGGTGCTTGAGTACGTGGACAAGGAGAGAATGCTCGGCGTCCACATCGCGAGAGACCTTCGGTGGCAGGTCCATACAGACATTGTATGCATCAAGGCGTCCCAATCTCTCAGGTTCGCGGCCCGAAACTTGCGCGGCTGCACCCCTCGCGTCAAAAGAATTGCGTATATCTCTCTCGTCAAGCCAATCATGACTTGCGGACTCCCTACGTGGCACCCCACGTTGAAGGAGAACGTCAACAAACTCAATCGAGTGCAGAATCGGGCACTGCACTTCATTTACGGCCGCACCCTTCCGCCGCCAATCGAGCAGAGAATTATGCCAATTGACATGCACCTCAGGTACACCGAATTTCGAAAATTACATAACTAATTTGCGCGAAAAGCCCTCAATCATTGTAATAAATGAGCATTGGCTCTGTTCTAAGGAAGTCAAACATTTTAGCATAACTAATTATAAAACTGTTACTTTCTTTGGCCGAAAGATAAGAGAAAGAGGGGGAGTGCTAATTTTAGTCAAAAAAGGCCTCAAATTTAATTGCAAGAAACTATTTCCAACTTCTATTGAATTTAGATTCGAAACTTGTGGAGTTGAATTGAAGGTTGCAAATCGAATTATTACGCTTTTGACGGTGTACCGACCGAGTAATCCTGAAAACAGAGATATTGAGTTCTTCATTGAAAATTTGGAAAATCTTATTGAGAAGTTTATAAGTCCAGAGAAAGAAATGTTACTAGTTGGTGATTTGAACGTTGATCTTAACTCAGACAATGCTGATAAAATGAAATTACTGAACTTAATGGATGGCTATGAAATGTCACTGGTAAATGGAATTGAAGCTACCCGGGTTACAAGCACATCAGCAACTTTGATTGATCATGTATTTAGTTCCTTAAAGTGCTCGCATACTTCTTTTGTCAGTGATGTATTTTTTAGCGACCATAGAATGGTGTCTGTTAATTTTCAAATTCCAATTGAACTCGATAGAGATTATTACAAAATTATCAGGAGATTCTCTGACAGTAACTGGACTGAATTTTTCCACCTCTTAAGTACAGAAAGTTGGACCGAAGTTTATGAAAGTGATGATATTGATGATATGTGCTGTAAATTCATGGATAAGCTTACTATGTACTTTGAAATGAGTTTCCCAAAGGAGAAAATATTAATTAGAGTAAATAGGAAAAATAATGCCGATTCTGAGTTTCTTCGTAAGCAAAAGGAAGAATTAAGGCTCTTGGGTGCCCAAATATCTACACTGAAAAGAAATGATCCTAACTGTGACAGATTAAGAAGTCTTAAATTCAAATATAAAAGTAAACAAAAGTACGTTGGCTTTCTCATAAATGATGCAGTCCGAACTCACAATGACCAGAAAATGTTAAAAGCCTCTAATAAGACTGGTATGGCCTGGAAAATTATTAACGAAACTTGCAACTTGAACCAAGATAAACACGAAAATAATATTAAGCAAATTGAAATTGATGGTGAAATGGAAAAGGATTTACAGAAAATTTGCAACTTTTTAAATAAAAAATTTGTTGAACCTCAGGTAAATCTTAGTAGTGATGAAATTGAACTCTGTACTGAGAGTATTGTTTCAAATGGAATAAAATTTACTGCTCAGCCTGACGTTACCCCATTTGAAATAGAAAAAATTTTGAAGTTATTCCCGTCAAAGAAATCATCTAGCTGGGATGGATTATCTATGGATACGTTGAAAAAGATTTCTGGTTATATAGTGTTCCCTGTGGCATTTATGGTGAATGAGTCGTTTCGCACTGGTAAATTCCCGGAAGTGCTAAAATTAACTGTAATCAAGCCATTGTACAAAAAGAAGGGTGAGAAATCCGATGCTAGTAGTTATCGCCCAATAGCCTTAACATCTTCTGTAGCAAAAGTATTTGAGAAATGTTTCCTAAATAGAATTGAAAGCTATTTCGCTGAAAACAATCTCCTTGCGGACGAGCAGCACGGTTTTCGAAAAGGCAGGAGCACAGTGACTGCACTTTTTAAGTTAGTGTCCGAAATCTACGATTCGTTGGAAAATAGAGAAAAAATCAATGTGATTCTGTATGACTTTTCTAATGCCTTTGGGTGTGTCGTTCCCGAAATACTGCTTGCAAAACTGAAAAAATTTGGAATTGATGATGTATCCCTCCTTTGGTTAAAGTCCTTTCTTACTGATAGAAAACAACTTGTTCAACTTTTTGGTGTGGGTGAAAATGGCGAGCAAAAATTATTTGAGTCAACAATGGAAAATGTTTCGATTGGCGTACCACAAGGAACAGTATTGGGCCCTTTTGGCTATTCCTCCTACGGTAATGATATGCCCTTAAAAATCATTGTCGCCGCTCTTATCTTGTTCGCAGATGATTCATCTTTTATTGTAAAGGCTAGAAACTACAAAGCCTTGAACGAAAAAACTGCTGTGGCTAATGACAAAATGATTGATTTTGCCAGTAATAACCGCTTAAGATTGAACGAAAAGAAAACTCAGGTGCTGCAAATGCATACTGCTCAAACTAGTAAATTGGAACCGCCTGTAATCAGAATTAACGACGCTGAAATTGAAGTGGTAAATCAAGCAAAAATACTTGGTGTAATGCTCTCTGATACAATGAACTGGAGCACCCAATGCGATCAGGTTGTAGCGAAACTGAGAAGTACCACGTACCTTTTTGTTAAATTAAGGCAGCGCATTCAAACTAAATTGCTAAGAGATGTATATTTCGCCCATGTTCAAAGTCACTTACTATACTCAATTGTAATTTGGGGTGGGTCGCCTATGTTGCAAAAGGTTTTCATTGCTCAAAAGAGAGTTATCCGTGCGATGGCAGGTAAAAGATACTGGAAGGCATTGACACCTGTCGAGTCTTGCCGACCACTTTTTGAAGAATTTCAGATCCTGCCAGCTTTCTCTGTGTACGCCTTTGAATGTGTTAAATTTTACAAAAAGTATCCTGAATTGTTCCTCAAAAATTCTGAAAGCAAGGTGCACCAGAATCGCAGTACTCGAAATAAACCTGTAGCGGAGCAAGACTTATTTGTCAAACTAAACAGACTGTTGCTGACTGCGCAGTCCCCTCACATCATGATCCCTAGAATTTTCAATCATCTTCCCGATAGAATCAAAAGCATTGATAGTTATCAAGTGTTTAAGAAGGAATTGGAATTAATATTCTACGACAAAATGTTCTATGACGTGCATGAATATTTTTTGTGTAAAATTGTGTGAACTGTATTTTAAATGTATTTTAAATTTAGTAAGCTGTATTATAGTTATATTGAGATATAGCTGTATTACAGTGACCTATTCCAAAGATTATTTCTGTACATATGTTGATCTATACGGAATAAATATTATCTGAATCTGAATCTGAACCTCTACTTCTTCAAAAAGTGCCTGAGCGGCGAGATAGATTTTGATGCGCGCGCCCGAATCGTGATAGGTCGCAAGCTGCGAGGTGACGACGAACAGGACCCCCGCCTCCAGCCACCCTCGGCCAACAACAAGTTCGGTCGCGGCGCTTTTTCCTTCAGGATAGTCAAGCCCTGGAACGACCTGCCACCTGCCCTCAAAGACTGTCCCTCAAGCAATTTTCCCTCCCTTTGCAAGGAGCATTTGTGGCAGTAATTGAAGATTGAAGATTTTAAAGTGTTTGTAATATCGTTCTTTTTTTTCGATAGTGTGGGTTTACCGCGGCGGCCGTGTCTCTTTTGATGTCGGGCGTTTTAGCAGACATCTGCTAGCTGTAAACCCTTTCTACCCTTTTTTTCCAATTTAAATTTTTGTATTGACCGAGAAGACATTCATTGTATCTGAATGGAGAATAAATAAATAAGAATAATTAATAAATAATAATAATAGTGGGTTTACCGCGGGGGCCGTGTCTCTTTTGATGTCGGGCGTTTTAGCAGACATCTGCTAGTTCTTTCTTCTCTTTTTTTTTTCAAATTTAAAGTTTTCGTAGTGACCGAGAAGTATAAATAATAATAGGTATGCTCATAAAAAAATTTTCAAAAAAACCCAAAATCTGGCGAAATTTTCAAAATTTTGAACTGAAATTTTGGATTCTGAAACATGTCATCAACACCTTTTAAATATGACAAATATTTAAAAATGAGGACGATATGATTCCAAAAGTTGGAGCTCACAATTAATCTCAAAATGTCTCCTGCAATATTTGAAAAAACCTTTTAAATTTTCGCTCGTGTTTCAGGAGACTGCAACTTATGTCTACCTTGTGATGGAGGTGTGAGAATTTTGACTTAAACCAGGAATCAGATGTGTAATCAACTATTTTTTTCTGCTTTTACAGTATTGCAACGGAGGTGACTTGGCAGATTATCTTAATGGTTGGTTTGCATTCTGCTTATGTAAATGCTGTTTTTTCATTTTTTTTTATTTTTCTACATTTTAGTGAAGGGAACTCTCAGCGAGGATACCACTCGATTGTTCCTGCGGCAGCTGGCTGGCGCAATGAAGGCGCTCCATGCCAAGGGCATTGTGCACCGAGACTTAAAGCCACAGAACATCCTGCTCAGTCACAACATCACATGCGCAAAGTCTTGTCCGCAACCTCATGAAATAAGACTCAAAATTGGTGCTTATGACTAATATTTTGTATCTTCATACAGATTACTTACATATTCATTCATAGCTGACTTTGGCTTTGCAAGATTTCTGCAAGATGGAGTTATGGCAGCCACTCTTTGCGGATCTCCAATGTACATGGTAATTTCTTTTTCATTTTATAAAGCTCTTTTAAATTAAGCAGAAAGCTGACATATCGTCGCTCTGACGCTCTCGCGTCACTTGTAGGGAGCAAGAGCGGAGCAAGGCAGAAATGAAGGAGCAAAGTGAAAAATTATGGAAGCAGAAATCACAGAGTGCGTAAATTCTGCTCTATCGGGGTTTAGGAGTGATGGCACTGGCAGCGCTTTATCCATGTGTGACACGTGTCATGTGGTCCGAGAGAATTTTCAATTCTCCTGAAATTCTACAATTAAAAAAACGTTCTTAATCAAAATTAAGTCAAAATTCCAGTTATTTCAGAAAGCTGTTAGCTTTAAAAGTTGTTTCACATGCATGCATATTTAAGAGTATATTCCTCAGTTTAAATGTCTTCAAAAATAGGGAGAATTATGCGGGATGCCTTATGTACTAATAAAATTGCTTAAACATGAGAGAGGGCTTGGGAGGGTAAAATAAAAACAGTGTTACTGACCTGTAATTATTGTTGATTGTTATAAACAAATTATTGCAAACTTGTTAAACAACACAGTGCACTTCTCTTTCTCGCACAAGAATGAATCTTATACAAGTCAGCTTGGCTCCTGTGCGAATTTACAAAATCCAATCTGTTTGGGCACCGCGTATTTTACCAACCATTCATTGGCAAAATAGCTCAGTACTTAACTTTTTTTTCTTTACATAATGTACATGAAATTAATATTTGACAATCATGACGTGTGATTTTAAATAATTTTCACCGACAAATAATTTTTTTATTTGCGATTTTATTTTATCATGCGTGCTTGGTTTTGGAGTTTTATTATTTTTTCTTTAAAAACAAAACGAAGGTTTTTATTTACGATTTTAAAGCGTGGAAATTTGTCGAAAATTATTTTTTATGTATTAATCCTTCTTTTTATTGCATCCAATTGCATCGTTAAAAAATTTGCACTGCTGTACTAGAAAATCCCAAATAATAACCTTCGTTTTGTTTATATAGAAAAAATAATTTAACTCCAAAACCAAGCAAGCATGATAAAATAAAATTGCAAGTAAAAAAATTATCGTACATTACACCCCATGATAATTAAGCATTAATATGGTCTTTATTTTCAAGAGGAAGTTTGCTGCATTCATAACTGTGTGTTGAATGCGGAGATTAATTTAGACAAAAGATTCGGACACCACGAAAGATTCTAATTTTGAAAGAGTTAAAAAATTAGAAAAAAAAAATAGTTTTAATATATTGTTTATTTCGGCTTTAAATGATCATATTGAGTGGGGAAAAATTATCAAAAAGTATAAATTACGAATAGAATATATGTAAAAAAAATCTGCAAAAATTTACTGATGTGGGATTTGAACATGGCAATGTCTTGCGTCTTGCATCAAAAACGACTTCAGCGTGTGCCATAAATGCTTATCAAATTTTTGCAGATTTATTCTAAAAAACTATGCATGGTGCAAGATGTTGGCATATTATGTTGAGACCATTGTAGCCAACGCACGCAATTTTGACTTATTTTAAAAAGTTTTTGTAAATCAATAAATATTACACAATTGTCCGTGAAAATTATTTAAAATCACACGTCGATTGTCAAATATTAATTTGATGTTCATTTTGTAAAGAAAGAAGTTAAGTACTGAGCTATTTTGCCAATGAATGGTTGGTAAAATACGCGGTGCCCAAACAGATTCGATTTCGTAAATATACGCCTCCCGTGCCATCTGACACCCCGTCTGGCTCCCTTCCTTGAGTACCAATGATGTTCAAGCACCATTGGTTGCCGAGTAGAGAAGTGCCGGCGTTTTTGCAAGTAAAACTCAAATTTCAATTTCGCGTAAAACACAATAAATTTTAAACTTTGGGGTTCAAGTTTATTTTGTAAACCCCGGGGCAAGAAAAGTTTTTTTCTGTACTATGTTGAAAATGGAGTACTTTGCAATGACTCATTACATGGTGGTGACGTCTCATTAGTCAATATAGGTACTAATAATAATAATATAAATTTCCAGGCCCCGGAGGTGATAATGTCATTACAATATGACGCCAAAGCCGATCTGTGGAGTTTAGGCACTATAGTTTTTCAATGCCTGACTGGAAAAGCTCCATTCCAGGCGCAAACACCTCAAGCCCTCAAGCTGTACTATGAGAAAAATGCCAACCTTGCACCAAAGTAAGTATGCTTATTAAAAATGCCTTTACAAATCTAAACCAATCTACTGCAGAATCCCGTTGGGCACATCACAGGAGTTATCTGACCTTCTGATGGGTCTGTTGAAGCGCAATGCCTGCGACAGGATGGACTTCGACCACTTCTTTGACCACACATTTTTGAATAAAGGTACATGTTCAGCTGGCAGCCCAAAAAGTGTAACAGCCCCTATGGCTGTTCCTGCAAGGAAGCAGACCTCTCCGATGTCTATGACTCAGGGCATTTCTGCCGGGAGTCCTTCTTCCAACAACACAACACCTTCATCAAGTCCCATTCCAGGTGAGGATAATGGAAAAATAAAATTTTGCCAATATTGTTTGCACTGATTATTTTGAAGTTAACATTGCTTCAATTTCAAATATTCTTTATTTTGTTAAGCATTAATTTGCCGTAGCAATAACACTTTTAAAATAAGTCCAGATACAAAGCACCCACTACTCCCATCAAGTTATAGACCAATAGCCCTCAAGACTGCAGAAAAAATGGTGAACCTACGCCTTGAGTCCTATCTTGAGGAACACAGAATCATCCACCAGGAACAAGGTGCCTACAGGAAAAACAGAGGACCAAGTTGCCTTCATTGTTCAGCATGCAAAGGAAGATTTCGCAAAGAAGCACACAACAATAGCCGTACCCATAGATCTCTCAGCAGCCTTCGATGTGACGGACAGAAGCCGAGCCATCAACGAAATGAAAAATTATGGGCTCCCAAAAAACATAATTAAGTGGACAAACAACGTCATCAATAATGGGCGCATCAAAGTAGCTCATTAAGGAGTAAAAAGCAGGACAAAAAGAACTAGAGCCGGGGTGGCGCAAGGCACAATTTTGGCCCCCACTGTCTTTAAGATCGCAACAAACGGGGCCATCGGAATAATCAAGCTCCTCCCAGGCCTCTTCCTCATTGTCTACGCGGACGACTTCCTCCTCATGGCAACTGGAAAAGACGTTGGCGCCCTCCAAATCTCTCTACAGACAGGTGTCCGAAAATTGGTCAACTGGCTGGAAATTCATGGCTTCAAAGATTTAAGATTTATTTATTTTGTTAAGCATTATATACCACATAATATACATAGTAATAACAGCTTTTTAAAATAAGTCAATAGTCAATATACATTATTATTTAAACGATAAAATTCGTTCAGGTCATAGAATTGATGTTCCAATACAAAAGCTTTCACCATTTTTACAAGAGCCTCGTCATTTTCAAGGACTTTTTAAGATTTAGGTAATGCATTAAAAATTCTGGGGATCATGATTTCTGGGTTTTCTACAGATTTCTTGAGCTTAACTTTTTTCACAACCAAATCGTTACAGCAAAGGTTAGTCTGATTATGTCGAGTTACTCTCCTCGTATCTACACTAACACTATATTTCCAAAATAGATTTCTGTTTTGCACTAAGAATTTTATACATTCAAGTATATACAACGATGGCACGGTCATGATATTATATTTAACAAATAATGGTTTACAAGTATCCAACGCTTCATTAGATCTCCAGTAAGGAATGCCCGCCATAGCTCTCAGCGCTCTTTTCTGTGCTCTAAATACCTTTATTAAATGGCTGGAGCCCCCCCCCCCCCCAAATTACAATTCCATACATTATATGACTTTGGACATGAGCAAAGTAGATCAATTTAAGAATATTATCTGACACCTTGTATTTCAGTCTAGTGAACACATGAGAGACTCCTCTCATTTTGCTAACAACCTTATCACAGTGGTCGTTCCAGTTAAGTGTATCATTTATTTGTACTCCCAGAAGTTAACCAGATTTACAGATTTCAATATTTTTATCTTCAATCTTAACATCAGGTTGAACTAGTTTTTTTTTTTTTTTTTTTTGGCTAGTGTGTATTTGTAATATCTTTGATTTTTGTGAATTAATCCTCAAAAAATTATCATTAGCTGACAAAACTTTCATTGACAGCCACCGTTTTAGTATTGACCTCAGGGAAAGACTCTCCCTTGACTATAGCCGTTGAGTCGTCGGCGAACAAAATCAGGAGAGTCAAGAATACAGTAAGGGGAATATCATTTAAATACATGGAAAACCCAATTGGGCCGAGAACTGTGCCTTGCGGCACACCCCTGTTACTTTCTAGTATATCCGAGTTAATAAACTCCTCGTATCCATCACAGCCAAGGTTCTTAAGTTGTACAAATTGTTTCCTATTTGATAAGAAGCAGGCCAACCACGAGAGCAAGTTCTCATTTAGACCGTACTGTTTTAATTTATATACAAGGAGAGGTGGATGAAGAGTGCCAAATGCATTTGAGAAATCATATAAGATAACATTCACTTTTTCTTTTGCTTCTACTGATTCGTACAAAGATGTTACATAACTATATAGAGCGGTTACAGTATTTTTTCCCTTCCTAAATCCATGTTGTTCAGGTATTTGGATATTATTACTATATAAGTGATTTTCCAGTCTATTTAAAAAAGCTTTCTCATACACCTTTGACATTGATGATGTAATCGCAATTGGTCTATAATTTGAAGAGTCTTCTTTATCTCCTTTTTTTAAACAATGGTATAATTTTTGCTAGTTAGGTTGAAACATTTTTCTCAAAAATTTTTTCTAAATGAGCTACAAAACCAATGAATAATTGACACAAAATTAAAATGTTGGCGCCAAAAATTGTCAAATTCTAGAAAACATGGTGTTGTTCATTATTATTATTGCTATTTATTGACTTATGAGGCGTCATTATTGTAGCTTTATTGCATTATGGAATTTATGGATTGTAATCACATAATAATATCTCACGTGTGACCCACCCATTGACAAGTTTGTCAAATGAAATAAAGAGCAGGGGGGAAAAGGAATAAACATATATTTACAAGCACTTTTTGTAATGTTCATATTCTACTTAAAAAACTTGTGAGAACTAACAAATTTATTTAAAGCTTACTAAATAATTTCATATCGATTGGCGTTTGTCTCATATCTGTACAAGAAAATTGAAAAATCAAATACAAAAAATAAAAATTACGCCACCCTTCAAAGGTACCTTTTGACCTAGAAAGAGTAGCGGCAGTGGAAAACTTTAGGATATCTTAGAAAATGTGGATGCACCTCTTTTAGAGATAATGTAATTTTCAGACTGGCATGAATTCAACTGTGCTAGTGCTAGAGAGTGCAACATTGCGCCAACTTTGCAAATCCAAGTAATTTGTAAGCTCAGTAATTTTGAATGTCTCAGCTGAAAAAACGTCAGCAGACCATTTTTGCTGTGACCCTATATTCAGCAGCTGGTTGAGACTTCTAATAAATGATAATAATGTAGGCTTAGATTTTATACTTAGGTGTAATATTATTTGATTCATTACTAGTCAACCAAAAATATTTTCAGGCCATTTGCCGCCATCACCAGGATCGCTTTTGTATCAAGACGTGGCTAAAAGTCCTACTCATCATAACAGAGGCGAAGAACTATGCATTTCCCCCTCTTCTATTGTCTCAATGACGGCCACTACCACAGGACAAAATTTAAGTATTTCTCTTGGTCATGATGATTTTGTTTTGGTCTCCAACCACATCGTGTACGAAGAAAATCCTAGTGAGATCAGCAGCGTAACATTGGCAAGAAAATCTGGTACTGAATTTTCTGAGTGAGTATATGATGTTTCAACTGTTTTTTATCTGGATTAGGTTGACAATTGTACGACTAAAGCTCACGCATCACTTTTTTTGCCTTTGCACCCATGAGCTCATTAGGCTATTGGGTTGGCCTCTTGCTGTAGTCAAGCACCCTTGGCACATTTGTGCTTCCCAACCAACCTGACATTTGGTTGAGGGCTTTTTAGCAGATTTGGCGGTGCTCGCATGGGCCCCCCCCCCACCCCCCTTGAGACCTTGCCACGAAGGACTTTGAATGAAACGCAGGCATTCGCCACACAAGCTGAATTCTTCCAGCTCATGGCTTGGAGGAAACGTGGCAAACCTCTGAATGCGAGTCGGTACAGCTATCACCGTGCCTCTCATATTCCCGACGTGTCAGCCAAAATATTATCAATGATTTGCTTACCATAGGCTACAAACAGCCTCAGGCTGACCATTGATCCCACGGTGGCCATGCAACCCACTGATCAGAATGCAATCACTCGAACCACTGATGAGCCACCGGGGGCTTGATAAAAACTCTTGAATTCAATACATTCATCTCTTTTTTACTTTTGTAGTAGAAGTTCACGGTCGAGGGTTGATTCATGGTGGATTGAATTTAAATTCGGCTTTTCCTCGATGGGTTTTTGTGAGTTTTTATTGTTTAGGAAAAACAATATCCTGCTCTACATGTTTCGGCTGCGGGCTGCAGCCATAATTCATGAGCTTTCTCGGCGGTGGTCGAGAGCAGGATATTGTTTTTCCTAAACAATAAAAACACACAAAAACCCATCGAGGAAAAGCCGAATGTAAATTCAATCCACCATCTTTTTTACTTGTTTAGTACTATGTTGCAAATGGGGCGCGTCGCAATGATTAATTACATTGTGGTGGCTCATAAGTCAATAAATATAAAATTAATAATAACATCAAATTTAAATCAAAACCATAAACTGAAAAGTATGTATATAAAATCATTGAAATTTCTGCAGCTTTGCTTCAAGAAGTCCAAAGTCCGGTTTCCACAAAGCATGCTTCACGCAATCCAGTCCTCCCAGGCCTAGTTTTCTGCCTGTCAGCGAGCAGTCAGGAGCTTCAAATTCTGTGCCAAGAGACAGCAAAGATGGTACCAAGCCCATTCCAGTACCAACACAAAGAAATGCTTACCAGCAAATCCATGGCATTCACCGGTCTGACAACAACAATGTGGAAAGCAGCACTGAAAACATAACCTTAGTGAGAGTAATAAGATAAGAATGTAAAAAAATTGCTAATGGAATTTTTGAATGAATTTGACATATTGCATCAATACTTGAACTCACTAATAATCTTTCCAACAGAATTCTGTGCCAAGATCTCGTCCTATCAGCATGAGACGGCAAAGTGAGCAGATGAATAATGCAGAAATCAACTCTATTTCGCCACCTGCTGTAAGATTGCAATTATTTTGTTAATAGCTTACAAAAAGCTTTGAAACTTTCATTCATTTGTTTAAAAAAAAAAATTAAACAGGTACAGTTCACAATGGGCACCCCACCAGGTGCAGGTCGTCATCGCTCAGCTTCTGGCAGCTCTTGCGGAACCCCACCACCTGTCACTACATGGCAGGTGTCTCCTGTCACTCATTATGCTGTCCTTGCATCCTCAGGTCGGCACGGAACGCCTAATAGTTCCCCAATGCGTCGCTCCGGAGTGAGTTCGTCACCTCTTTTGTTTGCACAAGGAGCGACTGGGCTGCCACCTATTCTGGGGTCTCCCACCAGAATCCAGGCGGCTGGATTTGACAATGCATGCTACCAGGGAGGTGACAGGTGCGGAAATTTGCCTTCAGACTGGATGCTCCTCTCGCCTTTTGTGGCAAGAGCGGTCACCCTTCCTGATTTGACGACAACTGAAAATGGTAAGTAATAAAAATTTAAAAAAATTTCTTAGTTTTACACTTTTACAATATTTTCTGTTATTACCAGAGCTAAAACTAGTAATATTTTCATTAAAAAGACAAAAAAATTGAGGAGAAGTTATGATGTAGACGATGTAGTCAAATCAGGGCATTGTTTGATTTTTGTGAATTTTGGTACTCAAATTTGGTCTCTATGTCTCTAACATAGTTTAAATGGTTAGAAAATGGTCAATCAATAATCAATCCCCTCATTTGTCTTCGCCATATGACTTACATTTTTTTTATGACAATTGCAATTTTGTTGCTGTTATTTCTCCATTTTATAAGCTCAATTGTGCTAATTAGATCATCAATCAAGAAACTTTTTTATCCTTAATTAAATTAGCACATGAAAAAATGATCCATTCATTCTCTTACAATTAGGTGGGAATTAAGTGGGAATTAATTGCGACAGAGCCATCAAGGAGAACGAACCAACAAACTCAACGGTGGCAGTGGCGCGAGCGAGTAGTGGTTCATTTTTCCAGCAGACATCCAGATTAAAATCGCCGGTCATAAAGCATCCATCAATAAATTGGGTGGCGCCTTCTGCACTCCTAATAAAGGGCACAGGCCGACAAGACTTTGTCTTGGCCTGACCTTAGAAAAAAGGAAAAAAAAACTTTTGGCCGCCGCTATTGCGAGGGCCGCGTTGGAAGCCATGTCGGATTTTGGCCGCCGGTACGCAGAGGCGATGAGGAGATGCAGGTTGCCGACTTTTTTTTAGCCCAAACAATTTCCACGCACCCCTCAAGGTGTCCAAGTTGTTTTGGCTGCAGGTGTGAATCACGAGTAGCACCCAACCCGCGGCGCGTCGGCAGCCGAGTCGGTCCTTCCGCGCGGGAGAACCTCATGATTGTGAATATTGGGTGAGAGCCACGTCTTGTTCACCGCACATATATCGGCCGAGTGTGTGTGAATCAGGGATAGAATTTCGGCGGCCTTCTTTCTGTCCTTTAAGGAGCGGGCGTTGAAGGGCATTTTTATTTACCTGGCGCCGCGCTTTTGTGACTTGAGGGAGGGTTTTGAGGAGGCGGCGACAAAAACTCCATAAACAAAGTGTTGAAGGCTGGAAGGGTCCAACTCCAGCAGCGGTAATTTTTATTTTTACGCAGCGTATTGAACTCAAGAGTGTGGTGCAAGACCTTATCTCTCTAAGCCCATATGTTGGCTGTCAGGAATAATTTAGCTCTCATTTACAAATTTTTTTAGCCATTCTCGCACGCAGCCACGCACCACTAATGTTTTTCTGACTAAAGAAGTATCCAGGTATTGGGTTTATCCAGAATTATGTGGGTGGGTCGCACACCCTTACCAAAGCTATTTAATTGCGTTAAAACTATTTCTTAAAAAATTTTCCATGAGCGAGCCGCAATATCGTTCTCAAATCTGCTTGACAGCGATTAATTTTGCATGTAATAAACTGACGCCTCACAAGTAATTTAAGATTAATAATAATAATCTTTTTTTAACCACAGAATCGCAGAGGAGGCCCAACTGTGGTTTGTTCCCAGACCAGAGTGATGTTTTTGGTGAGTCTTCTCCACAAGCAGGTGCAGCAGCTGTAGAAGGTCCTATCACATTTATTGCTCCGGAACTGCCGGAGGAGACACTTTTAGAGGTGAATCTTCATGATTTGTTTGCAAATAGAAAAACTCGAGTCACTTGAGTGCCCCGTTCTTTGATAATTTATGTATAATTCTGTTGAATATAATAGTCTGATTACTAATGTAAAATCATTAATTAAAATATTTAGTTGAAGTTCTTTCAATTTTCAACTTTTCATTTTTAAATCCTAAGATTCAGAAAATATTTATTCTTGTAATATTGACAAATGTAAATAAAATTAATCTGAAGTAAGAGTTACTAAAATTACGTTTTAGAAGCAGTAAAGAATTGAATTGAATAATTTATTATAATATTGATAGTGCCAAAACAAAGTCTCAAAAAAAATTTCACGCTTGTCTTAATCATTGGGGGTTTTTTTTTTTGCAGAGAGAGCACAATGAGACTTTAGCAAAACTGAATTTTGTCCTGGCTCTGGTGGATTGCGTAATTGAGCTAGCTCGTTCCCGTGCCACCCCTTTGCAAGGACTGGCTGAAAGCGTGGCCATGCCCCAAGCAGGGTCTCCTGGGTCACCAGGACAGGGCAATCAATGCACTGACGGACAGCGTAGAGCAGAGCAGTTGGTTCTGCTGGTGCGTGCTCTGCAGCTGCTATCCTCAGGCCTCAATTTGGCCAACCAGGAACTCAAAGCAGGACGTCTGCAACCGTCATTCACTGTGAAAAATGGTGATTTTGAAAACTGAACAAAAAAGTTGTAAATTTACATTATTTCTTTCCCAGTCGTATCCAAGTTAAATGAGAAGTTCCACTACTGCCTGACCACATGCAAACAACTTAACATGCCCAGCTTGCTTCAAAGAGCAGGAGTTGATCCCAACACTAGTATCACAGCAGACAGAATTCTTTATAATTATGCGATAGAAATGGTAAAATTGACTAAATTTTGTTCAAAGTATTTATTATTATTACAATTGTGTTTAATGGATTAGCATGAGATTATGATTTGATGTATTTACACTGTGATATTGCAGATTAAATAAGAATATACATAGCAACCCAAATAATTAACTCTTGATATGTTCAAACAGTGTCAGTCAGCCGCCTTAGATGAACTATTTGGAAATCCTCAGGACTGTTTCCATCGGTATCAAACTGCTCAGATTTTACTGCACAGTCTGTCGCAGCAAGTCCAACACGACCATGATAAAGCACTTCTATCAAAATGTAGGTTGGCCAATTGTATGTATTCAATCTCTGTTTATTTAATGGGAAAATTATTGCTCTTCAGACAAAGACGCAGTCGAGAAAAGACTGTTTGTCCTTCAGCAGCAAGGCTACATTTACGCTTACGACTCGGCCTGATTGGTGCTCTTGGCGTGGTTGCTTGGAGCTGGACCAAACAAATTGCCAGTTCCAAATCTTACGATGTCAACTTCGCCAAGAAAAATATAAAGAAGTGCATTGATACGAAACAATTTTGTCATGTATATTTGAGAACTCTTAACAGTCCAGTTCATTATTGAAATATCTCCATGTTATAAAAAAAATAGCTCTAAATTGTCACGTGCTTCTGATGCAAAAAAAAATACATAATAATAAAATGCCATCTAAAAAAATAAATGTGGATTCAGAAAATTTAGCAGCTAACAATTAATAATAAAAATCATCGAGATTGTCCTCTGGCTCTGGAATTTCAGTAACGAGTAGACATAACTTTGTCCTCACTTGACCCACTTGAAGTCACATTACAGTTTATTTTCAATAAATTTGTTAAATACCAGTTTCAGTGCCCAATGTGCACATACTTGATGCTTATATCAGTCAGAAGCAAAATATAATAACCCGCACATACACTCACACACACTTAACTGTCCTAAATAGCTGGATTTATTGAAAGAAAAATGAAACTAATAGCATAATAACGACTTGCATGTTAAGAATTTTGAATGCACAATGCTTTTAAAGCCGCTCCACACTCCAGATATGCTTCTATTGATTTTGATGCCCTCAAGTGTGTTAACGGATTCTGGCCGTGATAATCTAGTGGTTAGGAGTTACGACAATTGCTTTATATTTTTATTATTATTATTTATTCTTCTCGGTCAATACAAAAATTTTAAATTGGAAAAAAGAGAAGAAAGGGTTTACAACTAGCAGATGTCTGCTAAAACGCCCGACATCAAAAGAGATACGGCCGCCGCGGTAAACCCACACTATCGGAAAAAAAAAACGATATCACAAACACTTTAAAATCTTCATCTTGAATTACTGCCACAAGTGCTCCTTGCAGAGGGAGGGAAAATTGCTTGAGGGACAGTTTTTAAGGGCAGGTGGCAGGTCGTTCCAAGGCTTGACTATCCTGAAGGAGAAAGCGCCGCGACCGAACTTGTTGTTGGCCGAGGGTGGCTGGAGGCGGGGGTCCTGTTTGTCGTCGCCTCTCAGCTTACGACCCGTTACAATTCGGGCGCGCGCGTCAAAGTCCGTCTCGCCGCTCAGGCACTTTTTGAAGAAGTAGAGGTCGGTGTACCTGAGGTGCATGTCAATGGGCATAATTCTCTGCTCAATTGGCGGCGGAGGGTTGCGGCCGTAGATGAAGTGCAGTGCCCGATTCTGCACTCGGTTGAGTTTGTTGACGTTCTCCTGCAACGTGGGGTGCCACGCAGGGAGACCGTAAGTCATAGTTGGCTTGACGAGTGAGAGATACGCAATTCTTTTGACGCGGGGGGTGCAGCCGCGCAAGTTTCGGGCCGCAAAACCGAGAGATTGGGACGCCTTGCTGCACACAATGTCCGTGTGGACCTGCCACCGGAGATCCCTCGAGATGTGGACGCCGAGCATTCGCTCCTTGTCCACGAACTCGAGCACCGATTCACCGAGGTTGTAGACGAACTCCAACCGATCGCGCGCGTGAGAAATGTCCATCACTTTGCACTTTTTCGCGTTAAGGCTCATTCCGTTATTTGAACACCACACGTCAATGTTGCACAGATCTTCCTGCAGCTCGTCGGCGTTTTCGGGAGAGTCGATTTCCATGTAGATGGTCGCGTCGTCGGCGTACTGAACCAGGGTGCTGTTGCCCACGACCTCAGGGAGGTCAGCCACGAAAATGTTGAAGAGGAGAGGCCCCAAAACACTGCCCTGAATTACTCCGGACGAGACCTCACAGGGCTCGGATTGTGCGCCATTGAAGGAGACGAACTGAGTTCGGCCGACGAGAAAATTTTCCACCCACTTAAGCAGCCGCCCTTTTATGCCGTAGTGGGCGAGCTTTGAAAGGAGCCGTGCGTGCGGCACCCTGTCGAAGGCCTTGCTCCAGTCCAGAAAAACTGCATGAATGTGCGCACCACTTGTCTTGTCCAGGGTTGCCGTCCATTTGTCAATCACACCTGTCAAGAGAGTTGTGCAGCTCCGTTTTGAGCGAAATCCGTGTTGGCACGCAGGAATTAAACTTTCTCTTTCCAGAAATTGGGAAATTTGGTCTCGGATTATTCTTTCCAGCGCTTTCCCGACTAGAGACGTGACGCTGATTGGCCTGTAGTTTTTCATGTCCTGCTTGTCGCCGTCCTTGAAGATGGGCGTCACTGCTGCAGTTTTCCAGTCTGCGGGAAGTTCGCCAGTCTCGAGAGACTTTTGAAAGAGGTGCGAAAGGCTTGGAGAAAGAGAGGCGGCGCAGTTTTTCAGCAGCACAGCCGGCACTCCATCGGGGCCCGCGGCTGCATTCGCTTTTATTGCCTGCAATTCATTGTGCACCAGCCAAGGTATGCATACTATCTCGCATAGTGTAGTAGCCGAGGAATTTACGCTCGCCGGTGTGCGCCTAATAAATGGGAAAATATTTGTGGCCTGCGAGAAATTACTCTTGAAGGTGTCACTGAAGCCGGCTGCCACCTCGCGGGGCTCGACAATATTTTTCCCATTGAGCTCAAAACTGGCATTATTATTCGGCACCTTTGTTTTTGAATTAATGTACCGCCAGAACTCATTGTTGCCATCAGGGCCTTTTCCGAGCTGCCATAGCCATTTATTTCGCGCCGACCGAATGGCAGATTGCGTTGTTTTTCTGGCTGCTAGGAATGCTTGCCGCGCCGGGAGCGTTTTTTCCGTTTGCCATTTTTTGTAGAGCTGGTCGCGAATTTTGATCAGCGAGTTTGTGTATTTATCCAGCCATGGGAGAAGTCTTCTTTTGGCGCCACCGATTTTTTTCCTTGGTACAAATTCCTCTACACATTCAAAGACTTTGTGGATAAGCAAAAATGTTATGGCCGCAGACTCAGCTTGTGAGGCGATTTCTTTCTTTTAACGCACCTCATGCAAGTTTTAAAAAATTCATTGATTATTGAACACATATATTTGTTCCATGATTATGTTAAATGTGAATGTTCCTCAATCCCCTTTTTTAATCGTCTTAATCGTCTATCCCTCTCGGGAATGGCACTAGCGGTAGCTGTCAGGCCTGCTCAATATCAAGGGCTGATAACACTGTTGCCGTTGTGGGCCTTGGACCAACTCTGGGCCGAGGTGAAAAGAGTATTGGATGGGTTTGGTTTTTGAGAATTCAAGGATGACTGGCTTTTTGGGAAGATGTAAAAAAAAATGTCTTTTCAATCAGAAACTTCACTTCCAACAGGGACAATGTTTTTACTTATCAATTTCCATTTTTATCGGTTAAGGTTACATAGAAGTCGAGGGCCATTTTGAAATTCTTATAACGCTAATGTAATTCGATCCATATATGCGCGCGTTTCCAACAAATGGATAATTTGCAATGTAATTTGAAAGCATGCAGCAGAGAGAAAATTTTGAAAAATAAAAAAATTAATTTAAGATTGAGCGTCCACACCATTTAAATTATCAAATGAATGATAATGCTTCTGAAAAGGGGCCTCTATATAGCTAACGGACATAGCGATTTGCAGCTGGTGCAGGAGTGGAGGCTGGAATCGTCGATGGTGCCAATGGCCGGGAGGCACTTGACGCCCTCAAAGGTCTCTGCAGAGAATCTGTGCTGCCACCCAACGAAGCCGCCTCTTTGTCCACGCTAATCAAAATTACAAAATAATCTCATAAGTTATCAAGCCATAAAGGGACGATGTGAGAGACTTTTAATGTGCATATTATTATTATTGCATCTCTTTTATGGCCTTAGGGTGTGATGTTAGATGTTACAGATTTTATTACACTGTAAAGCAATTCAAAGGCAGTGAGAACCTTAAATTCTTTATTGTGAAAATTTAATTTTCAAATCGTTGCGCGGCGGCACTGGCCCCTTTTTTTGTCGGATGGACAATGAGCGGGTTTTCAGAGCCGAAAAATTTGAGCAGAATATTGTAAACTGAATTTTTATTTTCCAAGTGGTGGATTTTTTCCTAATTTAACTTCTCAACAAATACATCTGTTTAAGGTTAGGAATTTTATGCCTTGAGAGACAATTTTATCATATTATTTGAGAAATAATTTTGGTTGAATTTCATTTTTCACTACAAATTCCAATCTTAGAGCGGAGGATTTACGCATTTTAATAATTTGTGCAAGTTAGCACTTTATGTTCAATCTTGCTGATAAATCTGTTCAATCTTGCCATCAACCAAAACAAGAAACGAGTCATGTCATGATTTCTAAGGCAGCACACCTTTTGGGCATACCTGAGGAAATTTTAAGTCCCTGAGCGCTGCAAAGAGCGTCAAGTCAAAAAGTGAAAGTCCCCTAGGTCTGGAACCCTGATCAGACGTATCAGTTACTTATATGCACTTCTCAAGTCTCTCGCACTCCCTTTTATAGTGGAGGCGATTTTTACTTCATTTGAGTTATTCTTAGAAATTTTTTATATATTACCTGGAACTTCTAGAAGGCGCTCTCTTGAAAAGGCCTAGCAACTTGCCCTTTTTGTCTTTCTTGTCAGTTACAGAAGCATCAACAGAAATGTCAGATCCAGAACCTCCTAATGACTAATTGTCAAATTTATTAATATTGGTAAATAGTATCTTGGTCAAGAGGCAAACGAAAGGCACTACTACCTACCATAATCTGGGGGCATTTATTGAACAATAGCATGAGTAGATTGGAAAATTAATTATCGAAACAGTTTTAATATTATTTATTTAGTTTTTATTTTTCTAGAAAAATAAAATAATCACTTCAATTTCTTGCCTATAATAACTCATGTTTTTATCATATTTCAAACTTTCATTTGAATGTAGTTCAAATTAAGTATTGTTTATATAAGCATACAATTATTACACTTAAATTACTTGTTGGCACAAAACTGCAAGGTTCCAAAGAACTCAAAGAAGTGTCTTTGTTAGCAATTATTTTGCTCCTAAATCACTTAATTTGATATATTTACTATGTAAAAATTGGCCAGAATTTATCTCGATTGTATACAACAAATGGGAATTGTTGAAATTTGCTGGACACGCTTGATTTAACAATCTTGATTATTCCGTCCGGATTATTTGAGTGAAAGGCATGTTAAACAAATTTCAACTTTTTTCCAATAGTTTAGGCTGCAGTGCGGCGAGTATCCAAGTATTTATCGCCTCTTGGTAAATACTCGGTTATTATGCAGCCCGCATTATGCAGCCAAAACATGTAGAGCAGGATATTATTTTTCTGAAACAATAAACAACTCAAAAAAACCCATCGAGGAAAAGCCGATTTGAAATTCAAATCACTCGGTTTTTGAAAAAAAAAAAAAAAATTATTGGGTGGTGCCCTCTGTACCACCAATAAAGGGCACAGGCCGACCAAGAGGCCGGCCTGACTCTAAAAAAAATTAAAAAAAAAAAAATTAGTTTCACTAGCAGCTTGTGTACCTATTTTTCTGCCAATTTTTTACAATTGACTGTTAGACTTGTTTGGAGTAAAATAAAATGAATGAACTATTCAAATATTATTTGATTTCATTTTGAATTTTTTATATTCATTTTCATGAACATAATTTCGAAATATAAAAATTAAAACTCATTTATTGTTTCAGAGATGAAATTGTAAATTTAATTTATTAATTATTTTGTTGCTTTTTTCTAATACTCCTTCTGCTATTGTTCTTGTGTAATATTTGCTCTGAAGTGCTGCAAAACATCACGTTTTCTATTTACACGCTGCTCCTAGTAATGTTTGGCAGCAGAGCCTTGAGATTGCCAAGAAGATTACTAAATAATTCTGGTCAACGGAGACACAAGACAGAAAGTAATTTTACGTCTCGATCAAGACATTTTTGTCGTGTCAAGTTGCGTTGCGTCTTGACCTTAAACGATTGTTTAGAATGCATTTTGACCACGCATATGGCATTTTGTCACCAACGCATAAAAATTATATTCTAATAAAAAACATAAATCATGTTTTTGATACCTCGCCTCCATCATCAATGCTCCTTGAACTGGCTAGCTTCTTCAGCTTGCCAAGGAATCCTTTATTCTTCTTTTTATTCGACAAAATCTCACTCTGTGTAGAATCTGTAGATAGCCTGTCTAAACTTGTTTCCCTCCTCGAAAGGCTCAGAAACCTTGTTTCTAGAGACAATTCAGACCCAACTTCAAGACTGCTTGTGCTGCCTCCTTCGCCTTTCCAAATATTCTGAAAATAAACAATACAATTTAAAAAATATTTAATTCTTTTTCTATGACTATACGTACTTGGTCTTGGCCTGTTCCACCAGTTTGCTCAAGAGAAAGGGACTTCCTAAAGAGACCACCCTTCTTGCCTGAGCCATTCAGCTTGCTCTTCTTAGAATCCTCAGGGGCAGGCTCAGTCTCTGATGAAGCAGCCCTAAATTTTGTGAATGAATTAGTTGTCGACAAGAAGCAACCTGTGGACAAGTTGCGTCTTGTTCACAGGTTGCTTCTCTTTTCAAAAAAATATAAATTAGTTGTAAATGATTCAAGACTCTTTCTAATTTAACTTATAGATAATAATAATAATATTTATTCAACCTTCTAAGGCCAAAAAATCTTCTTGCCCTTTCCCTATCTTTGTCATCTTCGCCTGATTTTTTATGTTTCCTCAATTCTGCGGTGGCTTCTGTTAGCCTGCTCAAAGTGGTCTGCAGCACCTGACGTCTGTCCTCAACTCCAACTGAAAGTTCTATCAAATTTTATTTAGTTCATTTATTTCTTAATTTTCCATGAAGATTTTAGGGTGCATAATTTTAACCCCACTTAATAAAAAAGTTGACAAGTTAAGTTTGATAATTCTTTTCTTATTATTATTGTTTGAAGAAATTGACACTCAAGGAGATGATCATGTAAATGAAGAGATCGGGCTTTTCCTCGTTGCAAAAATTGTTTTTTATTCAAAATCAAATGGCTCTACCAGTTTCGGTCACGGTCTGCGACCCTATTTCATGAGCAAACGCGCTGCTCGCTGACTCATACAAGAATATTACAAGAATTCTTGTTTTATTCAGCGAGCAGCGCGTTTGCTCATGAAATAGGGTTGCAGACCGTGACCAAAACTGGTAGAGCCATTTGATTTTGAATAAAAAACAATTTTTGCAACGAGTAAAAGCCCGATCTCTTCATTTCCATTATTATATTATTATTATTGATATTTATTGACTTATGAGTCGTCACCACGATAATGATTCGTTGCGACGCGCCCCATTTGCAACATAGTACAAATCAAGTATAAATTTTTTAGCTAATTTTTTTTTAAATATTAATATAAAATTATTTCTTTTTTCAAATTAAAATATCAAAAATGTATGGAATAATATATACCTGATGATTAAATTTCAATTACAAATTTAACTGAAATTTGACTGGGTTTATTTGTAATTTTTAATTTGTGGAAGAATTTCATTATTATAAGGATTGTTGATTCTCGCGATGTTTTGGTTATCCACTTTTATTGTTATTATTGTTGTTTATTTTTCAAAATTGCTTATTTTCTCAGGGCACGAATTAATTATAAAATTTTTTTCAAAACCGAGCTTAATTGAAAAAAAAATTAATTGGTATAGAAATAAAATAAAACTATCAGAGAGCTGTTTTTTAATCCAAGATTTATAAATTAATACTTAAATAGAATAGTCGCCAAAATTCATCAATAACAAAATTCTCGCGGAAATGTTAATGTTTGCTTTGCTCCAAATAAATATTTTTTTGAGAATTAAAAATAAAAAGATTATTTAGTTGGCTACCAATGCTGAAAATTTGAAAGATTTATCTCACGGCGATAATTCCTGAAAGGTAGTGCGTTGGCAAGGGTCCTGCAATCCCTATTTCTAGGACCATATTAAGAGGTAAAAGAGGTTTTCAAAAATATATAGTTTTAGTTTTACCCCAATATCTAAAAAAATCCGTTCTTAAAAAAAGTGGTATGTATCACCCATTTTTTATTTGAAAAATAAGAAACTCAAAAAACGTGGTACGTTTCCGAGCGCCGGAAGATAAAAAATATCTTTGAACCTCTGTAACTATTTTCCTGTTATATTTAGGATAGCATGAGTAATAACAAAAAGTGATTCCCTTGACTTGTTCTTTCAGACTGCGTGTCACACATAGTGACCTGGTCACAAAAGATCATTGACCCCGGTGAACTTAAACACAATATATTTTGCAAGTGTGACTCATTGTTAAAAAGAAAAAATTAAGCGGAACATTTTGGTACCCGGAAATTTGCCGTAGATTTATTAGAAGCGGAATTATCGCAGATCTAATAATGGGGGATATTCACATATATGCTAACTTGCTCATGGGATTTGCTGGTGCTAACTTAGCATGTGAATTTCCCCCCGATAATTTTTCATTATTTGTAAATTTTCACTTAGGGAATATTGCAATAACTTTGCTTTTAATCAAGCTACGGCAAAATTCCGGGTACCAAAATATTTCGCTTAATGTGCTCTTTCCAACGATGTACCGCACTTGCAAAATATATTGTGGTAAGGTCAAAGGTCACCGGGGTCAACGACCTTTTGTTACCCGGGTCACTAGTAGGATCAGAGACTTTATTTTCGTCTTCTATTTAGCCTAGCACTTCAGCCTTTTCAGTTCTTTTTAGTCCAATTACTTTCAATTTTTTAAATTGTTCAGATAAATTTCATTAATTCGTTTATATTGGTTCTAATATTGTTCTTCTAATGTTCACTTTATTGTCCCTAAAAATCTTAAACAAGAAATCCGAGTTCATTTTATTCATTTCATTTTGTTAACCTTTGTCGAGTTGGTTCTCTTTTGTTGCCGCCCTTCTCGTTAAAAACAAATAATGACAATTGTGCCATATTCAGCTGACCATGTGATCAGTATAAGCTGGAGTTTCATCAAGCATGGTTGTTTTTTTGTTTTTTTTTTTTTATTTTGGTTGCGGATTTTGGCCGAAAATCGTCGCCAAAACGGCCGAAGCGAACGATAGCCGCGAGAGATGACTCCGCCGGTTAGTCAGATTGATCACAATTCGACGCGCGGCCGACGCAAGGTTTGTTTAATTGATTTTAGCTCGCTTATTTTGTTTTTGCAATCGCGCTAGACGAGTTCTCATTGACGCATTTTTTGCTTGCATTAGTCAGAACGTTTTTTTTTTCAGTGTTTTGGTGTCGGGCGTTTTAGCAGACATCTGCATTTTTTTAAAGCATTAACAATTAAAGAAGAATAAATATCATTGACAAAAAGTTTTAATATAATTTTAAAAAAAAATTAACTATTATTTGTTTGAAGAAGTTGACACTCGAGGAGATGATCATGGAAATGAAGATTCGGGCTTTTCCTCGTTGCAAAAAATTGTTTTTTATTCAAAAACAAACGGCTCTACCAGTTTCGGTCACGGTCTGCGACCCTATTTCATGAGCAAGAAAAAATACAAAAAATCAGCAAAATTTAAAAACCACATTTTAACATAAAAATAAAAATCTTAAAACTAACAAATTCAAGTACCAACCTATTTCATGAGCAAACGCGCTGCTCGCTGACTAATACAAGAATGAGCTAGCTAAAGACAGATTGATTGGGGGAGGTGATCTTTATTGGGTGATTAGCGCGCGGCGCGGCCGACCACGGGGGCGCCGAATGACGTCGGGCACATTATGCGTTTTCGAGAAAAAGCTGTTTGCTTCCTCTCTCAAAAAGGACATCCACCTTTGATCGAATTGGTGGCTCGGTTGGCTTATTACATTATTACCGCATGCCATTGCCATTGCTTCCAGCACTTTTCTTTTTGATTGATTTTGTTCGAATTTAATAACCGTTGCATCTGACCATGCAAAAGAGTGGCCAAATTCAGTTGCGTGTTGAGCTATTTGAAAACCATTGCTGTCCGTCCCAATTGAAGCCGGATCAAAAGTTTTTGAAATTGCCCTTTTATGCTCGTCAAATCGGAAATAAACGTGTCTTTTTGTCTCCCCAATGTAAACTGAAGAGCAATCGGCGCATGGCACGCGGTATACACAATTACGCAGAGCAGGTTCACATTTGGGTTTAAAACCAACAACAATTTTACAAAATTCTTCGTCAAAATTGTTACCCCGTAAATTTTATCAACAAAGCACACAATAAAGCAAAAAATCCTCCAACACCCAAAGCCCCCGAACAATTTTCAACCACAATGGTCATTCCTTATTTTAAAGGAAAATCAGAGAAAATCAGGGCCATCAGCCAAGAAGTTGCCAGAGTACGAGTTGCTTTCTCAAACTCTTCAAATCTGCGAAAATGTTTAATGCATGTAAAACCCAAATGTGAACCTGCTCTGCGTAATTGTGTATACCGCGTGCCATGCGCCGATTGCTCTTCAGTTTACATTGGGGAGACAAAAAGACACGTTTATTTCCGATTTGACGAGCATAAAAGGGCAATTTCAAAAACTTTTGATCCGGCTTCAATTGGGACGGACAGCAATGGTTTTCAAATAGCTCAACACGCAACTGAATTTGGCCACTCTTTTGCATGGTCAGATGCAACGGTTATTAAATTCGAACAAAATCAATCAAAAAGAAAAGTGCTGGAAGCAATGGCAATGGCATGCGGTAATAATGTAATAAGCCAACCGAGCCACCAATTCGATCAAAGGTGGATGTCCTTTTTGAGAGAGGAAGCAAACAGCTTTTTCTCGAAAACGCATAATGTGCCCGACGTCATTCGGCGCCCCCGTGGTCGGCCGCGCCGCGCGCTAATCACCCAATAAAGATCACCTCCCCCAATCAATCTGTCTTTAGCTAGCTCATTCTTGTATTAGTCAGCGAGCAGCGCGTTTGCTCATGAAATAGGTTGGTACTTGAATTTGTTAGTTTTAAGATTTTTATTTTTATGTTAAAATGAGGTTTTTAAATTTTGCTGATTTTTTGTATTTTTTCTTGCTCATGAAATAGGGTCGCAGACCGTGACCGAAACTGGTAGAGCCGTTTGTTTTTGAATAAAAAACAATTTTTTGCAACGAGGAAAAGCCCGAATCTTCATTTCCTTAACTATTATTGTTGTTTATTCATCCAATTGTTACATGACATTTTATTTAATTTTTGAAATAACAATTTGTTTGTTTGAGAAAAAGGCACCGTTGGACAAAATAGCACTGAATCTAGCAAGAATTTTGTTAAAACTTCCAAGATCAAAATATATGACCCCATCCACCGCAGTTAACCTCGGTTTTGACCAAGTTTAAAGTTTAATTTAACTGAAAAACTGTTGTTTAAGAAGATTTAAATTAAATTTCAAACAAATTGAAATATTTAAAAAAAATTAGCTCAGTATACCCAAGACCAAAATGGAAGATAACTTTACGAGAACGGTCGTGACCCACTGAGACCAATGGTCTCTTGCACGGTCTCCGTGGGTTTATCTTCCGACAAGCAAAACCCACCAAGCAAAATTTCTGACCAACAACGTGGTTTTTGTAAAAGTAAATCCACGATGGTGTTATTTGATATAACGGAGGTTTATATAATTGTGTCGAAAAACGTGAAAAATTGAATCTAATGATTTTGTCTCAACTGAGAAGAATATATATAATAATTATGTAATATTAAGTTGAATAACTAATATTTTTTTATAAATTAATACATTTAAAAATTTTATTCAATAATAGACTGGGAAAAAATAATTTGAATGCATTTTAAAAATTAAAAATGTAATGAAAATGTTAATATTGGTAGCAAACGACAATTAATATCAAAGTTATAACCTCTTGCACCCGTTCCTGGAGACGATTCACGAGATCGAGCGCCCTGCACAAACATACAAAGTTATTTACAGAAATGCTCAAGACACTTATTTTACTTTTACTCTCTTAGGGGCAGAAGGCAAGGCTAGAGTTGAGCCAGTAGCATCTTTACTACTTCGGAACAAGTCGGGTGTCAATCTCATCAGTTCCTCAATTTGTTCTAACAGAGCATTGACTTTGCGCTCTTCTTCGGCATCCTGTCGCTTCCTAACATTTGCCAATTGTCTAATCTCATCTCTTTCCTTCTCATGTCTTTCCCTCTCACGCCTCATCTTCTCATTTGTGGTTCTGATTTTGGCATGCGCATCTCGCAATTCAAGAAGGTCATATTGCATCTATAAAATAAAATTTTATTAATTTTTAAGCAATTTATAATTAAAAATAATAATATAAATATACTGTTTATTAGATACGCTTTATAAATTTATATTTCAGTTTAATATTTAATTTTTCATAAATTCTCCCCACATAGTTCTAGTTTTAACACAACTAAACCCTAGGTTTTAACAGTACCAGCAGACCACAGGTCATCTTTTGGGGTCCGTTGTCTTTTTATAGTTTCATTACGAGGAACCCGATTTCAATTTTTCAATTATCGATACCTCTGTGATTTTCCTTCTGTTTTCTTCCAGCTCCTCCTCCATTGATTTCTTGATTTGATCTACCTTTCTCTTGGACTCCAACCTTTCCTTGTCGCGTTCCCTTTCAACCTCAAATAGTGTCTGGCGCAAATCTCTCGCTAGGGTGGAGGTCTCCTGCAAGAGCCGGTGCTGCTCTTCTCTTTCCTTCTGCCAAGCAAGTTCAATTCTGGTTCGCATTCCCGGAATCTTTGTTCGCCCCGTGCTAATCAGTCTGTCTTCTTCAAACTAATTTCATATCATATCAGTAAATAAAGATCATCAAATTACAAATGTAAATTTAACCTCATTGAGTCTGGATTGCATTTCACTGATTTTTACTTCCCAAGCAGATCGCTCAGAAAGGAGCTCCGTTTTTAGTTTTGATGCCTCCAATTTTGAGTCTGATAACTCATCCTCCAAACACGCGAGAGACTGTTCCAGAGAGGCAATTTTTGTTTGTGTTTCTTCAGACTGGAATTTTTTTTTATTTGAGTATAATAAAAACCGGCACACAGTGGTTGGTACAATTGGCTGATAATGTAGAAATAAAGATTTTCTTAATCTGATCCTGCAAAGTCAGGGCGCGCGGGGCGAGAGCTCTAGTTTGAAAACCATTAAATGGAGAACATAAAATATGAAATAGTTATCTCATTCATTCCTAATATTTTAAAAGTGTAAATTTGAAAGATTGAGCTGTAATATGCTGGTCAAAATTTGACGACTAGACTTGGATTATTGGAAAAATTTATATGGATACGCAAAAAATGAAATAAAGAGATTCTTACCTCCTCTCCTGGCTCCAAATGATATGGGATTGATGTAGTTTTACCTCCACCACCTGACGCTCTCAGTTCGCCAATGGTTTTCTGAGCTGCCTCAAGCATGTGCCTCTGAGAGTCTCTCTCCTTTTTGAATTTGGAAACTTGGTTCTGCAATGTTTGCATTTCTTCACTGATCAAAGCCACGCGACTGTCGTAGCGGAGTTTGAGCTGCGCAACTTCAGCCTTGTGTGATTTTTCTTCCTGGGAAATCCTGTAAAAGAGTATTTGATCCAAAAATTTAATCATATTTCCTATTTCCATATTGTTACTCACTTGGCCTTGAGCTGTTTCAATTCCTTGTCTTGAGCGGCTGAGTCAGCGTTCATGTTCCTCTGGATTTTACCTACACGGTCATAGTCCTCCAATTTACTCCTCAAGTCATCAGCCTCTTTTTTTAAGATTGAATGCTGATCGTTCATTACATCAAGCTCATGCTTAGTTATTTCATTTTCTGTTGCCTTCTCATCCAGAATAGCCTTGAGACGTTTGATCTCCATGGAATCACCGCCAGTTCTCTGCAGGTTTTCTTCTAGTTCCCTAATCACGGACTAAAATTTCCACAGTATTTTCATTTTTACGCAACTGAATATTTTATTATACCTGCATTTTAAGCTTTTCCTTGATCCAATCATCTTGTTTTCTGTTGTAAGTCTCTCTCAAGGCTTGCAGTTCTCTCTTGAGGGTGGCGAGTTCATTGTGCGCCATATCGACAGTGCCCTCAGCTTTTTCCCTGTCCATGGTGAGTTGCGCCTTTGTGACTACGTGTTCAGTTTCAAGTTGCTCGTACTGTATGGTCAAATCCTCATATGCATGCTTCTTTTCCGCCAACTCTTTTTCCAATTCTGTAGTTTCAAATGTTTTCAATTAAATTCGCTACTTGAATTATTATTATTGCAACTCTTTTATTGTCTTTACAATTAGATAGATTTATTGAACACAACTAGGTGTAAAACAGGTGTCTAAAGCTAATTTGTCCTCTTTCGTTTAAATTTCTTAAAAAGGCACAGTTTCAATAGATTAGTCCATTATTATTATTATCATTGTTAATTTGTTACATCACATTGTTAACATTGGGTGTTATGTTTAGCACTTGTAAATATTGGAAATTTGGTACAAATCCAATAAACCCTAGAAGTTAAGCTTAAGAAATCTGTAGAAAATCCAGAAATCATGATACCAAGAATATTTAAATTATTTAATGCATTACCGAAATCTTTAAAAGTCCTCGATAATGACGAGGTTTTTGTAAAAATGGTAAAATCTTATATGTATTAGAGCATAAATTCTATGACTTGATCGAATTTTATCGCTTAAATAATGCAAGGTACACTGACTTATTTTAAAAAGCGGCTATTACTATGTATGTTATGTGGTATATAATGCTTAACAAAATAAATAAATCTTGAATCCTTTGAACTGTACGCACGTCTCTCTCACGTTCTCTCTTCCGGAGAGCAATCGCAGGCCGCCCTCGAACTTACAATTAGAGGCCTTTTCCAAGGCCGAACAAGCTACACCAAATTGGCGACGAGACGAACCGTTTTGTCCCACAATTAATTTCTTTTCAAATAAATTTGTTTTCCACAATTGTATGTTAACAATGTGATAATGTAATAATTTGGAGAAATAAACATCAATAATAACATCTCATACCCTAAAAATATTGCAACCGCGGATTTCTTAATTCTTTCATTAAATTTATTTAAATGAAGTTAAAATTATTTGCAACTGGATAAGTATAATAAACTAATTGAAATATCTCTAAAGCAGAAATTATTTTAAAATAAAATGCAAAACATCGCGGTATACCAGACAAAAATATAAAAACCTCAATATGCCACTAGGTTTGTTCAACCGTCACAAGGAAAAGTATTTGAAACTATGTATACCTTTAGTTTTTCTGCTACATTCCTCTTGCAGGTCAAGTACCTTTTTGCCGGATGCTCCACTGTCCAACTGCGCAGACTTGAGTTGAATGTTCAATGACCTGACCTCTTGCTCCTTTTCTTTTACCTGGAGCTCCAACTTCTTGACATCAAATGTTCGTCCGCTCTCCATGTCACTAAGTTTTTTCTGTAACTCCGTGATAAGATTTAGAATAGTTTGAAAATATTTTCTTTCATCAATCTGTACTTGGAGATCGGAAATCTCTCTCTTTGCCTTAACATCTGCCTCTTTTTTTGCATTCTCTACTATGTCCAGTTGAGCAGATATTTCAGAAGCTCTAGCCTTGGCAACTGCCAACTCTTCCCGGGCTGATTCAAGTTGCTTTTCCACAGCAGCACTTGTCGCGCGCTGATTAGATTCATTCGAGTTAAGCAATTCAGCCACTCTACCCTGTTCACTTGCCAGGCTATTTTCCTGTAAAATGTGTATCAATTAATACATATCTGAAAGTAACAAAAATTTCAAAATGAAACTTAAAATGTTGAAAGTCTTTAACAAGTCCAAACAGCATTAATACTATCTTGCTAAAAGGTATTAAGCGATCATTTCATTCATTGAAAACATTTTTGGAAATATATAAATAGCCGGAGAAAAGTCCCAATCACAAATTCTAGTTTCTGCGTAAATGGGAAAACACTGACAGACCCAAAGGAAATTGCTGCCTCATTTTGTGAGAGCTTTCAGGAAAAATTTCTCAACGCAGTGACTTGGGATTTAATTTCCCATTTTTGCTCAGACAAGACCCTGCAAAGGAAAAAAATTCCTAAATAAAAATTAGCAGAGCAGAGGTCCACAATTTGCTGCAAGGAATCAAGGCAAATGCCGCGACTGGGCCAGATAAAATTCCGGCAATTATTTTGAAACAGTGTGCCCCAACACAGAGCCCAAGTCTGACTGTCCTTTTTGAGTGTGCTTTCTCCGAAATGATTTTCGATTGGAAAAAGCCTCAGTCACGCCAATAAACAAAGAATCTGAACAAGAAAGAAACAAAAAAATTCGCCCAATTAGCGTAACGTCACTGGTTGGCAAAGTTCTGGAGCGACATGTGCGAAATAAAACGAGCGAGTTTTTAGTGCGTGAGAAAACAATTCCTGACTAGCAGCACGGTTTTACGGCTGGCCTCAAAAAAACTATTGACTATTGACTGTTGCACTCGATACAAATTCAGGTGCAAGAGATCAGGCGGCGCCACCGTCGCCAAGACAAGACGCGTCAAAGACACCGCTCCCAGTTTTTGCCCATTTTTCCCAGTTCCTGCGCCATTTGCCCAACCAAGGGGTGCAAAAAAATAAGCAGAAACTGCAGAACTTCAAGGTGAGCAACTCTCCTGAGCCCGCCGAGTCGCCCAGTCCCGGAAACGTCCATCAACCTGGGACGACCTGATGCTCCAACAATGGCCGTCAACGACCCTTTCTGGAGCCTTCCGGAAGATCCACCGCACCCGGCGCCAGCCACGCGAGTCACTCGGCGCCGCAATAATACCAACTCAATTTCACTTCTTTGCTTCAACGCCCGCTCCCTGAAGAATCGCAGGACGGCGGCGACCATCGCGGCCTTCTTCGAGACCCACTCGGCCGACCTGTGCGCCGTCAACGAGACGTGGCTGACGCCCGAGGTGAAAAACCACGAGTTTGTCCCCCAACAGTACGTCGTCCTGCGGAAGGACAGACTCAAGGGCCGCGGCGGCGGCGCACTGCTGGCCATCCGGCCGCACCTCCAGCCTAAGCGCCTGCCGCACCTCTAGAGCCGCGCTGAGATCGTCCGGGCTGAAATCCGAGTGGGCAAACTGCGGCTGCTCGTCGGCTCGGCGTACAGGCGGCCGAACGCCGAGGTCGCGCACAACGCCGCCCTGCTGCACTCGCTTGACCTGGTGGCCGCACACAAAATCCATCATGGGTTTAGTGACATCATGAATCAACTCAACCATTTTTTCATGCTTCTTCAATTTTTTGGATGCTTTTTGAAGCAATTCGGCTTCATCTTGTCCTTGGGCAACACCTCCTCTTTGGTCTTGAATCGAGGAGGATTCTGATTGACAACAGGATTTGGCGTTCCACTCCCTGCGGAGTTATACTGAGATACTGAGAACCTTGAGATTCGTCTCCTTCCATATTTGAAGATCAATCAAAAGCCTGAATTAAATCAGATCCCGGCCGAGCCCCCAATTCTGTTACGCGCGACCGTGTCTCACCTAAACACAAGTGCCTGCTAAGGCTGCTATTTAGACTAACAAAGAGACTGACAAACGCTCGCACAGGTGGTGTTTGATAATCTTAATAAAATGCTAATTTCAATTTAACAGAGTCCTCGGGCTTTGCTTTTCCTAACGGATGGTAATTGGGTGCGACAATTACCTAGAAAGAAGCTAATTGAAGATCAGTGTGTCTAGGGGATTTTTTATGATTTCTCTAACCACTTCTTTCTCTTAAGAATTCCAAACAACAAAGCAGCCCTTTATCAAATCTAGCAAAATCAATCCTTAATTTTTTACGTCCTTCTTTATCAGTCAAAGGCTCCGTAATAAAACGGTTCCCTAAAGCAGAACGCAAATAAAGGAGTTGATATTTGGTAATCCCCTTTTATCAGTCAAAGGCTCCGTGACAATTACACGGTTCTCTAAAACAGAAAGTACCAAAGTACGACTCTTTTCCAACTCAAAAACAATATTAATTCTAATTATCTTATTCACACAAACTTTGCTATTTACACCTCTATACTGTGTATGTAATATTCTGATTAATTATTCAATTATTGCCTACCCAGGCTGACGGGATGTTATCTTAAACAATATCTGTCAAATGAAACACCTGCCGCTATCAATCTATGAAGGTGCTCAATCGAGACTTGAGCCACCAATTCACCGACTTCAAGCGCCTATATGTCCATAAGAATGCAATTTCCGCTCAATTGCTTGAGCCAATCACAACTTAATTAATGAGGTAATCTACCTGATTGCAGATGAAGTTCAATAACCCACTTAATAAACTTAAGCAGATAAATTTCACTTAATCGGCACCTAACAGCAAGGCTGGTAAAAAGCTCTCCCCGATTGGAGTCTCTTATCCACCAATTTACTCTAAGCTATGAATTTAACCTATAGCCAAAATAACACTCGATACGACTCGAATCTCTCTCGGCTCCTATCAACAATGCTGATTTACGCTTAATAAACTTAAGCCAATCAAACAATTTAATCTAAGCTATCTAATGCTGTTTCCGTTCAATAAACTTGAACCAACAGGCAATGATTCGGATGGCCTAGGAACTGGTAAGTCAACTACACACGCTGGTATTTTGCTCTGCAGATTTTGACCTCCCTTTCGTTCAACTCTGAGGTTTCAGACTAACCAGACGGGCCAAGGGGCCTATGAACTGTCCTAACACGCAACCACCAGGGTAGTTCGTCCCTATAGCTCTCTGGTGTGAAGTAAAACTTGAAATTATTGAAAATGACTGGAGGAAGCTGAGTCTTACTAGCCCTCGTTTGCGCCGCCCTTTGAGAAATTTGCACAGATATGCACTCCGAGTGTAAAAAGAATTGCGTATCTCTTGCTAGTAAAGTATTTTTTTACGGAACCCCAGCGTAGCACCCAAGCACCTACTGCATAGCTAACAAACTAGAACAAATCAAGAAACGGGTCCTTCATTTACTATGCGGCAAACACACCTTGCAACGGTAAAGGAGCAAAAAATGCCCTTCAAAATGCAGCTCCTGTACACCTACCTTTTATTTTTTTTTAAAAAAAAGTGACCATCGGCGTGACCGACTTTGACGCGAGAGCGCACACAACTACGGACCCAAAGCTGCGAAGCGACGATACCCCCGTGCTCTGCAGACGCCCGCGAGAGCAAAATTTGGACGTGAGACATTTTCTTACCGCGTCGTCAAACCGTGGAATGACACGCCACCCGCCTTGAAAGACATACCAATTCACGAAATTAAAGGATGAAGTATCTGATAATATGTTGAAAATGATTTACTTTGCTCATGTTCAGAGCCATATCTTGTATGCCATAATTATTTGGGGTAGCTCTAGCCATATGTCAGAAGTGTTTGTAGCCCAAAAGAGAGTCTTGCGCGCTCTTGCTGGTTTACTACGGAAAATAGTATAAAGCACTGGAATCCTGTAAGCCGCTCTTTAGAAAATAATGAAATATTAACAGTTTACTCTCTGTATATTCTTGAATGTATTATTAAGTTCTTAATTAGAAATCGCCAAATGTTTAAGAAGTATAGTGACCCTGGTGCTATAGATATTCGTAAAGTTACACGAAATAATCAAAATAATTTTAGTCGGGAAGACCTTGTTGAAGTCTCGTGTAGACTCATAATATCTGCAGAGAGTCCTACCAAGAATCTTTAATGCATTTCCGAAAAATATTAAAACTTGTAAAAATGATGACGAGCTTGTAATGAAGGTGAAAAAATATGTGTTGGAAAATCAGTTTTACGACATGGGCGAATTTTTCGCTCTAAATAATTAGCAATTCTCTTTATTGGGCCTGTTTTGCAAAAGCTTTATACTGTAAATGTATAAATTAGCTTATATCAAAATTAAATAAATTTGAACTTGAACTTTACGGCGGCACAGTTTCCACCACTGTGCAAGGCGTATCTGTGGCAAAAACTTGATACGTAGTCCCCCTGACCAATGGCTCTAGCGGTGGTGCGCTCTTCTTCGAACGAGAGTGCGCCGTGCTTTAGCAAGTTGTTTGCTCTAGCGAAGAGCCAAATTTCTCCATTCACCCCTTTCAAGGACCTTGACCCCTTTAACCAACATTCTTCACATATATTTTCAGTATTTTATTGATAATTTTGTGTCGACTTGATGTAAGATGTTGTGTATTCAATGTATTGAGGAAAATAAATAATGGAAATGAAGAGATCGGGCTTTTCCTCGTTGCAAAAGATTGTTTTTGAATAAAAACAATTTTTTGCAACGAGGAAAAGCCCGATCTCTTCATTTCCACAATCATCTCCTCGAGTGTCAACTTGTTCAAAGAGAATAAATAAACTTGGCCATGTACCTACCAGCGTCTCAACCTCGCGAACGCGACCAGACAACTGCTCCTGCAGTTGGTCAAGTTTTCGACTCATTTCAGTAACATTAGCCTTGAGTTCATCCCGTTCTCTCAGCCAACCAACTGCTACTTCTTTCTGAGTGATTTCAATTTGTTTCAGTTTCTCTTTTTCAGCTTCAAGCTGTGATTTAAATTTATTTATTATAATTAATAGAGACAAACCTAGAAAAAGAAATAAATTAAACGTACGTCTTTTTCTGCTCTGGCAAGTTTGTCCTTCTTGCCACCAAGGATTTTCTCCGTCTTTTTCAATTTTTCCTCCGTATCCTTTGCCTTTTTTTCAGCATCTACCAGCTTTTTGGTCTTTTCTGCTATATCTTTCTGAAGTTTGACCCTCTCTGCTTCATTTTTCTTGGCTTCCTCTTTAATTTTCTCTTCACTTTCTCTTTGGAAAGCTGATGCTAAAGCTTTAGTCTCTTCCAGCTCGCTAAGTGCTTTGGTTTTTTCTGCCTGTGTTTTCTTTGCTGATTCTATAAAAAACGTTACGATAAAATAAAAAATGGCTGCCAAAGACTTTTACCTTGCGTTGTCTTTAATTTCTCAAGACTTTCCTTCAAAATTCTATTCTCTGCTTGCAGCTTGAGTACTTCATCCTTAGTTTTTGTGACGTCTTCCACCATCCTTTTCATATTTTCCTCAGATTTACTTTTTTCTGTATCGTAGCTGTCCGTCACTTTGACAAGTTTTTCTTTTAAGCTTTCACACTCGTTTTTTATATCGTCCATTTCCTTAGTGGAAGCCGCAACGTTCTAGATATTATATGGCAAGGCAATTTTACAATTTTAATTATTTAAATAAAAAATAAAAAGAATGGCCTGCTAAATTGCAAGGGCAGATAAATCGGTGCCTGCAATTTCTCCCAAATCTGCCTGTCGCAGTGATCTATGCACCTTGTATGATTTACTGACGTCTTGTGATCTTACCAGCCAGAATCAGAACTTTTTCAAGCCCTGACCCCAGCTGGGATTGAACCCAAGGGCTTCAATTATCAACCTAGCGCACTAACCACTGTGCCACACAGCCAGGCGCACTTACCACTGAGTCACTTAAAATTCAAACCTTATTAGCAGCATCTGCACTTCTCTTCTGCGCTATGCTGAGTCCAACACAAAGTTCGGAAACCTCTAATTCTAGTTCATCAACCATCTTCTTCATTTGGAGTTTCGTTGTCATATCTGTTGGCTTCTTTGGCGACCTCGTTCTAAGACGAGCTCCACCCTCTTTAAGCCTCTCATTCTCCATTTCCACTTTTACTAGTTGATTTTTCAGCTTCTCGACCTCAAGGGCTGCAGCACTTCGAGTAACGTCTGGTTTTATTGCTTTGAGTTTACTGTTAGCCTCGCTCAGCTCTTTCTCCACAGTGGCCAACTTTTCTTTCAACTCGCTCACTTTAGCGCTCAAGTCTGCACTCTCCTTTGGGGGAGTTCCTCCTTGAGCTGCTCGGATAGACAACTTCTTGTTCTCAGCAGCCAGTTTTTCGTTTTTAGACTCAAGTTCCTGAGATTTTGTTCTAAGGATGGCAGCTTCTTGCTCAATGACTTGAAGCTGTCTCTTAAGATCAAGAGCCTGCTCACTGCTGTCAAGAGATCTACTTCTTGCACTTGTTTTGCTCCTTTTGTGAGCCAGAGTAAGCTCTGCATGTAGGCGCTCATAGTCTCGCTCCTTTTCAATAAGTTTTTTTCTTAGCTCAGAAGACTCTTCTTCTAAAACCTAAAACATATAGGAAGGGTAAAAATATTATTGCCCCGGCATTTTAGAAACTTATATGCTCGGCGAGCTGTTTCATTTTGAAAATATACATAATTATAACATAATGATATCTTTTTTATGTATCGATTGGTGAGGTCAAATTTAACCTAACCTATTATTTTCTTGTGTCAAAAAATCTATTTTAGCCACACCGGAATAACATTTTGACCCCAGAATCGAGTTCCTTGCATAAGTTTCGGTTAGAAAACATTCTGTCTGTTTTAAAAAGTTTAAAAATTGACATGAAAATATCTCATAAAAGAAATTTTTCGTTTGCGGTTGTGGCTATTTTTCAGTAACAATGCGTTGCAACAATAGGCCACCAAATGAAACGCAGCAGCGGCTAGTGTCGTATCGGCCGCGTACAAGTCGGCGGCAACCAAAACGCAAAATAAATGTCACCAGGCGATTCTGCAGTAAATTTTTTGTCATACAAAGTGCATTTCCAGACCTCAGAAAAGCAAATCGAGGAACTCGCTTTAAACAACAATAAAAATGCAGTGAAATTTACCAATATCTTCTTTTCCAACACTGCTGCTGAGCTGGAAGCTGGCCTTAAATCACTTCGAACTCCTTTTGACGTTGCAGTTAATGGCAATTTTGCGCTAAGTTTTTCCTGCAGCTCTTTAATCTGGTTTTGGTTGGTCTCACTGGCTCTCTCCAAATCCTCCACTTTTCTTCTCAAAATTGCCGCCTCCTGCTCATTCAGCTCAAGTTGCAATCGCAATTCAGCTGGATCATCATCTTCAGATATTCCCTCATCCTTTTCAGGAAGGCTGGGCTCTGGAGTGGAAAGTCTGCCAGGGCTTGGACTTGACCGCCCTGCAACAAAAGTAAAATTTCGATGCACATATCTAGAAAAACAAATGTTTTTTAAATTGAAAACAAACGCAAAAATGACGTTCTGCAAACTCTGGCAAAAGACCATGATTATGACGTAAGGAGAAAGAGAAAACATATTTATATCCGAACAAATTTAAAACACAAAAATTTTGTAATTTCTCTTACATAATCTAGTTTAATTTTTAATTAATAAGCCCGTGTTTATTTTATAATGCGTTTCATTTAATCATTTCAACGCTTTTTATTGTGGTTTATTCTTCACACACGAAGTCGATGAGAATTAAAAATTTATACAAAATGCCGCAAGAGTGTGCCGCGCTGTGATAAGCCGCAATCTAATTTTTACTGATGCAGATGTGAAATAAGTTATAGGTAAATATTTTCGAGTTTTTTGTGTGTGATACCCTTTCTACCCATTTTTTTAAATTTCTAAAAATTGTACCCAGAGTAGAATGGGGCTTTATTAATAAAAGTCGCAGCAAAGTTCCTGCCTCTATTTTCGCATTTTCCTTAGACAGAAAAATTATCACGGATCCGAAGGAAATTGTGTTGAATTTCAACTCAACTTTTCACAAGAATTTTAAAGTAATTAATTTATGTTAAACAGTGTATTGCAACAATGTGGACAATAAATGAAAATAGTCAAAAATGATTTTTACTATGCAGCACATTTCCTAATTTGAGTTTGAAATTTTGGGTCACCACCGCCACACCAAGACGCGCCAAAGACACCGCTTCCAGGTTTTGCCCAGCCGAGGACCGACAATGATCTCAACGCCCTCCGCAGAAACGGCAATTACATACCGCTGCTGGTCTTGCTGTTTACCCACGCTGAACGACTCTTTTTTGAGCCTTTCGGAAGATCCACCATGACCGATGCCAGCCACGTGAGTTACTCTGCGCCGCCAAAACACCAACTCCATTCCCCTTCTTTGCTTCAGCGCCCGCTCCCTGAAGAATTGCAGGATGGTGGCGACCATCGCGGCCCTCTTTGAGACCCCCTCGGCCGACCTGTGCGCAGTCAACAAGACGAGGCTGACCCCCCATGGTAAAAACCACGTTTTTGTCCCCCGCGAGTACGTCGTTCTGCTGAAGATAAAACTCGAGGGCCATGGCGGCGGTGCACTGCTGGCCATCCGGCCGCACCTCCATCTTGGCCGCCATGTCGCTGACCGCTGACCGCCCTGCGCCCGCCCGCCCCCCGAGAGGTCCTTGACTTTCAGCGCGCCAACTGGCAGGAAGAGGTTCTGCAAACGACGGAACAATTTCCCACCCCGTGCGAGGCCTACCTGTGGCAAATTTTTTGATAAGTGATAATGACAAAAACTAATTGATAAGAACAAAAACCACCCCAACCGAGGCTCACTGCGGCGGATGGGATCTTTTTGATCTCGGAAGTTTAGCAAAATTCTTGCTAGTCGGTGCCGTTTTGTCCATCAACTGCTTTTTTCAAATGAATTGTTTTAAACAATTGAATGTTAACAATGGGGGACATTCACTACAGATATTCTCCCCGGCTAGCTATTTTGATTAATTTAGTTTTATAGTAATTAAATTTTTTATTCCATTATAAACAAAATAAAAAAACATGACCCACCCTGAGAGACTGCACAGAAACTTCCCCTTCTTGATCAAAAATTTGATTTGGCAGCATCAGTTTGTAATAAAATTTTGTGAAGAATAAACATTTATAATTATATGTTCAATATAAAAGTGGGCTTGCTTTGGATTTGATGAAAAATTACAAATCAAATGAAATGGAGGCGGCAGTGACGTCTCGGTAATTTTGAATATTTAACGAGCTATTCGTAGGTACACATACTTCTAGCCTTCATTGCCATTTTCTTAAGCTGCATTGCTAGAGAATCGTTTTCATCCTCCAATCTGGAGCATTTTTTGCGCATATTCTGCTCCTGTGAACAAAAGAAAGCACACGCCCGGCTATAAGACTACACATCAATTTATAATATTACCTTGCAGTAAAGGCGGCAGGGTGATATCACAACTATTTGGAGCTCCTACAGGAGTCCCTGGCCGCATAACTGCAAGGCTTGGGGTAGGGCGAGGACCTGGCAGGATGCTGCCAATAATGCTTTGGGCCACCCAGGAAAGCACTGAACCGACAGATGACGTGGAGCTGGAGTGTACCACAGGCTGAGTTGTCAGAGCAATAGTTTTCTCGCCAGGGTCGTCTTTGATTTCAAAGAACAGTCCCATAGGTTTGTCAATGTCATGTTCTTCTACATTAATTATAGGATTGTTGCAGGAAAATTTAAACGGCAGTTCCTTGTTGTTAACTGATTCCTCTTTGCTTTTTTTGGTTTCCTCACACATATCTGAATTTCCGTTACAATTTTTTTCTTTAAAAAGTTCGTCCAAACACCAGTCATTGTCCAGGTGAAAATCAGTTAACTGGGGACAATTCTCGACAAAAACAAATTTTCGAAGTGTTTTAATTATGTCTTGTTTGTTAGCTCCATTTTCTACTTCTGCATTCTCAAGCAGATTTTCTGAGCCAGATTCAATCCCATCTCCATCTTGCCTGAGCGTTTCAGAAATTTCTTTAGCAGTTTGGCCATGTTGATCATGTTGCTCGAGATCATTAAACAAGTCATGTAGGAATTTTGCCCACACCTTAGCAGCCAATACAAATATTTTTAGCTGGAAAGTTATTATTGATCTTTATTGACTTATTAAGAAGTCAATAAAGATCAATAATAACTTTAATTTACACAAGCTTTATTATTTCAAAATTATTTTCCCAGAAACTGATATCAATTGTGGAACATAAATCTAATTTAATGAAAGTTAAAAGTAATGATTTATTTTGCGCGAAATGTGGTCAACAGCGTAGCGTCCGAGGAGGAATTTTCGAGTGAATTTGTGAGTGGGCCAGTGGAGCCGGTCCGTGAGACGACGCTCTTTTTGCGAACAATGTACTGCCCGGCCCGCCCGGGTATACCTGATGAGGGGGAAAAATTCCCCAAAAACTGATGTTGAAGCTGGTGCCCTTTTTGGTCTGAAATGGTCTGTGTTTTTCAAATTGAAGTAAACTTTTCTGGGCTTTGTGGGGTTTGGAGGATCATTTTCAGCCTCCATTTTCTTTAGCAGTCAAACACTCGGAACTTTTCTTTTTTTTAAATCATTAATTTTAACTTTTCATTTCACTTAAATTTTTTAATTTTTTTTCTGGTAGAAATAAGAAATTTCATCAAATTCAAACTTGCCTCTTCCTCTGAAAATCTGAGCTGCTCACGCAAGTCAGCTTCCCTTTCCATGGCATCTTGCAGATCTCTAAGAAGCTGCACTGGATCATCTTGTGAGCCGCCTCTTGTTAAAGAAGCTCTTGTAATTGCCTGAAATTTTCAAACAGCGCCAATGTAAATAAAACAAGGTAAAGAAAGTCGCCGACATTCGAGCCCTGATTTACATATACACTTGACACTCGATCGATATATATGCGAGGCAAACTGCCTGTTACTCACAATCATGAGGAGAAGCGATCGAATGAATAGATTTTTTACCGTTTCCAAGACCGACGTACTGACGAATAAGGAGACTTTTAGCCAAACAAGTATACGCAACCCACCTCATACACCCCCAAACTCTTCTTCTGTCAGAAAAAGAGAAGAAATATACAAAATACTCCAACAGCAAATCAATGCAAAAAATCGCATAGAGATAAATTAAAAATACCAAACTTCAATAGTATCAGCCTAAAAACACCTAAAAAATTTACTGAATTTCAAGATTTTGTTATAAATTTGAAAACGCCCAGATTTAATTGTAATTATTGAACATTGGCCCAACACCTGTGAAGACAAAAACTTATATCTCGAGGGTTTTGAATTTATTACTTTTTTGGTCGTAATATTAAAAATAAGACTAAAAGTGGTATTAGGCCTAGGCTGGCTATAAACAAGTCACACGCTGTCCTCTAGCAGGTGCCAAGCCAGTTGAATATTTTTAGTGTTAAATTTTGTCAGCTGTATTTTTAATTTGGTAAACTGTTATTTTTTTATTTCTTGACCTATTTCAAATATTATTTATGCATGTGTGTTGATCTATGCGGAATCAATATTATCTGAAACTGATACCGTGCCGGGTTTTTTAGACATGAGTTTCTTCTCTTTTTCTAATTTTTCAAAGTTTTGCACTGACCAAGAAGAGTTAATACCTGAATAGAGAATAAAGAAAATAAAAATAAAAAGCTCACTCACTTCTCCTGAGGCTGATTTTCCCAACACCGGTACTTTCTTTTTTAACGATTCTGCAATAGGTGTTGTTTTTCTAGAGTCTAAAGACTTTGCCTTTTCCCTAGCCAGTTGTGTCTTCAAGTTTTCTGTCTCCTTGTGCAGCCTCTCCGAAACTTCTGATTGTAGCTTAAGATCTTTCTCCAGCTGTTGAATCTAGGTAAAAAAAATTTACTCAAGAGTAAATATTTATAATTATATACCTTTTCTATAGACTGTAAGTTTCCTCCCTTGTCACCAAGTTGTTTTTCGACCTCTGATTTAGCAGCTTCTAGGGCCTCTGCCTTTCGCTCAGCTTTGCGTAATTTAAACTGTAGTATTCGGCAGTTCTTTGCAGTCTGCTCAAGTTCTTTCTTTAGAGATGTATACTCGTCAGCTTGCTCTTCTCTGAAGTTGTCCTGCATCTCATCAATTTCCTCTTCAAGGTCACGTATCTCTTTTTTTATTTCTTCATTTTCGTCCATTAGCTCTTCACACAAAGTTTCAGCAGCTGAGAGTTTATTGCGGAGATCTTCTATTGTCCGGCGCATTTCTGGCTCTCTGGCTGTGGCTGCCTCATTTTCATTTTCTAGCTCTTTCACCCTAAGAGACAAACTTTTGCGTTCATCTCTTAGGTCCTCCGTCAATTGCTAATAGTAAGATAATAGATATTAATGTCTATCCAAAATACGCAGCAGCTCTTCAATTTACTTGCAATTCATTGACACGTTGCTGTAGTTTTAAAGCTTCTGCACTGGACGGAGCTGTCTCTCTAGTTCCACCCAACCGTCTAAGTAAAATGTCACTTTTTTCTCTTTCTGCCTTCTCACATCGCACCTTCCAGGTGTCCAATTCTCTTTTCAATTCCTGCTAATTCATACAAAATTACTTTAGAGCACTTTTGAGTGCCTGAAATAATTACGGCTATCTCGTCATCATTGCTCTGGTCAACAACGGTTGTATCTGTGGTGTCTGTACAGGCAATGCTGCTTGCATCATCCGACTCATCATCACTACTGCTGCTGCTGCTAATATTATTTTCACGTTCTTTTGCACCAAGTACCGAAAGAATTGACAGGTCAGTCTTGTTTGCAGAAGTGGATGAAGCTCCACTTGATGATTTCACTTTCGTCACCAAGTCCAAATCTAAAAAAAAAAAAAATTTATTGATGTATTTATTTGATACTTTAGATGTTATCATATCGCAGTTTATCTCAATAAAGAATCAATAAATTTCTAAATTTAATCGAAGTTCTCTCAACGATTATAAAAATAAGAGAAGTTCAGTGGTTGCACCACTTACAATTAGGCTACAAAATGAGCTATTTTGACTCATTTCGTCGCACAGGCAAAAATTGTTTATATTCAAAACAAAATGGCTCTACCAGTTTCGGTCACGGTCTGCGACCCTTTTTCATGAGCGCTGCTTGCTGACCAATGTAAGATTAGTCAACGAGGAGCGTTTGCATATATGTGTAACACTCAGGGTTACTATTTGATTCAGATCCAATGTGTGGGTTCTGCTTATCCAGAAGTTTTAAATTTAACTGCTCAGAAATAAATCTCAAATTCAGAAAAGATGCACAAAAAGGTATATTTCAAATTAAAGAACCAAAAATTGCAAAAGAAAAGAATTAATTTTTTAATTTTAATTTTCAAACGGCTTTTAATTGCAAAGCGAGTCAATGCAAAAAAAAAATAAGAAATTTGTATTTGTAAATTAATTGAGACTTAACTGTGTGTGGTTAGTAGGTATGGGGCTAATTTGTGTGTGGAAAGTGTAATGTGTAACAAAAATATCAATTCGGAAATATATAAAAAATAATCAAAAATTCACTCAACGAGTGTTCGGTTCGATTTCACTTAAATGAGAGGTACTCATCGTGATCTGAGTGTCGAGATGATCTCGGCGAGGGGAGCGACCCCTGATGGTGTCGGTGCTTTGAAGGTCGACCTGGTGTTTGGTCGGACGACCGCCGACTGAGGGTGGTTGGTGACCGGGGTGGTGGTGGTCACTCGTGAGCACGAGGCGCTGCAATTGGCGACAGCGCCCCATCCGCAAACGACGCTTGCGGACAGCAGCTCTGCTGGGCCGGACAGTTGCGATAATCAACGGTCCCACAGGGCACCTGAGTTGTACAAGAATTTGGTTTAGTCGACGCGCCCAATTTTCAAAATGAAACAAGGGAAAGGAGTGGTCCAGAAGGTCCATTCGGAATGCCGCCCAATTAAGGGAAAAATTCTGAAAAGCAACTTACGTTGACTCTTCTCGCAGAACGTTCGTATCCTCCAATTGACGAGAGGAAGCGGCCAACCTGCTGCTGGCACAGCAGAGGCCGGGTGAAGTTTACACAACCACTGATCGTGGGCGACTAAACCAAAACTGCACGAGATCAGAGACCTTTACCCAGGAGAGTAACCTGTGTGCTCTTTATCAGTGCAGGTGGTGGGGGCACTGATTGGCGGCGAGTGCAAATGCACTTCTTTCTCTCTTCTTCTCGGCACCGCGCACTCGACACTTCCCACACGCAGAATAAAATGTCGACGACGAATAAATTAATTTAAATAAAATTGTTTGTGTTTTTGTGTGTTCAAGGGAAAGGATTAATTGAGAAAGGAATATTCAGTTTTAAACAATAATTCCAAATCAAAATTCCCAATTATTGTTACATATGAAATAAGGTCGCGAGCCGTGACCGAAAGAGTTTTGTTTTAGGTTAAAAACAATTTTTGCGACGAGGAATTGGGATTAATATTATATGACAAAATTCTATGACGCATGTTTTTTTTTTGTAAAATTATATGAACTGTAATTCATATTTTGCAAAGCTGTATTTTAGAGAATTATTGCAAGGATTTATTTTCTTTGTACATATGTTGATCCATAATGAATCAATTTTGTCTGAATCTACTGAATCTATTTTTGAAAAAAAAAAAAAAATTTAACAATGAGGAAAATTCCCGATCTCTTCACTTCCCATGATCATCTCCTCGAGTGTCAATTTCTTCAGACAGTTTTATAATAATTCATGATCATAAAAATATTTTTTTTTTTAAAAAAGCCGATTTTCAAATTCTGAATTGAATTTCTACCTGCTTTATTTTTAGATGATGTTTCCTCTGCATGATCTAGAGCAGGGGTGCGCTTCCTTGCACCTGACAAGTTGGTTGGAGGAAGCTCTTCTTGGATGGGCTGTGTCAAAGTGCGTCTCAAACGAGGTCTTTCAGCTCCCGCTAAGGTGTCAGTAGTTAAGTCCGACTTCTTGTCATCTGCCTTAGTTAAATCAAGAGTGCGGCGTCTAAATGTGTACTGCGCGGATCTGTAGTCGGTTTCTAGACAGTGAAAAATCTTAAATATTGGGGGACATTCACCACAGATATCCTCACCGGCTAGCAGACTAGCTATACTTAATTAAGTTAATTGACATGGTTGTCCTGGCAGGATATCTCTAGTGAATGTCCCCCATATATTTGTGGTAGAATTTTACGCTAATATATTTGAAATACGGAAACACAAACGCACCTTTTTCAGTTGATTTTGCCTCTTCTTTTAGGGCCTCTGGAGCTGCTGCTCTAATTCGAACTCTTGGTGGCATCTTGATCGTAACAGATGTAGTGTCTTCATCTAAGCTCTTGAGATCAGGCGTGCTGGTCCATGATGCAGCAGTCTTCCTAGGCAGGGTCACAGACACATCTGCGGTGTTATCGCTTTTGCTCAGGTCAGTCGATGAGGCGCTGGTCGCTGGACTTCGGACACTATCATAGCCTGAAGTACCAAGTCCAGTGCTGCTCCCGCTCTCGCGAGACCTGTACAAGAATTTTGTAAATATCAGCTAAATTTTGTTCAGCGGTTTAAGCCACGTGCATGTGTTTAAATGGCACATAACAGCACGTTACGTCAACACACGTGACGCAAGGGGAGGAGATTTTCAGATTGGTGATTATATCATGAGTGAAAGATTGAGCTTGCATATATAGAGGGATAGGGGCTGGCCAAAAATAGAACCAGCCGCTCTATTTCCTTGGCACACAAAGCAAGTGGGCAGTGAGCGCAGCCAGATCAGTACATTGCGGTCCACTCTTGCAAGCCGATTTATAATTAATGACAGTATATTAATGCAAATCATTTAAAAATTCAGCAGCTAAATTTAATTTAAATTTTTTGATATTTCAAATAATGATGCAAAAAAATTGATATATTTAATGTCAATTAATTTCAAAAAAAGTAAATATTTATATAAAGTTATATTATGTGAATGTTCAGATGAGAATTTCCACACATTTTATCAAGCAATCTTCATCAATCCTTAATCCTAATAATAACAAACTCTCGTTTGAAGAAGTTGACACTCGAGGAGGTGATCATGGAAATGAGAAGTCGGGCAAGCCCGACTTCTTCATTTCCACAAATTATCTTGTAGGAATTTTGAGATTAAGAGTTATGCGAAGATCACGTCGGACGCAAACACGAAGCTAAAATAAAGTTACAAGTGTGTGTGTGAATCAACACACTTTTACATTTTACTGCGCCCAAATTTTGTACAGTCAAACTGACCGGTTAAAGGGTTGCGAGGCCCATGACGATATGGCTGGTGTGGAAGCCGTTACAGTATCGCGGCGGAGGGAGGACAGCAAGGATGAGTCGTCTTTTTTATTTCCGCCATGCTCCTTGTAGTCTCTGCGAAGAACACAGATCAGAGAAGCTATATTAACCGCAAAATCAAAGGGTATGTAAGCGTGATGATTTCACCTGAAGCACCGTTTGCAGCGAGTAGGCCAGCGTACTTGCGGGTGGAATCCGAGGGGACACAACGGGTCGCCACCCTTAGTTTTGATGAATGACGAGTGCATTCTAGTTTACTCTAGAAAAAAAATTTCAATCATAGATCTGAAAACCTAATTGCGAATTTATTTTCCCTCCCTGAGCAAGTAGAATTTGTGGCAGCAATTTTACAGTATTTGTGAATGTTACTTTTTAATCGTGTGTGTTTACCGCAGCGGCCAAGTCTCTTTTGATATCGGGCGTTTTAAACAATCTGATTTAAAAGTTCGGACAAGTAAATGACAATAATCAAGAAAAATAAATAACAATAAAATAAGTGAAAGTATTTTCATTATGTTGTGTGTTTTCATTGTGTTGTTATTTTTAATATTTTTATGCATACTACTAGTTTGATAATTTGGATCAAAAAATTTTGAAAACCAACCAAGTGAGGTGTCAACCGCGGTGTTCTAAGCAGTGGTTGGCGCCAGCCAGAGCACGTAATTTTACCCTTTGAGTTCGGTCGATCAGCGCGGAACTCAACAAATCCAGCGCCACGCTACGCATTCCACAACACTCAAATTTTTGCAACTCTAGCAGAATACAAACTATTCCAAAAGCATTATTTAAAAGATAAATACCCCATGCTTTTTGCCGCCGCTCAAAAACCGCATTAAACTGCATGAAAAAATAAAAAAGAGCCAAAAATGCACTTTTACCGTGGACAATGCTACTGGGAATTAAATTATCGTCTTTGGAAAAAAATTCCCAACGCCTCAAACTTGAATCCCATAGCCATTGGTCTCGGACCAATCTTGCTGCCCTCGAATTTCAAATTTATTTTGATCTAAGCTAACGTATACATTTTATACAGCTTTTGAAATACATTTAAAATTAATATTAATTTTTTGGAGCGAAAAAATTCGCTCACGTCCTCCTGCGTAGTATTGGGTCACTTAACCAAGCCACCAGCCGCCTGAGCCGCCGCAAAAATGGGTGGCTCAGCCGTTTTTGTCAGCCAAGGCATTCAGAGTCTAAGATGAGGTGAGGGAGAAATTAAAAATTCCAGAGAAAGAAATTGGTTGCATCGCTCTTTGGGCCGACAAGGACTATATTGATCTAGTTTCATTTAATTTTGGGCTAGCCGTCAACTGCGGCCGGGAAATTGATATTCTTTCTGGGGAGAGACCAGAAAGGCGAGGCACCAGTGGCACCACCCTTAATTTCGCCCTTTACTTTCGCACCATTTTTTGAAAAGATGATCGCAATCGCAAAAGGTGGTCGATCGCAGGCGATCATTTGCGATCGCGGAAAGCAATTTTAATGCTTAATCTGGGATAATTTAATGCTAAATCTGGAAGAAAAACAGTCAGTTTCAGATAAATTGATAGAAAAATTTCTTAAAGAGACTTTTCAATTACGAAATTCATTTTTGTTCGGACTCCTCATTCTAAAACCATAATTGATAAAAAAAAAAACGTTCTGAAATGTTTTTTCATAAATATATTTGCTCACAAATTTTCGCACCTTTTTTGATCGCGATCGCACGATTTTTCAATTTCAAAATCGCAATCGCACAATTTTTATATAGTTTTCAAGATCGCGATAGTTAGAGTAAAATTATCAAAACATTGCATGTGTATAGTGAGTATTATTTGCAACAATGTATTAACAATTTATTAATAATTAACGCCTTCACCCTCCACTAGCTTTTCCGTAAACCAGGAGTATATTTTGCCAAAAATAATAATGATGAAGCGGATTGTGTTATTTGTTATTGAATGAAATGATTTAAAAATCATAATATCCACTAACTACGCTTTGATATATTTCGTTTTTCTATAATTATTAAGGATAAATACATACAGTATCTCAAACAAAATTAAGTTAATTTTATTTTATTTTGCAAAAAAAAGATTAAAGTTATTTTTCTTCTTGAACATAAAAAAAACGTGTTATATATAGGTAAGACTGTTAAGAATTAAGATGAAAAAAAATGTGCCTCAAACTTTACTTATACATAGGCATACACGAATACATTAATTAACATTATTTGAAACTAAAGGTTATAAATTACTAAATAATGAAAAGGATAATAACAATAAAATTTAATTATACTTGTATTGACTTACGCCGCAATACTGCGGTAAAAAAATACTATTAGCGGAAGTCCACCCATTTGCAATATGGTTAGATTACTTAGATTGGTTAGAGTAAATAAAGGGAAACAAAATCACAATTTGGCTAGTATCATCCGATTCTCCTTTTGATTCGGCTTTTAACTTTTTTATCATTCTGATAATGGTGATTGAAATCGCAGAGTTTTTGTGATATATGAAAATGTATTATTAAATTGTTGTGATACTTGTGATATAAGTTTTTTTCTTTCTTGGTACTTACAATGTTACCAAGATTGTACGTGGGATAGCAGATGGGTCATACTTGTGTTTGTATTTCGCAACAGCGATCTCATCTTACGTAGAGGAACCGCAGTGTACACGCGGCAAAGCACCGAGGCCACTTCTCACTGGTCTCCGGTGGGCAATGTGAGGACACGCACGTGCAGCTGCAACTCCAATGATTCTTTGGTGGAAAGCACACTATGAAATTTCAAGAACAGGACGAGTGGTATTAGAAGCAAGCAGCCATGCCTGCCAGCACCTATCTTTTTTTACCAATCTCGTAAGTTCCCAATTTAGTTCAGCACGGTGCGCGCTCTCTCTCGGCAGTCCTGGTGCTCTCTGCTCTGCCACCAAAAAACGCCAAGCATATGTTTAAATCGGTTTAAATACTTTATTTTATTTGGACGCTGTGTTGTGATGGTGCAAAATCATCTAGACGTTTTTTTTACAATTAATAATATGATCCTTTTATTACTTATTCTTTGCGCAAAAAATAGACATCTCTTTAACAATGTGCATGCGAAAGTGATATGGCATGTCTTGAATGTGACGGTTTAGATCCTTTGCAAGGATGATGTTATTTTCTTTCAATGGTCAGTCTTCCCAGTGCTCGACCAACCCTCGAGTTGGTGGGTTGGTGAATTTTAGTGCAAATGTACTCGGCTGCTTCCAACAACAAGTTTAAATCAACGCCTGTTTCGATTCCCATCCCGCTTAGCATGTAAACCAGATCTTCTGTAGCCACATTGCCTGAGGCGCCCCTGGCATAAGGGCAGCCTCCAAGGCCCGCCACTGCTGAGTCCACGACCGACACTCCCATCTGAGGGCCAGAAACATTTTAAGATAATAATGTCAAAAGTTTTTAGCAAAACATAACGGAAATTAACATAGAAATTAGCTTAGCGCATCAACTGTTTATGTTAACTGTGAAAATTTCAATTTCAATTCATTTTATTTTTCTCCAAACAAGTCAAACAATCAATTGTGAAAAATTGGTTGGGAGAAAAATAGGCACAGAGTGCTAGTGAACAACTCACTGAAACTCATAGCCGAGTATTTACCAAGAGGCGATAAATACCCGACTACTCGCCGCACTGCAGCCTAAACTACGGGAAAAAAAGTTTAAATTTGTTTCACATGCTCTTTGCACAATTTAGGGAAATTATTTGACGCACACGATTTTAACACAGAAGGGAGGGAGTTCCATTAGGACGCGAGGCGAAAGGGAAATGAGTAGAGGCCGAGGTCGGTGCGCACTTTCGGTGGTTCAATTCAATTCATTTTATTTCTCCACAACAAGTCAAAGCATCTGAGCAAAAAAATTTACATTACGGAGAAATAGACTTACAGTACTAGTGAACAACTCATACATCATTAAACTGAAACAAACAAGAAATTTGCCTCCGCCCTCAATACTCGCCGTACTGCAGCCTTAAGCAAAAAAAAATTAATCTAGCATCACAAAACATTTTACACAATTCACCATTTGCGAAATCGAATAACATTGGTTCTTATGGCAGCCTCATCTTAGAATGATTGAATCATTTCAATCCTAAGACATGTTGTACTAGATGCAAAATAAAAAATATTGGCGTTGGAAAAATCAAAATTGGTTCAGCATGGGGCTGTAGTCAGGCGATCAAAGATTTGTAAAGTAGGCAACCGAAGCCAATTTTTGGAGTTTTTACAAATCTTTGATTGCCTGACTACAGCCCCACGCTGAACCAATTTTGATTTTTCCAACGCCAATATTTTTTATTTTTCATCTAGTACAACATGTCTTAGGATTGAATAGATTTAATCATTCTAAGATGAAGCTGCCATAAGAACCAATGTTATTCGATTTCGCAAATGGTGAATTTGGGGAAATTGGGGGCCGGACAAGATTTCAATTCGGAAGGGAGGGAATTCCACTGTTGGGCGAGTCGGAAGGAGAACGATTGCAGGCCGAGGTCGGTGCGCGCTTTTATTGGGGGTATGAGTCGGTGCTTGCCGTCTGTGTTTCGCATCACTCGCCCCACTGTGATTCGCGCATTCGTTCATGTTTGTCTCATCATTAAGACACTTCCGAAAAAAAGTCAAGTCGTTGTATTTGAGCTGCTGTTGCACTGAGGGCGCAGCTCTTTTTTGGCCGCCTCAGAGATGTGCCGCCCATGCACAAATCTGAGGGCACGATTTTGCCCCCGTTCTAACTTTTTCATATTCACCTGGGTAGAGGGATGCCAAGCTGGGGTGCCATAGAACATCAAGGGTTTTACCATCGTCAGGCATGTTAAACAAATTTTCTCGTCGTTTAGGCTAGTAGTAGTAGTGCGGCGAGTAGTCAGGTATTTATCACCTCTTGGTAAATACTCGGTTACGAGTTCCAGTGAGTTGTTCACTAGCACTGTGTGCCTTTTATTCTCCCTACCAATTTTTTTACAATTGATTGTTTCGACTTGTTTGGAGAAAAATAAAGGAATTGAATTGAACTACAATTAAAGCATTTGATGTACAATATTTTGCTAATATTTTATATAAAATGTAATTGTCATTCCTCAATGGAAACGTAATAAAGAATACTGACCAGAAGGGCAGCAAAGATGTTTGCAAGAGCTTGTCCATATGTGTCATGACAGTGCACGGCCAGGTTGCCCACCGGAACTTGCGCGGCGAGTACAGCTTCTAGCATAGCCTGGATAGAGCCAGGGGTGCCAACGCCAATGGTATCACCCAGTGACACTTCATAGCACCCCATATCCAGCAAGGTACGAGTCAATTTGGCAACCACGTCCGGCTGAACCATGCCTTCGTAAGGACAGCCGACCACGCATGATATGTAACCTCTGATTTTAATTCCCTTTTCCTTGGCAGCCTGAGTGACGGCGCCAAAATGAGCAATGCTCTCACTAATTGAGCAGTTAATATTCTTCTTGGAAAAGCTCTCAGAGGCGGCTCCAAATATTGCAATTTCTTCTACACCTGCTGATACCTAGAATAATATATTGTATGTATGTATTCATAGTTGGGCAGAGAGCGCGCTCTCCGCTCTGCACTCTGAGCGCGATCGCACGATTTTCAAAATCGTGAGCGAGAGCGCAGAGCGCGATCGCATTGGTCGCTGAGCGCAGCGCTCATTTGCGCTCAAACCATAAGCAAAAAATTTGATCAAAAATTCTAACAAAAAACAGTGATTTCATACCAAAAATCTTCAAAACTGATCCCAATTTTGGTAATTTTACTTCAACTTTATCATTTTAATTGCCGATGGTTTGTTTTATATTAAAAAATGTTCTAAAAAGTTGCACGTTTTCCTCGGATAAAAATATTTTTGAGCGCAAAGCGTGAGCGCAAGACTTATTAAAAATTTGAGTGCGAGCGCAACATTTTCAAAAAGTTGAGCGCGAGTGCACTATTGCCAGTGAGCGCGAGCGCAAAATTGTTGAGCGCACCCATCTAGTATGTATGTATTGTACGAATGTGCGTCCTACCAAGTATAACAATTCGAAATGTTTCATTAATTATTCACAATTTCTATTGGTAGTTTTCAGCAGTTTTTTCAAATTGGAATTAATATTAAACTTACGGCAGCTTCAAAGCCTTTGAGGTTGGGAACTAACACTGGGTAACTAACGTCAGGCACTTTGGTGATTCCTTTGAAAACCTCTACATGGTCAGCCATTTGTGGTACCCATTTTGGGGATACAAAACTGCAACATCATGACACAATTCTAAATATTTTATTATTATTGTTTGAAGAAATTGAACTATTGTATTAATCTTTTTTTAATGTGCAGCTAAAAAAAAATCAACACAATTAATTTAACACAAAATTGTGGAGCTAAACTCCCTTTTACACCAAAATATCAAAATCTGACCTTCCTCAACCGCAATCTAAATCTCAATCCTTTCTAAATCTTTTTCTATAGTTTTCAGCTTTGTTCGTCATCGTATCGTGATAATTGCCAGCAAAAATTGATGATTTTTAATTAAGTTGAACCCCAAAAATAAAAATGATGAAAAAATAAATTTTGCACCACTAACAAAGAGCACAGGCCTACAAGACTTTGTATAATATATATATATATATATATATATATATATATATATATATATATATATATATATATATATATATATATATATATATATATATATATATATATATATATATATATATATATATATATATATATATATATATATATATATATATATATATATATATATATATATATATATATATATATATATATATATATATATATATATATATATATATATATATATATTCTCTTAATTTTTAGTTCAAATAAATTACTTGTTGTAAAGGCAAATCAGAGATGCATAAATATCTAATGCAATAAACATTTATCTAATCTAATCCACTCCACTAGACGGTGGCAAAATTTTATTTTTATTTGATGTAAGACGTTATATCGTTTCAATGTATTTGGATGGAGAATAAATAAAAATAAAAATGGAGGTGTATTAGGTTTCCTTGTTAGTAAGGATTAGCCAAAAATATTTAAATTTTATTTTACCTCGTGCATTCAACAGTTTTGAGACCGGCTCTGGTCAACTTGTTTATAAACTCAATTTTGACCAGGGTGGGGACGATAACCTTTTCGTTCTGCAGACCATCGCGGGGCCCAACCTCCACAATGCGTACTTTCCTTGGCACAGGCGCTCTCAGTGTGGAGCTCTTAACAATTGAAAATGAAAATAATAATAAATAGTGAGTGGATTTCATGGAAAAATTGAAACCTGCTTCCTCTTAAGAGAAAAATTAAAAATGACAACTGGCCACAATAGGTCGTCTTTTTATTATGTTTTTCTCTTGCAACAAGGAACCCAGTTTCTATATTTTATAAAAAAATGTTCAAGATTCAAAGAGGGTCACACGTCACCGGGGTCAATGACTTTTTTGACCTGGTCATTATGATAATAACTAATAACAATAATATGTGTGATACTGTATACATGATCGGAAAGAACAAGTCAAGGGGACCACTCTTTGTCGTTACACATTTTGTTCTATCTCTAACAGGAGAACATATGGCCGTTCAAAGTTGTTTTTGCCTAAATAAAGGCTCGGGAAAACCACTTTTTTTACCCTTTGACCCTGAATATCTCGAAAACGAAAATTTGGACAAATGAACAACAATAAAAAAAAAAAAATTGTCCCACCATATTTTTTAATATGTTGGTAAATTATTTAGGCTATTTTGAAATCAAAATATTTTACTTCCGTCGCACTTTGATAAATTTATTTTTTCGTGCGTCACCGAGCAGGACGAAACCAAAATGGATCAAATTGTGTTTTGTGTCATCGTCGGTCAGATGAATGCTCAACATTTTCGAAAATTCCTTTTTTTTCAAAATCATTAACTTGTAAAATAGGCAATTTTGAGAATTGTTCAAAATCCTTCTAAAACATTTGACAAAATGATGGGCTTAATATCATTAAATTTGGTTGACCCTTGCCAAGAGTGTGTCAAATTAAAAAAATGCCCATAGAATTGAGGGAACTAATCAGTTATATAGCATCAGTCTGATTCGTTTGACAATTAAGTAAGTCTTGCTCAGATATACAGATTTATTTCGGGTACTGGTGTATTCTTTTCTTTAAAACTTTTGGGGAACAATTACTTTATCTTTTAGAATTTTACAAATTCAAGGGCGTTGTAGACAGTGAAGGATGGCAGGATTTGAAATTCCTTATCATGGTCGGCAAGACGACTCGAAAATTCAAGTTTATTTAATTTTCCTACAATCCAGATTATACATTACAGACTTCTTTAACTTTAAAAAGAATTTTACCGTTTGAATAATGAGCATTATTCACACACTGTATTATCTTGACTTCTTTTACCTGTGTGTTATTTTACTGCGAACTATAATTCTCTACAAAATAAGGAAATTTCGGAATTGAAAATTTGGGTGTCGAGATTTGCTAAGACAAAACGTTTATATATACTCTATCGATCAATTATCGCATTGATACTAAATTATAATATAATTTAGCTCCTCTTGCAAATGCAAAACTTACGGAAAGTTTGCGAAGGTACATTGACAAGTGCTTGTTAATCAGCCAGACTCGAGTTGAATTTAGGATTTTTGAAGACACCAAAACCATGATTGAAATCCTAAAAATTTGAAAAATAAAAAACAGGCAAGGGTCAAGGACGTGAACTCCTCGTTATGTGACAACAGAGTTGGGTTGTTTACGTTCCAAAAGATGGTACATACAAGTGCCCGGTTTGGGTCCACTGCTGCTGCTTATTGTAAAGGAGGTTCCTATTGCGCTATCTCTGTGGTCTTGATGCTAGGTGGTTACTGGAAGTTTGCTACCAAGAAAAGAAGTGTTTGCTACCTTCCGCAGCGCTGTGACGTCACGAATAGTTAGTTTTATAAACGTTTTCGGAATTGTGAGAAATGTTGCAGTTGCGAGATTAGGTCGTACCAAAGGGTCGTAATCGTAAAAAAATTACATATTCCTATTTCCCGATGATCCGATCCGATCAGTAGATTTAGAAGTCCCTTCCCCCACTGGCGTTCACACTTCACACGTGTGGAAGCGCTGCGATCGCCGAAAGGGCTTCCAAAATCATTCAAAGCTTGATTCAAAGATTTGAAATCTCCTGCGCTTGCGTTGCTCCTGCATGCTTGCTACACCCACACCCTCTGGCGGACTTCGACTCACTTATAATTGATTGTTGATTTTAGTCATTTCAGACCTCCTCTGTGCTCTAGTCTGTGTTTCAGATTTCAGACCAACGGGTTCAGAGGGTTCAGATCAACACCGGCCATCCAAGGATCCAAAAGGATTTTTCATTTCAATAAAAATATAAAATAAAAATTTTCAATAAAAAAAAAAAAATTATAAATTAAAAAAGATCCTTGCATCAGACCGTCTACCCAAAAAAAGTCAGTGGTAGCCACCCCAAGAAATTAACGTCTGACTGAAATACAGATTTTTATGTGTGGATCATTGAATTTAAAATTAATTGATTTAATATATAGTACGAAATTTCAAATCAAAAAATTATTTCAGCCAAAATATTTGAGAAAAGAGAAAAACAATTAAGTTCATTTAAATTTGAATTTGTTATGTTGGCATACAAGTATAAACGCTCTCTGATTCCTCTGATTGGCGATTGGCCCGTAGGTTGAAAACATTGCCATGTGTAAATTTTTGACGCTTTGTGCCGTTTTCGGCGAAGAGAACGGCGAAAAGAAGATGATTAATTGTTCGCTTGGTAGTTAATTCTTACTAATTTCGTATAATTGAGCTAATCAGTATTTTTTTCACAGTTCGCGATACAAAATTGTATGTCATTAAATTGTCATACATTTCTAAGAAACATCTTGAGTGCCTCTGTGATGATCATCGCAACACCCATTGCCAAACTGCCATCTGACATTGTAAGCCATCTCTAATTAAAAGACCATAAACAATTATTTTGAATGTAATTTCCGTAATTTCTGAATAAGCGGGTGAAACTTGCGAAAACTTAATCACACATGCCCGTAAAGTGAGTGCTTTGTCTGTTGAGATACGGCACTCGGGATGCCTTTGGTTGCTCATTTGATAGGTTATTTTATTCAACAAAATTTAATTCTCATTTCTGTTAAAACTTTTACTTTACTTTAAAATCTCAAGTAATTAAATTCTCTTTATCAATAGATTCGCCGGTAAGTTCTGTGAATAAAACCGAAGTCCATGGAAGATTGAGTGACACTTTATTACCTCAAAATGAAATTGGCAACACAAATAAAGTGACAGCAATTACAAAAACAGTTAACACCACGTAACTGACAGAGAGGAGAATAGAAGTGAGGCCCCGATTCCTTGCGCTCGGTATATTTATATTATTTATTGGCAACATATTTCCTGTTGTGGCGTCCTCTTGCCGCGCGGTGAGTCGTCCTGTGCCCTTTTGCATTACAAAGTCCGACATCCCTGTGGTTGTTTACTTCATTTTAGCACTATTTCCTTTTTGTTATTGAAACAACTCACAATGTCATTATTACCGCGCACATTATTAATTTATTTAATCGCGTCTTTAAATAAATTGATAAGGTCAAATAAATTTATAATTGTGTCCTTTTATACCTAAGACAAAATTTATTTTGTTAGAAGAACTTGACACTCAAGGAGATGATCATGGATGCTTGTCCTCGTAAAAAATTGTTTTTATTCAAAAAACAAATGGCATGAAATAGGGTCGCAGACCGTGACCGAAACTGGTAGAGCCATTTGTTTTTTGAATAAAACAATTTTTTACCAAATTTATTTTCATTTCGTTTTAACATCTTTCCAACTCCATTTAATTTTAATTTTTTTTTATCCCAGGCCAAGAGAAAATGTCTTGGCCTAGTTGGCCTGTGTCTTTTTTGAGCTTGCGGCAGGCGAGCACCAATCTTATATCTATTAGGGCATTTTTTTCCGACCAGTTTCGAAAATTTACAAATTTTTAGCAATGATTTTTTTTATTTATTATCATCTATTATTATTCACATTTTGATCCTTTATACTTTTAGTATCCAATTTGAAGTCAGCTTCATGATCACCTCATTCTTTATTCCATTATATTTGCATCAAGTATCCATTATTTCAACTTCATGTGGCTACTGCCTATTGCAACAATCAAAGATTCTCTTTTTATCTCTGTCTGAGGATCAGGTTTAACCTAGTCATTTTTTAACCTTTTTGTAACTGTACAATGAATAAGTTGCTTATTTAAATTTTCTAATTTATTCGCAGCTCTCGCAGTCGGCAATTGTATTTTTATGTTTTTTTAATGAACTTAAATCTTAGCAAAATAATTATGTCTAATTTTGATCAATCATTGTGTGCCTGATATTTTCTATTGTATAAGTCTTCTGACAATCTAAGTTTCTTTGAACTCTTTAAATATACTACAATTTAAGTCACCTTTAAAAGTGTTTAATAATTTAATAAATTAAAAATTGCATCAGGGGTGTTTCTTTTTGTTTTGGGCAACAATAAAAAAAAAAAACACCACAAGTTATTGCATTAGTTTGATTTAAAACAATATTATTGTGAGTGAGCGTCGCCCAAAGTGCGGCCATTGTTATTATTATTATTGTTGCTTTATTGCATTATAGATTGTAACGGTCTGCCAGCCGCCCAGCCGGCCCGACACGAGCGGCGCACGTCGTAAGCGCGGAAAGCGCGCGGCCCGCTTCGCGGCCCATGCGCTTTTGCCGCAGCCCGAGGGCCGCTTCGCGGCCTTTTTGGCGGCCCACCGGGCTCTCGCCCGGTGCGCCCGATTACCCAGTCCGGGCCTGTTGTAACCCCATGTTGTGTCTCCTTTGCGACCCACCAATTTACAATTTTGTCATAGGAAAAATACAAAGTACCTCTGCAACTACTAGACAAGCAGCATGGATATTTAATTTTAATCGTTTTGTGTTCATTAAGAAAGATTTTTTATTTATTCAGCGATGTTAAAACCTACTTTCATATTTTATTAATTTTCCTTTAATTACACTTCACCTGCACTTAATTAATAAAAAAAAAATGGGTAACTTGGGGTTCTAGAGGAGGGTTTAGCACTGGTCAAAATTGATGCGTTTTAATGAACATAACATTCATCAGTCTCATCACAAATATTTAAAGAAAAATTATATCATTTACATCATCTATTGCTAGACCCTCTTTTAAGGTCGAGGGTCACGGGGGTCAATGACCTTAAGTGACTTGACCTGGATGACCAATACATTGTTCAAAAGGAAAATCAATTTATAACATTTTTTGTCGTGACAAATTTTTACGTATCCCTCACAGAAATCGAGTTATCGCCGTTTGAAAATTAATTCCTATTGCGGAAAAGTGATTTTTCGCTGTTTTTTAATATTCATTTAAATTTATCTTGAAAACTGAATATTTTTTCTTTCCAGAAATCAAGTATTTTGTTCTACACACTCCGGGCTACATTTTTTCCTATACCCCCAAAAAAATCGGAGGGGGTCATCTTTTCGAAAATTGCGTTTCAAAGTGAAACTTGAAAATTAGTGACCTTAACTTTTGACCTACACAAAAACTTTCAACAGCAAAGTTGTCGGGCATAAAAAGTTGCGTCTGGAGATGAAAAGAATATAGTTATTTTCTCAATTGGAGCAAATATTCAATATTTTGTGAATTTGGGAAAACTCGTTTTTCCGGAAAAGTGCTCAAAATTTTTTATTGAAAATTTAGGGAGACGAAGCTCTTGTTGACCCCAACAACATACTAAAAAATCAGAATGGCATTCTTTCATCTTTGTATCGTAACAAAAGTGGTTAATTCTTTCAAAAAAATGCCCTCATACATTAAAAAATATCAGGCACAAAATTGATCAAATTTTTGTTTTTAATTTAGACATCATTCTTTTGCTCAGATTTCAATGCATTGAATGGAGAATAAATAAAAAATATTTTTATGATAAAAAAAAACATTGAATAGTGCTGATTGCGAAAACTGCGGATTGTGGGCAAAGTTTTATGCTGTGGAAATGCTACAGAATATATTAAAAAATTAAAATAATTCACTAAAGACCGGTGAAACCGCCCAGTGCTTATGCAGTAGTGCCAACCAAAAAAATATAGTCTGGAAAATACTAGAGATATACCAAATGGAGAAAAATATACTTTGATTTATAGCACAATTTTTTGAAGACAAGGATTTAGAACCATTCAATGAAATCTTTGAAAGACCTCGAAAGTGACGAGGTTCTTGTAAAGTTAATTTATTTATTTTTCTCCAAATAATTCAGAACAATTATTGTGAAAAATTGGTTGGAAGAACACAGTGCTAGTGAACAATAACTCTCACTTTAACTCATAGCCGGTGAAATTGTTTATATTTGAACACAAATTCTATAATTTCAACGAATTTTATTAATTTTATCATTTAATTAATAATGCAAAGTATAGTGACTTATGGAAATGAAGAGATCGGGCTTTTCCTCGTTGCAAAAATTGTTTTTATTCAAAAACAAACGGCTCTACCAGTTTCGGTCACGGTCTGCGACCCTATTTCATGAGCAAGAAAAAATGCAAAAAATCAGCAAATTGGAAAAAACACCACATTTTAAAATAAATTTAAAAATCTATTTTATGACCATGTATGTGAAATTATAATGCTTAGCAAAACAAATTAATCTTAAGCCTTGAAAATCATACAATCACTTAAAATTATAATCAATAATTTGCAATATGAAGGCCATCTCAAACGGAATTTTCGCCAGTTTCATCATAAAAACTTTCATGTGCCAATGACATTCTCAAAGACATATACTCGTTGAATTCTTTTTCTTTCGTTCTACTCCGTAGTATTGGCAATTCTGATAATTCTATTGGTGGCTGAGGTTTTTCAGCTAGTTTGCGCTTTTTCTCAATAGCTTTGGCAATTTCCTTTTTGATCGCATTCATTCCTAGCCTAGTGTTGAACTCCATTAGCTCAGAAAGCCTGTCAAATTGCTCATGTGTGTATTGGAAGTTGAGAATCGAATAGGGAGTGTCCGGCCCAAAGATGTTGAAGTCAGCAAAATACTTCTCCTCCTTGGTCTCCCTTGGAACTCCTAATAAATTTATCATATACAGTATAAAATAAGTAAATATAAATATACACACATTCACACACGCACGCACGCACACACACATTGTTATTTGGTACCTGGTTCTTTGAAATCGCGGAAGGTTTTGTTGAGTATCACAAAATGCACAACAGTTGGACACTGAAAGTCCTCGGTATTTTCAAAAATATAGAACTCCCTTATTGGTTCTTGAACAAACTTTTTAGTCTGCTGTTCCACTGGTGGGAAGGGAACGTGGTTCAGTTTTGCCCATTTTTCAGACACGATCAATTGCTACAATTTTATTTATTAACATTTTAACAATTTTTGTTGGGAATAATTTTTTTACCTTAAAAGGCATTTCGAGGTCTGATTCTCGGGTACTAAAGTCAAAACTTAAATAGAGATCTACCGCTCTTTGTGGCCGAAGCAGTAGTGGGAATGGGATATTGAATGTGAGCCCCGAGTCCACAAGGTATAGCTTTTTCGCATTTAGATTTGTTGCTTCATAGTGTCCCACAAAATCTGTGTCTTGATATGTAATTAATTTAAATTTTTAATTATACCCCATAATACGGAGTCAATATTTTTACTATCTTCTGGTGTTGTTGCAAGGTGGAATGGTGAGATGTCAAAGGTATTCTCTAAGTTGAGTCCTCGCAAGGGGTTGAAAATCATGCCCGCCCTTCCATCCCTGGTGTCCAGAATGTCGCTGCAGAAAAGTGCGTCTATACTGCGGCCCCAGATGTTCTTTGCTTTTTCCTGCTTGTTTTTTTTTACTGTCTGTCGCCGCGTTCTCCACGAATTTGGCTTTTCTTGTTTATCATTTTTATTTTGAGCTCGCTGTTTTAATGCTCCTCGTCTTGCAAGTTTTTTAGCTGCGCCAATTTATAATATTTTATTATTCCAATATATCATGGAAGCATTTGAAAAGCGATTGAGAAGGGGAAGATTATGATGAATTAACCCTTTTAGAGACCCATACATAGGTGTTCGTATAGCGACCCACTCTTCTTGACCTTTAAGTCTCTTATGGTCAAGAAGCTAATAAAAGCACTTCAGCAAACCATAATCTAAGGGATTTTTAGCTCTCAATAATAAAACTAAAATGAAAAGTTTCATTAATTAGTCAAGTCAAGCCATATAAAAATCACACGTTGGATCAAAATATTTACAGCGAAGTTAAGAATAAGTCAGTTAGTAATAATTATTATAGAATTTCGGATTAAATTCCAGACTGCTTGTTTTTGGGTTTGCACCACTGCAAATGCTCTGCCTGGTTTATATATTATATGTGGTTTTTCTTATCACTGTGGCTGTTAGTGGGAGTTTTTCCTAACAGCTGCTTGGCATCATTTAGTTCGCTTTTATTGTGCTGCCTCAAGAAGTTTTTTTTTCAGGGTCATGCCAAGACAAAGTCTTGTCGGCTTGTGCCCTTTATTGGTGGTACAGAAGGCACCACTCAATTAATTTTTATTTTTTCATTGTGTACCGGTGCCTTTTGTGTGCGTGCGTGCGTGTGTGTTTTTCTGTTAGTGAGTTTGTGTACGACATTTTACGTTTTGGTGAACTTAAATGCATTGCCTAGACGGCGATTTCGCATTTCGGTTTTTTATTTTTTTCGCTGAGACCTTGATGAAAATTATAGTCATGAAGTGGTTAAAGTAGTCGATGTACATTTTTTTAATTGTCTAATGACGTGTCAAAAATGCGTTTTGTATTGTGTTGTTGGTTTTTTTTTTGGTGGTGAGTGGTGCATTGGGTCTTGGTTTTTTCATGCATTGTATTTGCGCTCAGATGGTTGTGCAGTAAATGAATTGGTTCCAATAATTCCAATCGTTTTTTTTTCTTTTTAATTTTTTGTGGATGCGTATTGAATTATGCTGTTTTTTGTGTGTTTTGCAGGGTGTTCATATATTGTTGTCTGTGGTGTAGAATTTCACGATCGAGGTTTGCTTCATGGTGTTTTGAATTTAAAATCGGCTTTTCCTCGATGGGTTTTTGTGAGTTGTTTATTGTTTCAGAAAAACAATATCCTGCTCTACATGTTTCGGCTGCGGGCTGAAGCTATAATTCATGAGCTTTCTTGGCGGCGGTCGAGAGAAGACTGTTTTGTTATTGTTTTTCTGAAACAATAAAAAACTCTCAAAAACCCATCGAGGAAAAAGCCGATTTTAAATTTAAAATACCATTTTTTTCTGTTGGGTAAAAGTAAATTGTCTTTATTTAATGTTTTTTTTTTTTTTTTTTTTTTTTTTTTTTTTGTAAAATTGTCTTTTAATCTAGTGCTAATACGTTTGCTTTTCAAGTTTCGTTAAATTATATTTAATTTTTCTTTTCTATATGTGGTGTGTAGCCTACCGGTATAGTCGTGGTTTTGGTATCGGTAGACTACGGTTTGAATCTGTGGCAGTTATAAGGCACCGTCAAACCCAACAAATTCATAGACACATCAATTCAATATCACACACGGCCATCCGCCACAGCCCGCTCCACTAGCTTGCTGTTAACATACATACAATAGAAGACCGAGCTGTGATGGATCAAGGATCAAGCCCGTGTGTGGCCACGGCCACACACTTTTCCCACAAATCCAGCCGCGGGTGCCGGCTTTGGCAACTGATATTTCTATAAAAGCCATGGCAGCCAACCCTAAATAAGCAGTCTGGAATACACTCTATATACACATATACTGGAAAAAGAATAAAAATTTATGAAAAAAAAAGGAATAAGCATACAATATTTGTGAAATTCCTTTAACTTACTTTTTTCATCTGTCTCATCCTCAGAGCTGGTGACAAGTTCCTCGCTACTTGAAGCAGATTCCTTATCTATATTTGGCTTCTCCTGAATATTCATGACATTTTTGAAATCTGAAATTAGTGTGGGAACGAAATTAGTATTTCATTTTACTTCATTGATACTAAAATCAGAAGATTCTATATAAATTGTGGGGGGAAAGGAGATGCGCAGTCAAAGATACAAGCTTCACCGCTGTTAAAACTGTCCTAAAACCACATCTATCAAAAACTCTTCAAACTCTTGAGTATTATTAAATTATTATTATTGCTATTTATTGACTTATGTGGCGTCACCACGATGTAATTACTCATTGCGACGCGCCGCATTTGCAACATAGTACAAAACAAGTCAAAAGAGTAAAAAAAACTACAAAAATATTACAATTCATCAATTAGTTGAAAAAACTCTTCTTTGCTATAAATTTATGTGAATGAACAAAACGCCTCAAACTAGCCTCAAAAATCTTGTATCGAGGCTCCAAGCGAATCGAAACAGGCAATTTGTTATACAAAGCAGCTGAACAAGTCAAAGGGTTCTGCTTAGAAATTAACGAAGTCAGAGCAGGAACATACAAATCACTCTTTGTCTTTGCCCTTGTCTGATAATCATGAACTTCACTTGTTTTTTGAAAATAGTGTGGGTATTTACGAACAAATTTACATGATTCGAAGAGGTAAATTGAAAAAACAGGCAGGAAGTCGAACCGAGAGAAAAAAAATTTATTGCAAGAATTATGAGTTTAGTAATTTAACCTTTATGTAGTTGACTCATTGGCAACGCACGACGCGCCCCATTTGTAACATTTCCAAATCAATCCGAACATTGTTTGGCATGGGTTGTTGGATTTGTATGAAACTTGGCATGGATGAAACGCGGGAGAAGTTTGAGCTATATGTGCCGGTCCAGACGTGTGCTATTTCGAGGCAAAATCCGCTCCTTTGCTTGTCGCGATTGTATAATAATTTGCCTGTGTCTATTAGATAGGAGTTAAGATTCGCTCAGTTTGTGAGCTTGTTAAATATATTTGTTAGTTCTCACAAGTTCTATACTGAAGAGGAGTATATAAGTAGCGAGCAGCGCGTTTACTCATGAAATGGGGTCGCAGACCGTGACCGAAACTGGTAGAGCCGTTTGTTTTTGAATAAAAACAATTTTTTGCAACGAGGAAAAGCCCGATCTCTTCATTTCCATGATCATCTCCTCGAGTGTCAACTTCTTCAAATATATGGATCTCCCTTTTGAGCATTTATCTGCACGGTTATGCTTCGTTAGACACATTGGGCCAGGGTCGGCAGGGTGAAAGGAGTACGGAATGTGTTGGAGTTGTTGGTGGTGGGAATATCAAGGATGTGGAATTTTAGCGGATGCGCCATACGTATAGGAATTTATGCTTGCATTCGCCTGGAATTTCTGATCGAAAATTATCAGACATCAGTAAAGTCAAAATTGCAGACAAAATGCCTGCAATTTCTTCCGAATCTTACTTTTGCAGTGCTCTTCCTATATTGTTCAAACTTAATGCGGCCATAATCAGAGCTTTTCACACCTGACCCCAGTAGATGTAGCAAAATTAATATTCTTTCATTGACTTATAGTGTGATACTGCGATGCAATCATATATAGTACCCACGAAGATTAGTAGTACTTCTAATCTTAGTAGTTTAATGTAAAAAGCCATGCATAGCGTTTTACATTTTTACTACTCAGATTATCAGCCAAGCGTACTAACCATGTGCCACACACAGTTGGTTAAATTTTAATTTAATCTTAACTATGCTGCTTACCTTCATCATCAGATTCCCCCTCTATGTCAAATTCCAACTGCGCACTAGTTCTGTTGTAGCTGTGAGTTAGTGCTTCAACCTCATTCTTGAAGTCTCTTAGTTCCTCATCACTAGTGGAAGTTAAGTCCCCTCCACTGGCGGTTCCTTCACCACGTATGTGCCACTTCAAAAGTTTGCAAAACGCACTTCCCCAAACTCCCTTAAAATAAAAATTATCATCGGGCAGGGTTGTTATGTAAACGTGCAATATAAAATATAATATATTTTTATTCTTTTTTCTTCTCAATCATTAAAAAAATACAAAATTTGAAAGAAAAAAAGGGAGGGAAGAAAAGATTTACAACAAGCAGATGTCTTCTAAAACGCCCATCAAAAGAGACTTGGCCGCCGCGGTAAACCCATATATGCAGTTGGATAAATGCCTTATATAGGATTAGTCAATTGACCTTCTGATGTCCAACCGCGCGTTGGTCAGAAGGCATATTTTGTGTATGAGTGCATGGTTCAAAAAGTTTTGTCTAGAAAGAATTGCAAGAAGTTTGTGCCACGAAAACTACTTAAGTGATTTGATATTTAAGTAAAAACTGTCATCTTTTGTCAAATTATTTTCGTTATTTCCTTTTACAAATTAAGACTCGAGTAGCATGAACAATACTTTAAATGGTGTAAATGCCATCTTAAAAAAATTATGTGCATAGACGCACATCATTTAGTTAATTTAGATTAAAATTTCAATCGTTTTTAGAATGGTTATTATTATTATTTAATTTCTGAAATATACACGCACTATACTATTTGGTGCGATTTTTTGCCTTAAGTTATAGCCCGTAGCTCTTAAACTTATTTTTCAAAGCTTTCTGAACAAAGCACGCTTAATGAAATTTTTAATTTTACTTGTAAAAAGTGAAGTGGGTACTCAGGAAATTCTTTTATTATTTTTCCGAGGAAGAATTTGCTGCCAAATTGCTGTGGCTTCATGAACGAGCCATACTTAGCCATCCCAACTTCGAACGGGCTGAATTCTATCCAGTCCTGCAAACCAACGTCAGTAGAGCAAGCCACAAATGATTAAACACTGGCAAAAATAATTCATGAAAAAATGAAACCTGGTTCATCATTGCAAGAGAAAAATTGCAACGAGGAACACGTTTTCAATTATTTATGAAATATATCCACATCGAGTTTTCTCTTATAAATTCAATTCCAAATCTAACTTGTTACCTGAAATGCTCTAGCTGACACGTTTTTCTTAACATTTATACACGTGTAAAGCGGCATTGGCGCTCTGCCATGTTCTAAGCATCTTCGTTGGCTCGATAATGTCGAATTTTTTAATTCTGGCCCCAGCAGAGTCTCACCAATCAAGTGCCCAAATACGTCCGAAAATGAAACAGGCTGCCCATAAGTTTTCTAAATAGTTTGTTCTTTATATTTTTATGAAACACGTTTTATGGTTTTAACTTTGTTTATCAGCTCTCTCGAGTAGTGGAAGAATTTCTTCAACAACAATTTTTTCCAATCTTTTGAAATGGATTCTCTTAGTTTAGATCGAAAATATGCGGGAGATTTCTCGGGAAAGTCTGGTTGCGCGTATAGATAAGACAAATACCTGAAAGTGCACGGATGTTAGAGGAAAATTTAAAATATAATTTTTGTAAAAACCTTTCGAGGATGGAGACATTTACATCCTCAACACCCACTCCAAAAACATCAATATTTAAAAAAAAAAAAAGCGAAAAATGGGGAATTCAATATTATTTCTGTACATAATTATGTTGATCTATACGGAATAAATATATGAAAAATTGAAACCGGGCGAACCTCGTTGCAAAGAAAAAATGAAAAAATAAAGGACAACTGACCCCAAAGGTGACCTGCGGTCTGCTGGAATAAATATAATATGAATATGATCACTTTGCTTTGCAACCACCCCTTTTCCTAGAATTTAACACCAAATTGATAAAATCACACATCACACATTATACACAGCGTCTCACGGCAATAGTTGTTCATAAATGATTTAACCCAAATAATAATTTGCTCAAATCATAAGATTCAATAGTCACATAAGAATTTGTTCACATGTATTACATATGTCTAATGCAATAAATTTTGATCTAATCTAATCTAATCTAATACTCAAATGGCAATCAGCCAATTTAATGAGATTAAAATAGAATGTATATATGTTTCTTTCTTCCATCTTATTCTATCTTTCATTTGACCCGGTTGTAAAAGTGGATTACGACGGAAACATTACTTGTAACATCACTTATGACACAATAAAAAAGTGCAGGAATAAATAAATAAAATAACAACCATAACGCAACGAAAGAGATGCAATAATAATAATAATCATAACAGCTTTATGGTAATAATAATTAATATAATTATAATAATAATAATAGTCTTCAAAGGAATAAAAAAATATCAATATCAATTTTTCTGTTGCTTGGGGTTTGCGTCGCTAGTACGTTACTTAGAGATCAGGAAAATTGAGATCATTCATGACGTATAAACTATGAATTAAATTTATTGGCAATAATTTGCATTTTATTTTTGCCGGTTCCATTGAGGAATTAAAAAACTATTACCATGATGATCCTGAGAGAGAAGCCATGTATGCCAAACAGTCAGTGATACCCTCGTCGTGAAGGGCAGTGCACACCCCAGTCATTGAAACCAAAGCTCGGAAACCTCCTCCAGACCCCAAAAATCCAATCATTGGGACCTGAATTATATTTATTAATATAGTAATGCTAAATTCAAAACGATTTCAATAGGCAGCTTGATTTTCTTACTTCTCTGGTGCTCTTTGGTCCATTTTCAGGCATTAAATTGTTCATTGCTACCATTATTCTTTCCCTTCGCATTCTCAAAAACTGTTTCTCCTCGTCTGATAAGGCTAAACTGTATCTTAAGTCAGGCTTTGAGCTGAAAATTAATAGGTTGATAGTAAATTTCTTTTGCACTATATTACAAATTGCTTACTTTTCGGTCAATTCCACCTTCAAAAATATCTTGGCACCCTAGTTGAAAGGTTTAAATTATTCTTTGAAAATAAAGTGTTTGAAAGTTGTCAACACCAAGGAAATTGAGTCGATTTTAGAACAGTGCTTTTTCCAAAAACTACATAACGCAGCGTTTCTTTTTTAATTTGTGATAAATCATCCCATGACCACAGATTTGCAGAAATACAAACAGACTTCTAACTGAAAAATCTTTAAAAATTATATTTTCTCTCAAAGCACGTCATTTATTATTCGGCCCTGGTTTTATACAATTTATAGGTTTAAATCTTAAATTCTTGATTTTATTGCCATCTGTGGTTCAGTAAACAAATTTACTAAAGGCGAAATTTGACGGTTTCTCGGATTATACAGAACCAAAGTTGTTATAGAGAAACGGGAAGTAAACTCGGCAGGCTTACTGTAAAATTTTACACAACATTTTATCACACAATTTTGTTTTCCCCACTGGAATGAAAGTTAGATACAAGTTAAGTCGTGTTGCTTGAAAAATTTTTTGCAACAAAATAATAGCAGTCCAGGGAAGAAAGATTTCTACCCGAAAATTATCACCAAAGGTGCAATAAGACACACTTTCTGGGATTTCCCAAAGATTTCAAATGTTTAATTGTAAGAAGAAATTGCAATAAATATTCTGCGACCAACATTTATGACAACATGTTTTATGAACATGCATGAGTTTTTGCTGTGTCAACTAGAAATAGTATTATATGTTAAGGTTTAAGGTACTGACTTATTCTAAAGATCGTTGTAAATATTTTGATCTAATGCAGAATAAATATGTCTTGACTTGACTCTATGACATGCATTAATATTTACATACATGGGTGCGCTCAACAATTTTGCGCTCGCGCTCACTGGCATCAGTGCGCTCGCGCTCTGCGCTCGCGCTGAAGATTTTGAAAATGTTGCGCTCGCGCTCAAATTTTTGAAAAGTCATGCGCTCACGCTTTGCGCTCATGAATATTTTTATCCGAAGAAAAAGTGCGTCTTTTTAAACAATTTTTTAATGTAAAAAAAACCTTCGGCAATTCAAAATGATGAAGTTGAAGTTAAATTACCAAAAGTGGGATCAGTTTTGAAGTTTTTGGTAAAAAAAACATTGTTTTTCGTTACAATTTTTGATCAAATTTTGGGTTTTTTTTCTTTTGGTTTGAGCGCAAATGAGCGCTGCGCTCAGCGATCACCAATGCGCTCGCGCTCGTGAGCGCAGATCGCACGAGCGCAAAGTGCGTTCTGCCCATGCATGAATATTTATTTATTGTGTAAAATTTTGTGAACTGTATTTTAAATTTGGTAAGCTGTACTATTCCAAAGATTATTTCTGTACATATGTTGATGTATATATTGAATAAATATTATCTGAATCTGAATCCGATTGTCAACTTCTTCAAACAAACCTTTTTTTTTTTTGTTTTATAGCTCTGGAAAATATATTTTAAGGGAAATTGTTACACACTTTTAGTAATTAACACTTTCTTCCCTAAATTCAAAGCAGCAAAAGTTTGTGGAATTGTTGAAAAATTAGGGTTTCCCGCTCCATTACGTTATCAAACATGGGCCTAGAAGGCTCAAAATCACTCAAAATCAAAATGCCCTTATCATCAAGAAGATGATCATTGAAATGAAAATCGAGCTTTTTCCTCGTTGCAGAATTTTTTTTTATTAAAAAAGAAATGGCTCTACCAGTTTTGGACACGGTCTGCGACCCTATTTCATGAGCAAGAAATTAAAAAAAATAAATTCAGCAAAATTGTAAAAACACCAATGTAACATAAAAATTAAAATCTTAAAACTAACAAATTCAAGGACCAACCTATTTCATAAGCAAACGCGCTGCTCGTTGACTAATACTAGAAAGAGTTAGGATTTTTTTTTTAATTTTTACGTAAAAATGTGGTGTTTTTTTCAATTTGCTGATTTTTTGTATTTTTCTTGCTCATGAAATAGGGTCGCAGACCGTGACCGAAACTGGTAGAGCCATTTGTTTTTGGATAAAAACAATTTTTACAACGAGGAAAAGCCCAATTCTTCATTTCCATGATCATCTCCGCGAGTGTCAATTTCTTCAGACATATAAATATACGCACGTTTTTAAAAACAGCTACATAATCTTTGCTGTCCCTTCCGGCACTGGCATCAAGGTCGTCCAATGGCACAATGTGCCTGCCCATTTCACCATCCTTAGTATAATTAGCGTCCATTACCACGATCTCTGAATGATAAATTGTTTTTTAAAAATTGCCACGCAAATTGTGTGAAAATTGGACTTTAATTTCATTATTAATATGTAATATTATACATTTTATTATTATTATTATTATTAATGTTATTATTATACATATTATTATTATTAATTAATTCGATCCGCCGCGGCGTGTTTTCCTTCAGAATCGTTAAGCCCTGGAACGACCTGCCACCTGCCCTACAGACTGTCCCTCAAGCAATTTTAATTACCTCCTTCTGCAAGCGGGATATATAAATAACAAATATGATAGTTTATTTTCTTCCCTGCTGTTTGTTTTCATTGACAAAATTGTAAATTGGTGGTTTGCACGTGAGATAAATATTTTACATGTGATTACGTTCCATAATGCAATAAAGCCACAATAATAATAATAACTGCAAGCGAAATTGCAGTTTTTAAAAACTGAACTTTCAATTTCATGCATTTTCAGTTAGATGTTTTTCAAATTTTTTGATCATTGTATTGTATTGTACTATTTATTGTGTTATGGAGTGATATTACAGATATAATGACACTGTTGCAACTCACCCATTTACAACTTGGGTCGTGGATAAAAAAATATTCACAATATTTACAAAGCAGAGAAATATTTTAAGAACTCCTCCTCGGAAAAAACTTTTTCGTTGTCACAAATTTTTTCAGCAAATTAACAAAACTAACAAAAGTAAATCTAATTTGCAGGAAATCACCACAAATTAAAAAAAAAAATGGTTCTTCCAGGTGACAGACTTCCAACTTCTTTCAACCAATTTCTGATTTTTTTTCTGATGTTTCTGTTGTTTTCTTGTTCCAAACTACGAGGCATATGGCTTACCTAGCTGATAAACGTCTTCTGGGTCAAGATAAAACTCAAATTCCTGCTTCCAAACCGGGTTCAAAGTGTTGTCGATGGTTTTTGTGTGCTTGCGACCATTGGGAGTCCCAGGTACAGACAATATCAGGTACGGATCCGGTTTGTCCACTTTGTGATAAGATATTTAAAGTATTTATTTGGCAAGTTATCAGATGAAAAATCTCACCAAAGTCGCTGAGCCATCCTTTGGAGATGTTAACACCCTTGTCAACGAATACTTTAAGTATATGACATTCTCTATGCTTTACCTTGGTACAAGAAGAATAAATATTTGAGCATTTCCGAGTGAGAGGCATTGGGCAAAAAAAATACCTAACCTCATTTTAAAATACGGAAGTGTCTAGAGGGTTCTAAAAGATTTTGAATATAAAAAATATCAGATAAATATAAGATATGTTTCTTAGAGTCTTATCTTGAATGTAGATTTTTTGGGGTTTAAAATAATCCGAAAAATCTCTGGAAATCACGGTTTTCAAAATTATGTCTGTATTGTCTCAAATATGGCCATTCTGAAAATTACAAGGCCGACGTAATTTTTTGGGCTACATTTTTTCCACAACCAAATAAATCAGAGAAGGCTGCTACCATCGTCAAAATTTGACATAAAAAATCCATAGCACCGGACTAAAAGTTTTTTGTCAACAGCAAAGTTGTTCAGCTTGTAAAGTTTCACCAGGAAAGTTCATCATTGTTATAACCCAAACCGTTCCAAATTTATGGGAATTAAAAAAAAAAAATGAAAAAAACTCGGGTCATTTTTCACGCCCTAAAATTTTGGGTAAGGCACCATTTTTGAGGTCTCAAAATTGTCAAGGATACCCACTTTGACATTATGTTAAAATAAGATTGAGTAATTTTTTTGTCCAATGCCCCCTCAATCTCACTCGTATATATGCTTGTTTTAAATTAACTAAATTCTTTAATCTCGCAACATTGCAACTATGTTTTATGACATGCATGAGTTTTTGCTGTGTAAACTAAAATATTAATAATATAATATTATATGTTAAGGTACCGACTTATTCTAAAGATCGATGTAAATATTTTGATCTAATGCAGAATAAATATGTCTTGACTTTCACAAGAAATGATGTTAAAGTTATTTTGTGAGTGAATTGGTAGCTAGCTATTCGAACAATGCAATGTACTCTGACTTATTTAGAAAGCGCGGTTGTTTCTTTAAGCGATGATTTACAAAATATAAGAATCTTGAGTGTAGCTACTTACTAATACACCTGCCTTGGCTTAATTTGGAAGAAACAAAAACGTTCAAAAACGTTGTGTGTTGGCTGGAGCCATAAACGGATAAAAAGGTATAATTATTCGATTCTCCGCAAATTGTCCTCTTCATTAATACTTATGTACTATTGGAATATATTGGATATTGGTATAGGAAAAAAATAGCAAATATGGTAATCACTAAAAACTAATTTTTTTGTATATATATATATATATATATATATATATATATATATATATATATATATATATATATATATATATATATATATATATATATATATATATATATATATATATATATATATATATATATATATATATATATATATATTATAATTGATAATTATGCAAATTTAAAAAAAGGATTTTAAATTTTTACCTGGAAAATTTGGAAGGGATCAAAGCTGAAAATTAAAGCAAATTAATCAATTAATTTATTTTTAAAACTGAATACATGCACATACATATCAAAAACTAGCACACACAATTTTGAGTCACTATTTTCAAACATGAAAATATATAATTGGAATATTTAGCCTGATTTATAGGTATTAATACTTAACCCCTGCCCTGTATTCAATATTTATTGCTTACAGCGTATTATCATACCACGCAGCGTAACCTACTCGTTTGCAATTCGTGACGAACACAAATAATTCAATAATCATTATTTGCTTTCCCCTTAACAATTCTTTTATTCAACGCGTTTGCGTACAACATGCGCTGCTGGAGCAGCACTACAAAAAGAACATTCATACACCACCTACTCGCCGAGATGTTCTGATTTACCTGTCTAGGGACCACATTCCGCTGACGACTCGCATTTGCATAGTTTGGTTTTGCCAGTTGCGTTTGGCCGCTTCACCTGCGGCCGAGTACGCTTTACTGAAATTGTGTCGCATAGCACATGGCTCCATCGCTTCACTGACGCGCACAGCACAAGACACTAATTTTTCAGTGTGCCAGAAGCACAATACATACTAATAACTGTAACCTGAAGGAAACCAAACGGTGTAGATTGTGGAAAGGATATAGTCGCGATAACGTCAACATAGCGGGCAACGCGCGGTTATACACTAAAAGAGTGGTATAAGATAAAAGTCTGGTACGCGTCATCTACCCACAGATTGGGCAGCCCCACCATGATTCCAGCGAGAGACCTTCAAATCTTGCCCTACCTCTTATATAACTTTACTAGAGAAATGGTGTAACTGTATAAAAATTTATCAAGCCGTGTTAATATTGGGTAAATTAGCTAAACCTTCCTCTACTCTAAAACATCAATACTGTAAATAATTCTATTAATCTAACATATAATATTTTTAAAATAATTATTATCATTGAATAAGATAAAAACGGGCTTTGCCCTCGTTGAAAAAATGTTTGTTTTATAAAACTGCCCCTACCAGTTATAGTCAGGGTTGGCGACCCTAATTCAAGAAAAATACACTAAAAATAATCTAAATTGAAAAACCAAAAAATTTTAACCATAAAACTATGTTGCAAATGGGGCGCGTCGCAATGAGTAATTACTTCGTGGTGACGCCTCATACGTCAATAAAGATCAATAATAATAAAAATAAGTAATAGCAGATTTGAGTGCCACAGGTACCAGCACTTTTATTTTCGAGCGTCTGACCAGGCAAACTCACGTCAGTCACGGGTTGAGCTTTGGAAACTATATATTGCTTACGGCGGTGGATGCTGTTTTTTAGAGGAGGAGCCGCTTTTTCTCAAATGCGCACAATATGTGCCTGTCGTCTTTCAGCGCCTATGTTGACGGCCGCACGCTTATCACCCAATAAAGATTACCTCTCCCAATCATTTAATTATTAAATCATTATTGCATCCCTTTTTTGCCATATAGTGGGATTTTTCAGATATTAATTTTTTCAGCTCACCCATTTGCAACGGGTCAAAAGATCAAAACAAGGAAAATATTTACACCAAACAATATTAAAGAATTAATCCTGGAATCAAACTTCTGCATTGATAAAAAATCTCTCTTTAGCTAGCTCCTTCGTGTACAAGTCAGCGAAAAAAAGCGTTTGCTCATGAAACAGTATTTGAACTTTTTTCAAGAAATTGGCACTCGAGGAGTTGAAGAGATCAGACTTTTCCTCGTTGCAAAATTATTCGAAAATAAAACAGCCCAAATCAGTTTTGGTCACGGTCTGTGACCCTATTTGATGAGCAAGAAAAATACAAAAAATTAAAAATTTGCAATCTGAATAACTTCACATTTTTACTTCAAAATTAAAGGTCTTCATCCTTCTTTTATGAAAAAAATAAAGCTTTTACCCCACAGCAGTTTAAAATCCTATTAAATTTTCAATCAGTAACACATAAGAGATGTGATCGACCTGCGATAGATAAATAAAAATTTTGTATGTGGTAATTTGAGAACATTGAGAAAAATCCTATAAATTACTGAAAATCCATGAAAATAATTTATTCCATAAATTTTGCACATGCAAATGTTATTCATCTAATTGGTAGTTTGTAACAGCCAGATTACAGAATTTTGAAATTTTATATCAGTAAAACCAATATTTGTGCATTTGAAATTTTTACACAGTCAAAAATACATGCTGTGAGCGTAGGTCCCTTATGATTTGTATATTTGATTCTAAAGGCTCCTCATAAATAAAGTTTTCAATTCAAAATTATCTAAATAAAATTAACTAATTTGAGCATAGCTTATATAAAAAATATACTAAATATTGTTGAAACTTGAAGTTCTGTCCAACAAATATTATAACACTAAATGCTAAAAAAATCAACATGATATTATAAATTGACTGAATGCAACAGCATCAGATTTGAGCTAACTGAAATAAAATTCTTCTATTAAATGCTTCCCTTTCTGGATCAAACGACTGAATGCAAAAATTTCTTGGAATACTCGTAAGCCAAAAATAAGGCTGCAGAGGCTGGAATCGTTCTGATGACAGTTGGTTGGAGTCCATTGTACAAAGCTAAGAACCCTGAAAATTTCAGAATAATGAAATGTTGAAAATGTCTTAACTTTTGAGAACAAACCTTCATTCTTAAATATTTTCATCAAGAGACTAAAGAACGGTTCCTTTGAGCCGGTGACTTGGATTCTTGACTTGACAACGTCAGCAGGGAAAACCGAGCACCAGAAGAGAATTCCGCCTATGGCACCGGAAGCCATTGTTCTTAAGGCCCCTAAATAAAATAAACAAAAATTAAAAAAACCTCTAGAGAAATTTTTTATAAGACTTGCCAATTTGATCTTTAGTTTGCCCTTCACCAGCAAAGAGCTCTCTGGAAAATTCGTAACCTCCGAAGAAAAAAAAATAGCCCGGCATTTCTCTAGCAATTGTCGAAGTAAGCCCTCGGAACATTCCATTCACACCCTCTTGTTTGAGAATTTGTTTGGTCAAACCAAATGGTCCAATTCGCACTTGCTAGAAATAGAATGCAATAGAATAATAAAAACTTATTATCAAAAAAGAAAACACAAAGGGGGAAATCGGCAAAATTAAAATATCAAATTTGAAATGCACCTTTTCTTTAGGTAACTGGGCCTGCATCTCTCGCATTGCCTGCAATCGACATTTAATCAACTCGGTGGGGCAGAGAGCAAAGGCAGTGAAGAAGGCAGCCATGCAACCTGCAGTGGCGTTCGCAGGCACTGTGAGGTCCTGCACTTTCTGGAAAATAAATTTTTGGGTTCAATTAAGATTTTATTGATGACGATTAAAATGATAAATGAGTTTATAAAATTGATTCTCATTTAAAATTTAAATAATATTTTTATTATTGTTATATTCTACTCAAGTTTTTTTTTAGGAAAAGATATTTTTTTTTATATGATACAAGTCAAGCCAAGCTTGAAAGCTTATCGGCTGGTGCTCATGTTAACTGATGAGCAATTTGCTCGCCAGATTCAGATTCAGATAATATTTATTCCGTATAGATCAACATATGTACAGAAATAATCTTTGGAATAGGTCACTGTAATACAGCTATATCTCAATATAACTATAATACAGCTTACTAACATACAGCTATACAACTAACATAATATGCACAGAATTATTACAAAAAAGTGTGTCATAAGCTAATTCACGGACAAGAAAAATTTGTTTATTTTTAATTTCACTTCAGTTTTTCTCTGCAAATTTTTTAATTCACGAGGCAATAAGTTCCACAAGCGTGGCAAAATGAACTGAGAAGTTTGATCAAAATATTTGTTTTCACTCATCGGTTCTATTACAGGATTTTGTTGTAACATTCTATAGTGTTGTTCGAATTGGGTGTAATAATATTTTTTCGCAGCGGCCGAGTCTCTTTTGATGTCAGGCGTTTTAGCAGACATCAGCTAGTTTTAAACCCCTTTCTTTCCTTTGTAATTCATAGTCAAAATTTTTTTGCATTGACCGAGAAGGATAAATAATAATCGATTAATAAGAAAAACAGTAAAAAAAATTTATCCAGCATTTCCATGAATGAAAATAAAATTGTTGGAATTATCCTCACCGGGGTATTTGTGGCCATGGCTACGACTTTTTGACAGGCGCCGTAACCTGCAAAGAGCACCGAGTTCTCAGCAATGTTGGCCACAAGAGCCGGAGTGGTGCCAGCGTAGAAGCCCCTGATGATCCCCTCCTTGGTCCACGTCTCCTTGCAGCAGTGCAACATTCCTCGGTACAACTCGGGAAAGGTCTGCATTTTGACTTTGACCGTGTCCAGCGGTTGACCTGTGTACACTGATGCAACGCCACCTAAGCATTGGAGGAGTGAAAAATTAAGACTTGAGCCAAAGTAGGAAAATTTTTAATTATTACCCAGTGAACCGCAAATGAAGTCGATGACCGTGTCCAAGACGTGACCTGACGCTTTTTTATCTCCTGAGCCATGGCCCATTTTCTAGCTCTTTATTAATTATCAAGATCTGCAAAAATAAGTTAAAATTTATTTTAAAAATCAACACAGAGATCTCCAGCTAGTCAGAAAGATATTATGGATTTTTTCATATGTACTTTTTATCTTTATTGCCCTATTTTCTTATTTTATTTCCCCTCTTAATCTGCACACACTTGCACAGCATGATAGCGAACAACAGCATTGTTCTTCGCGTGAGACCTCCTTATTGTTTTTCTTGTTGCATAGCACAACCACCCACTCACCCAGTTAAATCAAAACAAGGAGCGTCTCCAGACTCTCACCTTTGACCCGAAGATGGGGATGCTGAGGAATGTGGCGAAAAGAGACGGAGAATTTTGAGTGGAGCCGCTCAGATGGAGATGCGAATTGCGTCACGAAGACCCCATAACCTTGATTAAAATTATTGAGACCAGCAGCAGCCTCATCCTCGCGCGAACTTGCCTACAAAACAAATTTAATGCTAACCGACGGCAGGCAGGTAGGCAACCCGCGTGCCACTACATGTGGTTGCTGTGACGTCATGAAAAAGGGGCGTCACGTCAACCAAAACAATCTAGCCAAAGCCGATTGAAGAAAAATATTCGCGCAGCAAAGAGATTAAATTAATTTCTCAATCATCAATCACTTCCTAACTTGTAATGAGCTCTGTTAATTTTTGAGCTTCCTTGTAAATATCTTAACCCCTCTAAGATTTATTCAAATTGCCGAATTAATTATGAAAGTGATTTGATTTGAAAATGGAAAAAGAAACAGGTACACATTATACGGGTTGGTTTTATTTTTGTGTTTACAAGTACATACACACATTTTATATCAAACAAAAAAAAATGTCTTTTTTGTGCTCTTATAATGGTGACATGTGAAAAAATTATAGAATTAAATCGATTTTATTAAGATTGCTTGAAGAATTTAAAAAATAGTCATATAATTGCTATTTTGTTTGTAGAAACACTGAAATTTTATTTTTCTCTTTATTTCCAGAGGGAGTTCCAATCCAGGGCTTTGACCAAGAGACCAAGAAGAAAGAAGATACTCAGGGTGGAACTTTCCAGTGTTGTGTGTGCAAACTGGAAGAGACCTTCCACTGTCGCGGTCCAATCCCTTTTTTCTGCAAGACCGTCCGACTATCGGCGGACAGCTACGTGGCCAGGGACCCGTTCACGCCGCTACAACAGCGTTCCTTCCTCCTGCTTGGCTCGGACTGTGGAGTATGCGGCAATCCAGTGTGCCAGAGCTGTAGCCTATACTACACCAAGAGATTCTGCAAACCGTGCGCCCTTGAGACGGCCAGCAAGTTTCCAGCTCCACTCAAGGCAAGAATTTTGCAGCCGAATTTCATGCAGAGCTGACAGAAGTAAAAGGTCTGCGAAGAGACTATTTGACAATGACATAAAAATAGTTAAATTGTGGACAAAATTAAGCAAAAAAAAATTAATTTTACCATAATTTTTTTGAATTTGAAACTGAAATAAACCAATAATTTTTTTTCTATAAAAATTGCTTAGAATTTTTCAACAAAAATGCCCGGTTGAGAAAGTTATTTTTATTTTACATAGTTTGTAATTTGCAAGGTTTCATTATTGCATTTGATTATCTCGCTCTGGCTCTGATTGATAGTGCGTTTGTTAAGTGTGCATGGGGAAATTCAGGGAAATTGATGACCGCACTCTCGATCTTTCTCCCCCATCCTTGATCTTGATCCAATAAAAATTCATATCATATTAAAACGGCACGGCTTTGTCTCGCCCAATTGAGTCAATTTGCTGTTGTATGCGCCGAGATGAAGACGTCAATTGATTATTCCGTTGTCCTGCTGCTTTTGGTGAAATCGTTGTCGTTTCAGACTGTCAAGGCTTATCAGGTACAATTCAACCACTTTTGTCTAAAAATCGTCATTCAAAAGCTGACTGAGAAATTAATTTCTTTGGAAAAGGACGACGTGGAATATGACGATCCCAAATTCGACTTCAGTGAACTTTGTCCGTTGAGCTACAGAATTGTGAAAATTGTCAGAAATTCTTCAGATCAGTAATGTTCAAGATTTTTTGAAGATTTAGTTATAAATTAGTACAATTGCATAGAATTTTAGATGTTAAACGGTCTTTGGATGAGAAACTATTTGACGCCAAAGAAATTCAGCTTGCTGTGAAGTCGGGAATAAATTCAACTAACAAGGTTGTCGCAAAATATGATATTTTATCTCTAATCCAACCATTTTATTGTGAATAAAAGATTTTGGAAAGATTTGAAAGGCAGTTTGAAAAAATCGACAGCGAAACTGTGTCTAGAGATCAGAAAAGCCAACAAGAAATTTTGAGCGCTCAATGGGAACTGCTTGGAAAAGTGGAACTCGGCGGGAAAAAACTTGTGTCTGATATTTCTGTACATCAAATTTTATCCTGCGTTTTTATTTAATTTATTTTTAATTCTAAGGATTTGCTGATATCAAAAATTGAGGAAGGAAATCGTGTCCTTTTTGAGAGTTTGAAAAAAGAAATTAGAAACTTAACTGGACCAATTTTATCCGACTTCAACGGCATCAAGCAAAAAGTGGAGCACATGGAAAAAGACTTTTTGGCTATGCAAAACACAACGAATTTTGCTCTTGAACAGGTCAATGGAAAATTTTAGATATCCAAAATTGTTAATTAATAAAATTTCAGATGAAAAATTTGAACTGTTCAAAGTATTGTAAGTGTTTTTACACATTATAAAAATTTTTCGAATATAATTTTTTTGGTATCAATTTCAGACGAAAAATTAAATGTGACTACGCTCTCAAGTGGGAAAAAATATTATCTTGGTGATCTGAAAGTAATATTTACACATTATTATTATTTAAAGCTAAATTTTATACATGAACATCCCAGGTTACTTGGAGAGACGCGAAGTACTTTTGTGAAGAAAACAACATGTCTTTGGCTTCAGTCAAGACGAAACGAGAAATTAAACTTCTCTGGAAAGTGGCCAGAATCGACAAGGAAAGTAATTGTCACATTTCTTTCGTATAATTAAAGTTCACGGAAAAATTCTCAGGCGGCTCGTGGTTATCCGCCTCGGACATTGGAAGGACGCCGGGTCAGTTTGTGTGGCGCGGCGGTGTCAAGGTGAGCAGAGATCGCGATTGGTGGGCGAAAAACGAACCGAACGATTTTGGAAAAGGACAAGAAGCGTGCGTTGGAGTTTTCAACGACAGCCTCTTCAGCGATCCGTGCCACTACACAGCTCATTTCATTTGCGAACTGCCATCAGAATGCTTCTAATTTAAAATAATTTTCTGCGCAAGTTTTGAATTATTAGAAGAAGAAAATCAAGAGTGCGTTGAATAAATTTTTATTAAGTGTTTCTTTGAAAAATTTCAAAATCAATTATTTTCTAAAATGTCAAAAATTTTAATTAAAATTGGCATTTTCTCAAAATTTATTTCATTTCTTTTCAATTTAATTCAGTATTAATTAACCCGAATTAACCTTTGATCCTAATAAACAAACTAGAATTAAAAGAAAATTTAAATTATTTTAATATACAAATTCACATCTGTGATCAAATTCAGCTTCTAATTATCATTTTCGGTAACGATTTATTCCAAAATAGATTGGGCCAGGTTTTCTGTGTAGTGGAAAAAATTCTTGCATAATATTCACTGCCAGAAAAGTTGGACGGGAAAAGAGCATGCGCCGCACTCGACTCCTCGCGTGACCGTTTTGTGTCCAGGTATAGGAGGGCGCACAACAAAAAAGGTGCAATACACAATGAGGTCTTATAATACACACCCTGCGGTATCTAGGCCTCGTTCCAACGTTATCAGCACGGTCAAAAAGTTCGATCTGCGCCCTCGTCGGCGTCATTTGAGTCGCGACTTTCGAGCGGGCCAGCACGCCACCAGCTGCTGGCATTTCGTTTGCTTCATTTCTCACTGCAAATATTTTTGTAAGGACAGAGAGTTCATTTGAAAAAAAAATAACTAGTAGAGAGAAAGCGGTGTTGCGAAAATGCGGGCCATCTCGTGTCTGGGGGCAGGAACGCAGCCGTGGATTTCGAGTGTGTGCACCGTCCACAAGGATAGATTTGCTTACGTATCCACACTCGCCATCTACATATACCAGGTGCTAAAAAAAAGTTTTAAAATAGATTTAAACTAATAACACTACGTTTTTTCAGTAAAAAAAAGTTAATCTAGTAAATGTAACTTATATTTTTATAAAATTTTGCATTTATATTATAATCGATTAATTTTATTAATTTCAATTTACAAAAATTGTTAGAATTTCAATTTTTTGAAATTTTCTGTTAGCGTGAGAGTGGCTGTCGCGAATGGAGTTTGAAGAGCATTTTAACGGAGCCACGCATCTCCATTTCTGCACTTTCGTGGCATCCGACGCAACAGAAACTCCTGGCCAGCACCACCTCTGATGACAGGGTGTGCATTTGGAACGTTGAGCAGCAGAGAATCGTCTTCAACGTCAAGACCACCTCGACACCCATTTTAATCGACTGGATTCCTTCAGAAAGGTATCAATTTATTCTTCTCCATTCATGGTAAACATCACATCGCGAAAAAGTACACTGTACAAAAAAAGCGGAATCATGCATCGACTTAGAAGAGTATAAAGTATTAAAAAAGAAAAAAAATGCAGGAAAATGCAGGAGTCGATAATTTATGTACATTGCTGTGCTGGAAATAAACTAAAAAATAATGATTAATACATAAAAAAATAAATGTGGGAAAGAATGGAGAAATGGCTTTTCGCTATAACAAACAACTTGCTAAAGCATGGCACACTTTCCTTTGAAGAAAAGTGCACCGGCCGCTAGAGCCATCAGGGGGTAGGGGGCATTTCTAAAACTATTTAATAATTTAGCCATAAGTACGCCTTGCACAGAGATGTAAACTGTGCCGCGGTACAGTCCTTCAATGCGGGGAGGTCATTCTACGCCCCACGGTTTGACGACGCGGTATAAAAAGGTCTCGTGTCCGAACATAGTTCTCGCCCTAGCCATGGATGGCTGTCGCTATCGCCACGCAGCGTCCGGCCCTCAATTATGCGCGCCTTCGCGTCCATATCAGTCACTCTTGAACTTTAAAAAAAGTTCAAATTGTTATTATTATTATTGATATTTATTGACTTATGAGGCGTCACCACGATGTAATGAATCATTGCGACGCGCCTCATTTGCAACATAATACAAAACTAGTAAAAGAAAGAGAGAAAAAAAACAAAAATATTACAATTCATCAATTATATCTAAGCTGCATATCCACGGGCATGATTTTTCTTTGTTTAAATTAAACACACGCTTTTCTAGCTAAGTGCATTAAATTTTATTTTGTGTTTGATTGACATAAAAAGTATATTATAGAAGTGATAAAATTTAAGTTCATGGTGTTTGAGATCTCCTGCTCGTTTTGGCCTCGGTGGGTTGATATTTGATATTAACCGGCCGTGACGATTTTATAAGTGCTGTAAGGTATGTAGGGTTGAGGTTTCTTCGGCAGCCAGAGTGGCCTCGGTTTTGCCAGTTTTCGATCATCTTCGTCCTCCTCGCTCGATTCTCCACTGTCCTTCTCCTCACTGCCGTCCTGGTCCTCTTTCTTGTCATCCAAGTCTTCCTCTTGTTCTTCATAGGGTTCTTCTGAAGGGCAGAAAACGTAGCGATTGTTGATGGGTTGAATTGGTCGCAAGTTTTGCTCCAATTTGCCTTCGTGACCATAAAGGCGCCGAAAATGCTCCAACTGAAAATAGATCCAAATTAAAACAGGTTATTTGGGAAAATTATGTTTTGGTAGAAAATCGATTTCATTTCAGAGCGCCTGTGTGAGCTCCGGTTATGCAACTGGTACGTCTCTGATGTGCAGCGGAAAGCCTAACGTCTCACATTACTCTAATTTTACCTGACGAAAGCCGATCTCGACGGTGTTCTCCAGCACGATCCACGTGACGACCTCGTTGCACGGTGGGGTAGTCAGCGAGCCCCAGTAGGTCAAGTACTTGCCGTCCGAGTCCAGAGACTTGCCGAGCCATGACATGGCTGAACTCTCAAGCAGGGCGTATGAATCTCCGTGGCGAATTCGACGGAGCTGATTAACTAACGGATTCAAATCTTCGCTCTCGCTCTTATTTACCTAAACACGATAAATTAAAATAAAAAAATGTGCTGATAAACAATTGAAAAAAAAATAATAATTCCATCAATATTAACATCAACGAATTCGAGCGAGTGCAAAAAAGAGCCCTCAGGTTTGTGTACGGGCGGCACATCCCTGACGCAGCCGAACACGGGTTGCTGTCGGTGCAGCAGCAGCTAAAGTTCAATGACTTGATGTTTTTCAAGAAATGCACCAGTGGCGAGACTGACATGGACGCAAAGGCGAGAATCACCACCGGCCGAGTGATGAGAAATAGTGGCGGCGAGCACCGTTTAATTCTCCCAAAAGTGCGCACAGAGCTCGGTCGACAAAGTTTTACTTTCCGAATCGCGGATCAGTGGAATTCCCCGCCTTCTGCGTTAAAAAAATTGTACGGTTCCTGAGTTTAAAATTGCATGTAAAATATATGTAACCCTTTGATAAATTTTTTCCCGTTTACGGCTCCAGTTCGGCGAGTAGGTTTATTAAGTTGGATGAGTTTTAGTAAGTTGTTTGCTAGAGCTGGCTGCCAATTCTCTCCCAATGTGATTTTTCTATTTTTGTTGACTTAGTGCGAGAGAATATATGAATTGAAAATTATGAGAAAAACATGAAATCAAAATCATTACTTAATATAATATATAATAATTCAAAACATTTTTAATTAATTTTTTCCTCGTTGTTTATATTCACATTAAATACATACACATTAAATAAGACTTTTAATGAAAGAAAAACAAAAGGGTTTTAAGTCATTGCATTATTTGCCATGTTGAGCTTGTTACGTTGCATAAATTACGCATATCAAATTTGAGTGCACGTACCGTGAAGAGGAGCGCGATGATGGCGAGACCGTCCCAGTGTTCGGCCGCCTCTTGAATATTTCTGTATTTGCTGTTGATGTGCACTAGATGCGCTTCCATTGCGTGCCTGCAGTTGAGGGTGAAAGTTATTCAGCTTTTTTTACTTCATTATATGCTACAAGGATTGAATAAACCGGTCTTCAGTTTCACTTTCGATTAAATCGAGCGCAATTTGTCTAAGCGGGAATAAAAATTTGAATTGAGAGATTGCAAGGCTGCTCTCTCGTCGCTATTAAAAGGTTGGTGAACTCCGGTAAGTGGAAATTTACGCTAGCAGTATTATTATTTATTCTCCTCAGTTGATACTAAAATTTAAAAAGAGAAGAAACGGTTTACAACTAGCAGACTTCTGCTAAAGTGCCATAACAAAAGATACTCAGCCGCCGCGGTTAACATGGATCGAATTAAGCACTCACTCGAGGTTTTTCATTTGGTGCTCGCTGCCCTGCGCCTCTCCGTAGGAACCCCAATGGAAGTGCATTTGCGAGAATGTGAAGTTGCCGCTCAGGGGTCCACCTTTCAGCACTGGCTGATCACCAGAAAACTGCACCTCAACTTAAGAAAATATTTTAATTTCAAATTTTTCAATATCTCTAAAAATAATTTTTTAATTAAAAAAAAATGTAATCAATCGTTTTATTTTATTTAATATAAAATTATTTTATTATTATCATACACACATTCATCAGAGTGTGCTAAATATCTTCTTAGATTTCTACCTGACTGGAAAGTGTTGTGGATTCGAAATCCTCCCTTGCGTTCGTCCGCATGACCCAGAAACTGTATTTTAGGGAACCGCATTTTGTGGCAGTCTTCCATGTCTAGCGGCACGGGCGATTGGCGGTAGCCGTTGCACATTTTGAACTTTTGTCCCCACGTATCAGGGCCTATACGTTTGAAAACAAAAATTGCTTGATTAATTTAAATTTCTATAGACACTAAGCATAAAATTATTTGATGTCAGAATATTTGAAATTTTTTAATTTTATCACAATTTTTGGCCCCTTTTTGTCTCTTCGTGTGCAAGAAGTAAAAATATTTTTATACTTTTTTTTTTTTTAAATCCAGTTGTTATTTTTAAACCATCGGAGATTAGTTAATTGTTCGCATTGTTTTTTTGTTATGCTGACATTTTTTTGTTTTTGTTTAAGTGAAGATAAAAATTTTCCATTATTTTAATAGTTCAAAAAATTTGTCAGATGAAAACCATTCTTATGATGCGATTCATTTATAAAATAGACACTTACCGTTAAAAACTGAATACCCGTATTCTGACGCATCAGGTCTATCTAATAGCTGCTCAATACACGCACTGTTCACTGTAATTTATTAATTTAAAGCGTGTGTTCAAAAACAATTAATCAATTAATTGAAATAATTTAAGAATTGGAAATAAATAAATCGGGCTTTTCCTCGTTGCAAAAATTGTTTTTTATTCAAATACAAAAGGGTCTACCAGTTTCGGTCACGGTCTGCGACCCTATTTAATGAGCAAGAAAAATACAAAAAATTAGCAAAATTGAAAAACACCACATTTTATCATAAAAATTAAACGTTAAAATGTGGTGTTTTTCAATTTTGCTGATTTTTTTATTTTTCTTGCTCATGAAATAGGGTCGCAGACCGTAACCGAAACTAGTAGAGCCTTTTGTTTTTGAATAAAAAACAATTTTTGCAATTAGGAAAAGCCCGTTTAATTCATTTCCATGATCATCTCCTCGAGTGTCAACTTCTTCAAACAAATTTAAGAATTGGTAAAAATAAAAACTTTTTAGCTCACACTTGAAGAAAAAAGTGACACAGATCAAAATCCGCGCGAATATTTCCATATCTGGAAGAAACGTATCCTTTAAATCGAGAACAAACACTGAAAATCCGGCTAGTCCGTCAAGCTCTGCACTGTTACTGCCGCTTTCATTATGTCTCTATTGAACATAACACATATATTCCCACTCGAGCTCATCCGTCCAGCAGGGTCCAGGAAGTGGGACAATACCATTATTACATGTCTTTCGTACTATTCTTTTCCCAAGACCCCCTTTGTTTTTCCAGATAAATCGTTGAAAATGGAGAAATTTGCAACAGTTTCATTCAAACAACCAAATTATTTCTCAAACAATTGAACTTTTTTTCTTATGCAAATCGACAAGAAGTGGGATTTTGCTCAATTGCGTTACACAATTGCCTTTTCTTTTTTGCACAGAATGATGATTATGCGAAATGTGATGTGTTTGTGTGACGCAGGGAGCAGGTGAGTGTGGTGCTGGACGGCGGCAGGTCTATCGTCACGTGGACGCCGCAGCAGCAACCTGCGTGCAACAACGGCCGCCCGCAGCATCTCCTGCAATACAGGACGCATTCCGCCTTCTCATCACCGATTGCCTGCCTGCAGTGGCACCCAAAGCAGCCAGGTCACCTCGCCGTCGGCCACCAGGATGGCACACTATCCTTCTACGCCGCTGGTGAGGCGACAAAAAACAATTATGAATGTGTGCAGTAATAAAATATTGTAAAAAAAAAGAAATATATCCTTCTTTGGGACAGTGAGCCAAGGTTGCTAGTGCGCGCCATTTTCGCCTTAAAAGGCGGGCAGGAGTGCATAATTCTTAATTTTTGCACATCTACAATACTCAAAATGAACCATCAAAATTATTTTAAGTTGCAATGTTAAATTCACACAGATGAAGGGAAAAATTAAATTATTCTTAAATAAACAAAATAATTAAGCTCGGATAAATTTGTTGACACAAAATTAGTTAAATATATTTGTGTGTGTATAAGCAGTTAAAATATTTTAAAGAAAGACATTTCAATCAAAATGTTCTTCTGACTGTTTTAATTAAAGTATTTTATAATTTTTGCATCTACAATTCATACTTTGCTACTTCCTATAAATTGATACCTTGCCTTTATTTACTTTATTTTAATTTTTTTTATATATTTTCTTTTTCAGTTTAGCAAAACTATTAAAAGAATTTAATTAATTTTAGCTGCCAAAGTCCAACTTAACGTGCGTCTAACCAAAGAAGACGACGGCGAAGTGTGTTCGCTGCAATGGGACCCTTTGGCCGAGGACTACCTGCTCGTCGTTCACCGTCAGGGTCTCTTGCGACTGGTCTCCTCTCAGGGAGTGACCATCCTGGCCAACTTCCGGCACCCTGCCACCTGTAGAGCGCACTGCGTCGCCTGGTTGCCCGACTGTCCAGGAATGTTTGTTTCCGGAGGTTAAAATATTTTTACCAATTTTAAAATTTGAATCAAATAATAAATTTAATTTCAAATTGATATAGATGACGACAGTGGCGTGGTGAGGGTGTGGACGGTGGGGAAAGAAACGCCTTTGGAGAACAGACCGCTGCAGGTGTCAGGTGTGAGATCGGTGATGTTGGTGGCAACCTCGGCCGAAACGCAACAGGACGAGGAAGCAAAGGCCAATAATTGCGGAGAGGCCATTGGAGCGGCGCCGATTTTGGGGTCGCTGGTTTGTCTCTTTGCTAACGGAGGTGCCGGAGTCCACGACTTGAGGAGAAATAAGTGGGACTACTTTAAAGAAGCGGTATAATTTAATTTTATTGCTATTGTTTTTATTGGTTCAATGAACAATATATTGTCAAAAAAAAATTATATATATTTATAAATTTTTTTTAGAATAAGAAATGTAAAGAATATCTTTACATTTTATTTATGACAAATTTTTAAAGAAGAAACAATAATGTAATATTTTATGTAAAATTTACCTATCGAAATATATATTAATTAAAAAAAACATTAAAAAATTATTAAAATAATTAAATTTTGCAAAATTAGAAAAATTAAGTAACCTATTATCATAAAGAAAAAAAATTGTCTAAGTATTTTTTATAATTGTTATAAAAATACAACCTACAAAAAAATATTATAATTTTGTACAATTATTATTAATATTTTTTATTGCAAGGCTCTTTTTATTTAAAAATAAGTTTCTCTCTCTGCTAAGAAAGAAAAATTCAAATATTTCAATATTTATTTATTTATTCATAATGATATTTAAGCATACAAATGGCAATGAAAATTATTTAAATTTGCCAAAGTAGAAAAATTAAATCACTTGTTGAAAATTGTAAAAATAAAGTATAAACTAAATGTCATGATGGTTATTAAAATTTTTTAAATATTTATTTTGCTTAAGCTTTTGTCTTTCAATAAAAAAAATTATTATACAATCTTGAAATGATTCATATAAAAAGCATTTTTGATCTAAAAATTTGCCTCAATTTTGCTTCTTTCTCTATGGAATTAAAATTAATTTAATTAATTCTCAGGGCCACGTGGAGACTGTGTTTGCTTGCGCCTTTAGCCCTGACGAATCTTGCACCCTGGCCACCGGGTCATTTGACGGCAGCGTTAAACTGTGGACTTGCGCCGACGGCGAGACGCGTCCTCTGAACAGCACGCCAGGCCGCGAGTCCATCATTTACAGCGTTTCGTGGGCTCCCTCGTCACCCCTGTTGGCCGCCGCCACCGCCAGGGACGGCGTTTTGATCGTAGACACGCAGGGGGCGCGCGTGGCCCAGCGGCTGACGCACCACGGCCGTGGCGTCAGCGTCTTTTGCGTCGCGTGGTGCGCCGACGACCCGCGACGCATCGCTTCGGCCGGCGGCGACAACTGCTGCGTCGTTGTCCAGCACAAGGGCGAACTCGAGGTGCAAAGGTGTCAACACCCAGGGTCGGTTTATGGCTGTGACTGGAGTGGCGCCGATAGACTGGCCACAGCGTGCGACGACGCCGTCGTCAGGGTTTTCAGGGTCGCGTGCAAGGAGGACGCGAAACCGGTGGAACTCAAAGGTAAAATTAAATTCTACTTTCAACTTCACAATTTGTTGATAATAATTAGAATTTACCAAGGATTCTATTGAATCATTAATATGAATTGAATTTTATGAATAATATTATAGAGATATAGAAGAACTGTTATTGTTATTGTCTCGCTTTTATTGTGTCAAATAGTGGATAGGATTATGTTTTCTAATAAAAGTTAATTTTGAAGCTCAAATTTAATGGAAATGAAGAGATCGGGCTTTTTTGAATAAAAAACAATTTTTGGCCTCTAAACCAGATAATAAAAAAAACGATTTCTTTACCATTTCAAATAAAAATTTCGAAGAAGAGATAATTAAATCAAAGCTACAGGAGAGTAATAGAGGCGTCCCGCAAGGCCCCTTTTCATATAGTGCGTACTCGATTGACTTCCCATTAATTATTATAATTGCTATACTAGTAATTTTTAGCCTAGAAACAATATCCTAATAATATTTTAATTTTCACGGAAAAATGACAGAATCTTCCATCGATTATTTTAATTTTATAATGTTCTAAGACCCTTTAATTGTTCTCTCAGGTCACAGTTCCAAAGTTTTCAACGTCAAGTGGTGTCCAGCGCTGGACAATCTCTTGTGTAGCGGCTCAGACGACGCGACTATTCGAATATGGGACGTGGACAAGCAAGCCTGCATTCGAACCATGTATGGTCACAAAGGTCACGTGCGGGGTCTCGCTTGGAACCACGCTTTCCCGCACTTGATCATTTCTGGCTCATGGGACTTCAGCATCAGGGTTTGGGACGCTCGGACGGCCGAGTGCATTGCTGTTGAAAATGAACACGGCGCCGATGTTTATGGTAATTATAAGTTTAAACTACTTTAATTGAATGCATTGTAATATTATTGTTGCTTTTTAGACTCATTCTTTTTTTAATTGTTTTGTTGCAAATGGGGCGCGTCACAACGAGTCATTACCTCGTGTTGACGCCTCACAAGCATACTTGTCTGCGCTCAGACATTTTGCGCTCGCGCTCGCGCTCAATGAGATTCTGCGCTCAGCGCTCGCGCTCGCGCTCGTTTTCAAAAATTGTGCGCTCGCGCTCTGCGCTCGCGCTCAAGCCAAAATTTTGCGCTCACGCTCTGCGCTCGCGCTCATTGTTATTTTTTTTCGATGAATAATACCTACTAATTTTTTTGTTTGGGAATAGAAAAATAAACAAAAATTAGACTGAAAAACGCTTTTTGAGAAGGAAAAAAATAATTTTGTTAAATTTACACATTTTTGTGAAAATTTCTTAAATTTTACATCAAATTTTGTTGAATTTATAATAAATCGTTGAGCGCAAAATGAGCGCAATTGAGCGCCGCGCTCACGCCATTTGCGCTCTGCGCTCGCGCTCGCGCTCATGCCCTCAAAAATTTTGCGCACGCGCTCCGCGCTCAGGCCGTGAGCGCAGAGCGCAGAGCGCGGAGCGATTTGTGCGCTCTTGACAAGTATGCTCACAAGTCAATAAATATCAATAATAATAATTAAAACATATTATTCTTATTCTAAAATTTTGATTGGAGAAAAATATTCAAAATAAAGAAATGAATTTATATTTTTGGAGAATTAATGGTGAGTTCCAGAATTTGATGTTAAAATACTCTTTGGTGAAAATGATAAAAGTAATTTTCAGGTATAAGTGTATGTCCCAATCGTCCTTTGCTAGTTGCGTCCACCTCTCGAGATTCAACTGTCCGCCTGTGGAATTTAGCGCCGCTCATTCCTGTGATCACAATGACGCCTCTAGTGCCTAAAAATACTTTGGACGTACTTTTTACTTACGGTAAACCAAAAATGAATCATTATTAAAAGAGAAATAATGAAATAATAGATAAAATTTCATTTTTTTTTTTAAGAATTCAGTCTGAATGAAGAGTGGGTAGTTCGAATTCATGGTGAAGTAGCAAAAACAATGGTAGAAATTTTGACCAACAATCAAATTGACCAAATGCGAAAATTTCTCTCCGTATCTGATTTACTCCATGTAAGTTAAAAATACAAAAAAAAAAAAAAAAATTGAATATCGGCTTCAGGGCAACCCAGAAGTGACCAATTTGTGGGACTTGGTGATGGTGCTGCGTGGAACCAAGGAAATGTCGCAGCTGTCCAAGCAGTATCCACGTGGCATTGTGCATTCAACGCACGTGGCCACCTGCAGGCTGGTGAGAAAAGCCGAGTGACAATCACGTGATCTTCCTCGCGAGTTTTTCATTTGCACTGATTTGACTTGATTGCTTCCAATAAAAGACACGGTTGAATCAAATAAGGCCAACAAACACTTTCGTGGCTTCCCTTTCAACACTTGCTTTTGTCAGCAAAATTTCTAGGGCGAAAAGACCAAAAAATATTTTTGCTCCAAATGCCCCAAATATTTTGTTTTGCGTCGTTGCTCTCAATTTAAAAATAATATCATTTTTTCCAAGTATTAAAACTTAAAAGAAAAGTTGTAACTCATAAATATTGTTTTTAGAAAAATAATTTATGTGAAATAAAGTTTAAATAAAATGTTTACCAAATTGAATTGAATTGCTATATTTCTTTTTACAAAATTTGTTTTCTGATTTCACTCACGTTTTGTAGGCTGATGCAACACAAGAGGAGCTAAAAGCGGCTGGAGGTCACGGACAGAGAGCGGAGGCTGACCTGAGGAGGGCAGCCAACAGTTTTCTGAGGGCAGGTGCCCTCCGAAGGTACTGTGAAGTGATGGTACGGCTCGGTGAGTGGGACAAGGCGCTCAGCGTCGCGCCCGGCGTCTCTTTTGAATACTGGAAGCAGATTAATCAAAAGTGAGTTGCTTGTTTTTAGTGTGGATTTCAATAAATAATTATTATTTATAATAATTATTATTATACTATATTATTATTATATTTTTATAATTATTTCAATAAATAATTATAACATTGATATCAATTCCTTCAGAATTGAGGATTTTGAAATTCAGTATAGATTTCATTTCCGCTCTCTTTAAAAATTTTGTTATTTGGCATAAGAGACCCCAATTTTCAGAAACCTTTAGAAAGAAGAGATTTCATGAAGTCATAAAAACAGAGACCAATGATAACTTTGAGATCTAAGATGATCCCGAAAAGAACTGCTGAATTTAAAAATTGCCCCTGAATAAAATTAAAATTACAATAAAATTTGATAATTTCAGGAGAATAAATGAGCTTTATGTGAATGAATCTGAACTTGTGTTGCCCAACGCCCTGGCTCAGGGTGACCTGCAGGGTCTGGTTACCTTTTACTCCAACCGAGGTTTGTGTGATCACTCATGATTATATAGATTAACAATATTCCAATTTTTTCAATTAATTCTCCCTTATGGATTCAAAGGCCAGCTGGAAGAGTCATTCGCCCTGTCGTGTCTCTCGAGACCGAAAACGGAGCAGGCGGCGCCCGTGGTGCCCTCAGAAGAGTCGTTTTCGCCTCTAATGAGCTGCACCGCGAGAGCCGTTGCTGAGAATCTGCTTCGCAAAGGAGCGCCGATTAAGGCCGCGTGCACCATGCTTGCGGTCGACGATGACCATGTAAAAAATTTGCGCAGTCAAATTGAGGAAAAAAATTGTGATATGTCATTCTTGTTTACGTTATTTTGGGTGGTAATTATACGCGACGCGACGGCGTGAGGGAAATGAGGAAATACCGCTAAAGTAAAGTGTAGTCTCTCAACGGGACGGAAGAGGTCATAATTTAATTGAAATTGCAAGTTGAAGATATTTATTCACTATTAATTTTAATACTTTTTGTTAAATAATTTTCCAAGAATAATAAAAAGATTGGAGTTGATTTTTGAGGAAAACTGTAATTGGGTCAAACATTTTTTTTTAGATATTTTTGCATTCTTCTCATTAATATATTCTTAAATTTTATTTCCTCTCAATTTCTTCCACAAACTGATTATTTTTTAACTTCTTAATAGGATTTTTTTAGTATTTTTATTTTATTATATTCTTCAATTTAAATTTATTTTGTTTCTTTTCAATTTCAGAGTGCCTTGCAAATGCTGATGAGAGGAAATGAGCTTGAGCTTTTAGTCACAGTTGGCAGAGCGCTGAACAAAACGCATGATTGTCACGTTGATCGCGCCCTCGCCCTTTTGGCCATCAGGGCCCGCCGGCTCAAAGAATGGAAACTCGCCATCGACTTGCTCACTGAGATCAAAGACGTTAAATTTGATCAAAGAAATTTGGCTAGAAATTTTTGATTTTTCTTTTGCAGTTTGAGATGAAGCGGCAGGGAATTCTGCGCTTGCTGGTCAACTTTCCAGGTTCGCGGAGCGTCCGTGAGGAGCTGCTGAAAGAGGCTGGTCTTCCAGACGCGGAAAAGTGCGCCAAAAGGGCCAATGAAATCAAAATGTTTGACGACGTTGAGAATGTGGTCGAAGCCGTCCAGCTCCTCATGGCTGTCGGCGACTTCGAGGAGGCCGTCGACCTCGGATGCAGAATTATCCCAGGTTAAATTTTTTAATAAAGAGGATTGATTTTGACGTTTGAAAAAAACTGGATATAAACAAAGATACAAAAGGAAAAGGAAATTTTATTAAATGGAAAAAATTGAAAAATGAGGGGCGTGAAAGCCAAATTTTGCAAATTTATTTTTCTCTCCTTATAAAAAAAATCTAAAAATTACTTGTTCCATTAATAATTATTTGTATTATAATAATATTACTGTTTATTCTAAGTAAGTCATAACCAAAATTTAGGAAATTGGAAAAAAATATAGTGCATTTAATTATGATGAAAAATTGTTAAAATAATTATCATTGTTTACAAGAAATTCTACAACCGCATCGAAAATGGAACCCCGAAAAAGCACTTCGGATCACAGAATTGATTCAAGAAACTGGCATCGTCAACGACAGGATCCGTCTCCTGTCTGCCTACGTTGGAGCTCTGATCGCCATTCGTCGCGGCTACCACCAGATAAGTCAATCCCTCATCGAAAACGCCATGTGAGCTTTTAATTAAAAATAATTCGATTTGATTTTAATTTAAAAAAAATAATAATAATAGAATCGAGCTGCGGAGAAGTGGCGAGGGAAGTTGCGGGTTGCACGAGGCGCAATTCCACGCGCTCTCCGGCCTCGACTCGGCCATGATCAACAGACTGAAGGAGGAGCCGAGTTGTGACCCTGACAGGGGTAATGTCCACGTCACGGGTAGTAATTTGCCGTCACATTCGGGCATTAGACGGTGTATCCTGACTGGGATGCCAATTAGGGTGAGCAAAAGTATCAAATAAATAAAATGAAAATATCCTTCAAATAATAAGCAAAATTTTAACTGAAATAAAATAAGATTAATTTCCTTAATCAATTAAGAAACTTAACTCAACTAAATAGCTGTCATCAAGCCAGCAAAAAAATGTTTAAATATTAAAAAAATGTATAAATATTTGATAAACATAGGGTAATTTTCTTCTAATGCTTAATTTAACATGAAAATAAAAACAAAATTATGTAAACACGCTAAAACCCCCACTAACTAATTTAAAAATCTATTAAGTATTTCCTGAAAATGGAACTTAAAATACAGAAAAGAAAATTTGTAATTTATTGATTTTAATTAAATTCTCAATTTCTAATTTCGTTACCGAATTTGTCAAAAAAAGCAGCTAAAAGAACTTGATGCGAATTTTGTTTTTGTCCAGTACGGTGCGATCGGGCTTGATTAATTAATCACGATCGGTCCGCCAAGCGGGGTGTCACATCCAATCTGTCCACATTCAAACCCACCCCCTTTTGGTTGATGTGAAATGCAAATGAAAGCGGCTGTTTTTTCCTCCACCGACCGTCGCAAATTAAATTCTGCTGCTCCATAAAGTAATGTAAGGGAAATACTTTTCCTCATTCTGATTTTTCTCTCCCTTACTTTTATTTGTTTTTTAAGAATCTAGTCCAGAATGATAAAATTACCGACCTCTTTGTTCGGTCGGATTGCTCTATGGTATGTATTATCATCATTTCTTTTTTCCGACCGGGGGTGAAATAAACGACCTCGAGCAATGTCAGCCTGACCGGAGGGAGGCGACAAGTCTCGTTAGCAGGCTAACGAGATGCTTTTCACGCCGATCAAATGACTATTTGCAACCGGTCTCTCTAATCTGCAATCTGACGTCAAAAGTCTCGAACGTGTGATTTGCACTCATCAGCCAGAAAAGGGGTGGTTTTCACCATCAAAAAGTTGGACGGGAAAATAATAAATATATGAGAATGACACCCCGGCTCAACTTTTGGGGAAACTCTGCAAAACAAACGCTAAAGTTCAACAAACTCTGAATGAAAACATGATTGGCGTCGGGGCGTGTTTTGCGCCTTAAATTTCCAGTGACACCAAAAAGAAAAAAAGATGAAACAGGAAATATTTTTGTCCCAAATAAGAATGGAGAAAATTATCCTGTTAACGATTAAAATCGGCCTGAAATTTTCAACCACGATTTTTTTACGCATAGCCATATTTGGGTATGGTTTTATGAAAATAATATTAGATCTGAGGAATTATTATTGTTTTTTTTTTTTAATATTAAATTCCTCTCTCTGTTAGTTTAATTCCTACATCATCGAAATTAACAAAAAATTGGCCCGCATTTTTTATTTTTGGTTGAAAAGCTCACATCTTTATTTTCAAATTGTGCAAAATAAGGAAAATATAGTTTGGGATTATATACAGATATACACATTAGAGATATATTCCAACTTTACTTTTTTTTTTTTTTTTTTTTTTTAGGGTCAGGCCAAGACAAAGTCTTGTCGGCCTGTGCCCTTTATTGGTGGTACTCCTATGAGAAAATTGTTAGGGAGTCTAACAGGATTCACATTCTTTAGATTTATTTATTTTTAAATTGAAAATTTTAAAAGAATTTCTGTTCTCTTTTAGGGTCCTGCGATGAAATTGGACGACAGCGAATTGTCAATGGTGTGCTTGAGTGACGCGATTATGTGGGCCAAATGTGGGGCTATGTCACCCCTCGGCACCGCAATCAACCCTTTTTAGTCCTTAATTCCCTGCAATAAATGTGCTGTTTCGACAATAATGATAATAAAAAAGAACAAGTGAATAATCCGTCCACACTGAGAATATAAATAGACTTTTGATTAAATTTCCGCTGCCAGCCTAATTAGTTGATCAAAAAAGGGGGGAAACTGACAAAACGGAAGCAGTTTTTGTTTAAATTAAAATTAAATATTTGAACTAAACGAACGGTAAGATCCGGTAAGATCATTAAACAAATTTCTTTTTTGTTGTTGCGTTTATGTAATTTTGTATAAGAAAAATTAAAATCACTCAATCCAAGATTTTTCTAACTTAAAAATTTCAACTTTTGTCCCAAATTTTTGAAACTTTGGTACTATTTCGATCCTTGCCTTTTAAACCTAATTGAGTGTGATTCGGACAAGGCTATAAATTAGAATGGTGGAGGAAATTAAAAGAAATCAGACAAGTAGCAACAAGGGAGAGGGATGACGACGCAACGGAGACTTGAACTGGAGCGACGCACGCGCCACTTTTGCTCGGAGCAAGGGTTGAAGAATGCTCCGAGGGTGTTGTGGACCGCGCCTTGGTCAGTGGAGACGCACCCGTTCAGGGCTTCGGAGGCAGCGTCTCTCTCTAACTTGGCGCCCACAATTATGCATCATGCGTCGGTTTGGCCAGCGGAATGAGAGCAAACGCCCTCCTGCTCTTCTCGGCACTTCTCAGCGCGTGGTAAGTAAATTATGGCGAGAAATTTTGAAATGAGAAAATTATTTTTTAACAACAGCTGGCATGCCCTGAAGTGCGAGAAGAACTACACCATCAAGCCGAGGATGGTGTTGCCTGACAATTACGTCAAAGGTCAGTCTTACAGAATAAACAATTTTCACCTTGGACACAAAAGTTCAAATGTAATATTAATTTTTTTAAATTAATTCTAATAACGTTAATAATATTTATAAAAAAAAATATTGAATGATGGCTCCGTAATGAAACATAAGTTTTTGGGAATAGTTTTTGTAAATAATAAATTATAAAATATTTCCCTTTATAAAATTACAAATAAAATTTAAAAATATATTTAGGGTCAATATTTTTGAAAAAAATGTGTGCAATTTTAATGATACACAATGCACGTTTTTCTAAGTGATTAAGTGATTTGAAGTTACTATAAAATTTGTATATTTGTTATAGTTTTCGAACTAAATAAACCTTCATTAAATGAATTTTTAGCGTTTCCCGATTATCTATAGTATAATGCTGATATTAACTAATTTCCGGTGAAACTTCAAGTAACACATTTTGCGTAGATAATTAAAAACTCTTAGAAAATTATTTCTTATGAAAATCAGTTACACTTGGGGTGCCTGCAGAAACGCGACCGCCGTCGCAGAACCGAGAGCCTGTGACGATTGAATTCAGTATTTATGTAGTCGACATAAATTCCATCAACGTCGAGGACATGGACTTTCGGTACTTGAAAAACGCGGCTGAGAATTCTCATCTGATAGATTGAAATTCCAGTGTGGATCTTTTCGTTCGGCAGCGATGGGTGGAGCCGCGCCTTGAAATGCCGGAGGACATTTTTGAAGAGGGCGACGACTTTGTCACCCTGCCGGCCAACTTTTTTGACAACTTGTGGCACCCCGACCCTTACATCCTGAACGCCAAAGTGTCCGAGATCGCGACCCTGACACACAAGTTCTCCAGCGTGACCCTGTACCGCAACAAGACGATCCGATACGCCGCCAGGATGCACGCGATCGTCGCTTGTCAGATGGAGTTCCAACTCTACCCCATGGACATCCAAGTGTGTCCCATGGCCATTGAGAGCTGTGAGACTTATTGTGATTGTTTTTTCTCTTTTTATTGTCTCTTCAAATTTTTGTCATAGTCTCATATACTAACCAGAAACTACGACTGGTATGGGGTCAGGACGGGGTAACGGTCAACCCTGAGCTGAAATTGCTGCAATATAACGTGGGCCAACCACTGCAGCTTGAAGAGAGCAGCGGATTCATGCTCGAAAAGGAAGGTATTGTGATAAAAAAATAATCTTCGTTTAGGGGAAAAATCATAAAGTTTTTAAAAATTTTCCTGCGTATTTCATAAAGGAGGGGCTTCTGCTAAGCAACCAATTTTTTTGATAATTTTTTCATTCATTAGCATTGGTTTGTAGATTTGATTTTCAAGAAGATGTCACAAGAAAAATTGAATTCATTGGGAGAAATAAATTAAAAAAAAATAAAAAAATTAGTGATGGAAATTTTCTAAAAAAATCTCATAATCCCAAAATCAATAAAACTTTCGCGAAATCACGTTCATATATTAAGAGATAGTTATAAAAACCATAGGTAGATGTTGTCATCAAAATTTTCATTGATCTTCAATTTAGTAATCATTTTTTTTTATAGATACCCTAAGTGCCTTGTTAATTAAATTTTTTGCTTTATGTTTTTTAAGGAAATTATTCCCGTCTGGTGGCCTATTTTCGATTTGAACGCCAGATCGGCCACCACTTGATTCAGACCTTCGCCCCTTCCGCTTTGGTCGTAATGCTTTCGTGGTTCAGTTTCTGGCTTGGTCTCGACGCCATTCCCGGCCGCGTGACCTTGCTGGTGACCTCGATGCTCACCCTGGTCACCATGTTCACCGGTCTCAAATCAGACATCCCGCCCGTCGCCTACGTCAAGGTAGTTGCGTATTTTTTAACAGTTCAACAAGATCAACCTTGTTTGGCTTCTAAATAAAAATTAATTTAAATCTGCAGGCGCTTGATTTGTGGATGGCGGGGTGCATGGTGTTTGTTTTCGCGGCGCTGGGGGAATTTGTGGTCGTTAAAGTTCTGGACGTGCACTACACGGAACACAAGGCGGCGCAGAGAAGCAACAACCAAGCCCTGCAGAATAATACAAAAAACAACAATTGTTCCATTGCAAGAATTTTTCCACTAGTAAGAGATTTCTAAACAAATTAAAAAAAAATAATAATAATAATAACATTATGTATTTTTAAGTTTAAATGTTAAAATATTGGAAATAATATATGTTTAATAAGAAGTTAAATTTTAGTATTATCAAAAAATTTAACACATTTACTATCTTTTTAGAATTTAAACCGAGCAAAAGCTACGGAGCGCGTCTCTGCAGAGAGAATCCAGGCCAAGTCTGCATGGGATGTGGAAGCGGGCGTTCGATGCCGCAAGCTGGTCGCTGTGCAGGGCACCGAAACCGACTCGTCCACACAGACGGAGCAGCCCACTTGGTGGTCGCTACCCCCTCTGTCCTGGACCGACCCAGAGAGTGGCGAGGAAAAAGTTCTGTGGCGTGAAATAGACCGCGTCTCACGACTTGTTTTCCCCTTTTTCTTTCTACTTTTCGTCCTGACTTATTGGCCTATTCTGTTGCTAAAAAAGGGCTAGTCAGAAATTTTCCCTATTTATAATGACGGCATACGGCATTCATCTGTGACTTATTAGTCAAAAACGCGTATTTTCGCATGCGTTCTCAATCACTTTTCAGTTGAATATATATTTGTATACTTAGGCCGTTTGGTACAAAAGCCCTTATAATATATGTATTTGGACAAATAAATCTTAAATTCTTTGGAAAAATACTTTTCATTGGTTGTCATACCTTTTTTTATTCGTCAACAGACATTTCATCATCTTTGTCTACCCGCTCCATTTCAACTTCGTTCTCCTCCTCGAGCTTTTTTTGATGCATTTTTGCCTGTCTCAGGATGTACTCCTGGGTGTACTTGTTGAAATCACACCTTCAAAATATTTACTTTACAATACAGTTATTAAAATTATAATTTTGTATATACAATTTGCTGAGATCCTCATGCCTTCTGTTGACACTCTTTTCAATGGTAAGAAGCAACGGCATTGACTGGGCACTGGTTTGACGAAGATGCTGCCCATGAGAGGTTAGCAGGTGCTCTACCCACAACAAGTAAAACTCGAGGTGTCGAGTGTTCTCCAAAACAAGACCAGCAAACTTAAGTACCCTTTCAGCATACACGATTGGCATTGTTCTTGCAGTCATTTCAACTTTAAATGACAAAATTAGTTAAACTTCTTGTAAAAATATTGGGCAACTTACTATCTGATGCTGGAATTGTTTCAAGCACCTCCTGGATTAGTGGTTTCTCATTCAATTTCGTTGCCATCATCAAAGCTGAAATTTTCCTTTTTGTTATTGTAAACCTTTTTACAGAATTTTATGTAATTAACCTTTTGACCATTCTTTTTCTTTAAGGATTTTTTTCATTGATTCTGGGGTTATGCTTTCGTCAAGGAAAAAGGGATCAAACATCATCCCTTGGTCAAGGGAGTAAATAAGAAGCCCCTCAGTAGTCACAGCAGCCCAAGCAGTGCCTAAAATTAATTTGATTTTACGTCTAAAATAAAATTTAAGATATATAACCTGTTGGTGAAAAGTGCAGTCCGTAAATTCGCACTTCAGGCTTGAAACTCCTAGCAGCCATGTCTCCCTTTCTGGCACCTGGCAATTTGATAGCCACATCACCCCCTTCTCTCCTCTCAATCAGCATCATATTTCCAAATTCAGACATATTTCTTCTGTTCACAAAGTCCTATTCACAAAACTTGATTCATCTAAATATTTTTCAATGGCAAAAAAAATTACATCAACACTGTCCAAGGACCTATTTTGAGTCACTTCGAATTTCTTCATCAGAAGCCCTTCAGCAACATGATAAATGCAGACATTTTTTGACTGGCCTCCTGCCAGTATGCACTCTCCGTCAGCAGTGTAGCACAAAGAAGTAAAAGCTCTGGAAAAAATAATTTAATATAAAAACCTTAAATAAAAATATAAATCCCGTTTACTCACTTCCCCTTGAGATTTGACTTGGCTGTGACCAGATCAGTGTCTGACCTACCAGCTCCTAGGTCATTTCTGCCTTCTATATTTCCAGTCTGATTGGCATATTTGGTTTCAAAAAAGGAAATCTGACCATCTAGAGTGGCCACCGCAATCTCTTCACCATCTGGCCTAAATGAAACGCAAAGAGCTGCAGGATAAAACATATCACCGTTTAGCTGATTATTTCTTAAATGACTGCTCACCAGCAGATGCTAAAAGCACACTTTCGTGGTCACTGCCCACCTCAATGGTGTTCCAGATTTTGAGTGTTTTGTCCCAACTAACCGAAGCGAGAGTTGTGCTTGTGGGAGAGGGAGAAAATGCAACACTGATCACTGGACCTTCATGGCCACTCAAAACCTAGAGTAAATTAATTAATTGATTGAAAATCTTAAAGAAGGCTTGGTTACTTCTAGAAGTCGGCCAATCTTCATGGACCAGAGGTAGATTTCAAACACATCCTGCCCACCTGCAGCAACAAACTCTGCAGTAGTGTCCATTGCAACACAGCTAAACTGTGCTGGTCTTGGAGAGGTAAAAGTTCGGAAATTACGATACCTGAGCAAGATATTTGTTAAGTGATTTTGAATATTTTGAAAGGAACTACCTAATCATATCGAAAGCTCTAACTGTGCCATCTAAAGAGGATGAGATGATGACTTTCCGGTTGTTGCTGAACTGAACTCCAGTAACAGCAGAGGTGTGCTCATTAAAGGTAACAACACAAAATCCAGTCATGGTATTCCAGATTTTAACCTAAACATAGATGTTAAAAAAAAAAGTGGAATATTAAATTCATACCTTTCCATCTCCTCCGCCAGTTGCAATGAACTGCCCATCTGGTGAATAATCAAGACAATACATGTTGTTGTAGTGGCCCTGCTGCTTCATCACATAAGTTTCACTTTGCCATTCCCAAACAACAAGTTGCCCTAGACTGGAACAGCCAATTCCGATCCAATCTCCAGTATTATTAATGGCCAAAGATGAAATACTCTGCTCTGAAATACTGCGATATTTTGTTGACACTTATTCTTGTAAAAACTTTACGCAAAAAACCTCAGTGAATGAATTAGGTTGACGTCAGGCATCTCATGCAAGAAAAAGGCGCCGTTGGAGAAGCCAGTAACCAGCAAGTGCGTCCCTTTGTGATAAGCAGCACTGATCAGCATTGCCTTAGGTGACTCCCTTAGCAGATCTTTCAGGTAGTGCTTGGAAGCCCTTTTGTAGTTGATCACAGTGGCGGCACCCTGTTCCTCCTCCTCGACAACCTCCACCTCTTTCCTCTTGTCGATCTTCTCCTGCTCATCTGTCGTTCGCTCAGCATGTCTTTCATCAACATCGTCTGGCTTTTCATCGTCACTTTCAACTTCGAAGTTTTCCGAATCAACCCATGGTTTTAAATCAGACAGCTCTATGTTACACTCCCAGACAGAAACGTGGCCATTCCTTGAGAAATATACTCAGTAAAGTTAAATTAAGAATAATTTACAATCTACCTTCCGATAGTGGTAATATCCAAAGAATTGTCCTCAAAGAAGCAAGCAACAATAGAATCTCTGTGGCTGCCGAGAGACTGAATTCCAAAATTCGCTAATCGATCGATACCGTACAGTCTTGTGATCATGTCCTTGGCACCAATGGCAATTACTCTAAAAATTAATAATCAGAAATTTATTAAACACTGTCGTGTACAACATATACAATTAATATTAGTTATATATTTTTAAGGACTTCTTATTGCAATGCTGAGAGTACCAAAGCGGTTTATTGATCTCACATATGCCCAAATGTTAATGTTTTGCCCCATGAACCCCAAATTTTTTTTCTGCTAACCTGGAGGCAGATTCTTGCGACATTCGACATTGCCAAAGTCAGGACCTCTGTAATGTAATTTCTTATGGCCAATGACATGACTTTGGCAAGGTCGAGTGTCGCAAGGATCTGCCTCCTGTTTAGGATCATTCACTTATCATTTTGCGAAATTTAGAGCAAAAATTTCGGGCAGATTTTTTTTAATCGCTAAAAACAAAAATCTCCTTAAGACGCCATGTTAAATTTGAAAAAATCATATTTCAAGATTAATCCGCGCGACCCCTCATTTTTCTTTGTGCAATAAACTCCACTGGTGAGCAGGAATCTATAAAAAAATCTGTCCAAAAATTTTGGGCCGTTTTTCCGCAAACAGGAGTTGTAGATGTCAATAAGGAAGCCTTAAAATCCAAAAATAATATTACTTTGAATCTGATGTCCAGTCAATGCACGAAGTATCATCATATGCTCCTCTTATGCATCTGACCAACTCAAATGGATTCAGCTCTCCAACAGCGTAATTTGGAGCTTTGTAAATGAAAACTGAAATATTAAAATACGTATTATAAGCGTTGCATAATTAATAGAGAAATTCTTTACCTAAACTCTCTTTGCAAATAGCAAAATATTTTCCATCAGGGCTGAATTTTATTCTTGTAATTTTTCTTTTGAAATGGTAAGTGTGTAGGATCGTCTGGGTCACCATGCTAATGTAGTAGGCCTTTCCAGCTGCAAATTAAAAGAAAATAGATTTTTTTTTATTAACTTGAAACTTCCAATAACTATTATTACTCTCTTCAATCGCTAGCAAAAATCTTCCATTTGGAGAGAGATCAAGAGCGGTGAAATTAAACCGGCTTTCGATGGGTAGCGTTGATGCCTTGTTACTGCAAAATGTATGCATGTATTAGATGATGTATATTGTATGTATAAAAACTATATAATTATTATAATTATATGTATTTTTCATGATGGTAAAATACTTTTTCAAGTCGAAGACTGATATCTTGTTTCCAACAGGACTGATAACAGAGTTTCCATCAGGCGAGAATAACAAATCGCCTGTTTTGTAGACAGTTCCAAGCAAGTTGGAAAACTGAAATTTAAATTTATTTTTATTGAAAATATGTATGTATTTGGCGACAAAAAAACCAATATTGTTTGACAGAAAATTAGGAAAAAAATCTACTAGGTACCTTGTAAGAAAACTTCATTTTTGCAAGAGAACGCTCAAAATCTCAAAATCTTTGTACGATTTGTGGCATTTTTTCAACAAGCAAGAACATCAACCATGCTTGTTTGTTGAACTCACATGGCATAGCGAGCGCAGTGCGATCGTCATTTTTTGTCGGCGGATATAGACTCGGCCTGCGCTGATTGGCTGGCGAATTCGCACACCATTTGCACAAAATTGTGCTGGCTTGCGAGCCTTTTTCTCTTGACAGATCTACGCAGCAAGGTGCAAGGCGGACTGTGATTGGCCGAGTGCGACCGCTCTAAAGGAGTTTCGACCAATAAGACGCAGCAAGAGAGCACGAGACCGGGCGAATTTCCTCCCATCACATGACCCACTGCAGGCCATATTTGCCAGTCAGCCGTGTGTGAGCGCAAGAGTGGCCGTCGCAGCAATTGTCCGCCTCCTGTAAATACTCTCCGTTCGCACAGACTCCGCCAAAATGGTCTTACCCGAGGACAGCCCCATCTACGGACCCTTCTTCGGCGTCATGGGTGCCGCGTCGGCCATCATTTTCAGTTGTAAGTCGGCCTCAGCCGAATATCGATTTGCAATCCGTGTCGCCCGCCAACAGTATGGTGGCCTCCGGCGGCTCCTCGGCCTCGATTTTTCCGGAAAAGTGGCGCCTCTCGCCCGAATTTGGCTGCACTTTCGCCACCGCCGACTTTCCTAATTCCGAATTTGGCCCCGATGACCGTCTTTGAGCCGCCTCCGGTCAGTCCGGTCGCCACCCCCGGCGGCGGCGGCGTTGAGAAAAGCAGTGGGAAAGTGCATTATCGATCAGCGGCACACGACCACACGTATGATAGAATAAAATGATGAGATATCATGAGAGTTTCGCGTTCTGAAATGAATTGTAATTTAGAAATTTGGAAAATTTCGCAACCATGAACGGCAAATATCTAAGAAATGTACATGGAAATTCCCCGGCATAGATTCTTCTCGTGCTCATGACTCATTTTTAAAGGGCGTTACCAACCATGAAATAATTTTTTTTTGTGAAATTGTGGTTTATGTTATTTTTTAAAACTGATTTTATTTTCAGCCCTGGGCGCCGCCTATGGAACAGCAAAATCGGGCACAGGCATCTCAGCAATGTCGGTTATGCGACCTGAGCTGATCATGAAGTCCATCATCCCCGTGGTCATGGCTGGTATCATTGCCATCTACGGTCTGGTCGTGGCCGTGCTCATCGCCGGTGCCCTTGAAGAGCCCAAGAATGGATACAACCTCTACAAGTGAGACTCAAAAAACCCATTAAAATTTCAGGAGATTAAAAATTAAATTGAATTCGAGATCAGTTGAGGAAAAAGCAAATGTATCAAGGAATTTTTAACAAAAATCGCTTCCATATGGTTGCATTTTTTGCGCGAACATGTGACTTGAGAGAGCTGCAGGTGATGGAAAATTAAAACAGCTGATTACACTTTCAAGATAAAGCAACCCCATGCTGAAAAAAAACTTGCAGGGTTGTTTAATTTTATGGAATTTAAATTGGGAAGTTGTGGTCTGCAAATAATTGTATGACCCATTTTTCAAAATCTTATTCTTAAACATCTTTTTAAATTTCATTCTCTTGATATCATTAGAGATTTGCTCTGCTTTGGAATCATCTGGCCCTTTTCTCACTCTAATCTCAAAGCTGTTCACCTCTGCATCTGTTATCTAATCAGCAACTAATTGCGCCTCTCTTTCTCTCTGTTTCATTAGGGGATTCGTGCACCTGGGTGCCGGTCTTGCGGTGGGCTTCAGTGGCCTGGCGGCAGGTTTTGCAATCGGCATTGTGGGAGACGCGGGTGTGAGAGGCACGGCCCAGCAGCCCCGTCTCTTCGTCGGCATGATCCTCATCCTGATTTTCGCTGAGGTGCTTGGTTTGTACGGCCTTATCGTCGCCATCTACCTCTACACCAAATAAACAGCTTCACAGAGAGTCCCTTCCACTAGACCATCGCCAATCCACTACAATTTAATTTGTTCCCGACGAAAAAATGAGTCCCACAGGATTATTCTGCCTGTTAATTGATTCAAACATAACGTACAAGAAAGACCAACAAGCTGTCCCCCTTTTTCTGTTTGTATTTATTTTAGTGTCCAGATGGCTATGATGACTATTAGTTGATGTAGCACAATAATTAATTGAGAAAGAACGACGTTATTGTATATATTCCACACTTTGTTGCTTTTGTTTTTTGGAAGGAATTCAGCTCAACGCTGAAGAACAATAATAAAAGTATTAATTAATTCATCACTCCAAAGTGAACATATCGGGCCCTGATTTTAACTTTTGTTCGTGTCGATTTGGTCGAAAGTTTTAACACAAAACCAATCGGAAAAAAATTCATTCATAACAATTCTTGTTGTTCCCCCATAAGTCGATCAAATTTATTGCAAGTGTCGGAGGGATAAAATTTAACATGTAAGGAGAATTACTAGATGAGGCAAAACTGCATTAGGGGAGTTGTTGCAAATATTGTTCTTGGAAATACACGAGCAAATGAGTGAGCGATAAAAAAGTGCTGTTGTTATGACGGAGAACAAATAATTATACAAATGAAGTAAATAAATTTTTATTGTTTCCGAAGATTATTTGGTAGAAAATTATATAAACATAATAAATGCGTGTACATTCCGATTATAACTGTGTATAAAAAGTGAGGGTGGGTGGGTCAATTATAAGCTATTACTTGTTATAAATGTGCATGTGTAATCAGCCATTGTATAATCGAAATATTTAAAAAAAAAAAAAAATCACCTCACCTTGCTTTTTGGCATCTTCATTCAAACTGCATGGAAAGAAATTACACTCTCATTCCTCTTTTTCTTTTGGTTCATTCGTGTGGCTGGCAGAGCCGAAAAAATATTACACAAGTATATAATGATTATTACTCGCGGTAGCTAAACCTCAGCAAACATCTATGATTCTTCTCGATGAACAGTGTTGCAAACAAGAAAATGAATTAAAAAAAAAAATCATGATGTACTCTTAACGGAAGTAAAAGAAATTAAATTACACCTCTATCAACCTCTACAAACTGTTACGAAGAAAATTAACACAATCGTATGCGTATTTTAGAGTGTCTGTATGTATTGTTGTGTGAATGCGGATTCAAAATACGAAATAAAAATACAAACAAATATTATGAAACATGATGTGTCAAACTCATCCAGTTTTATTCAAAATTTCAAATTCAAACCTATGATATTGAATCAAGTTACTGTCTAAAGAAAAGGGTGTGCATATCTTGAGACGCATATCAAAATTTCAGTTCACTCCAGAATGTGTTGCGTTTAAGATCAGTACCCTGGTATGCACAAGCAACATGTTCAAGCTTAATTTGAAAAGTCTTCATTAATAAATTAATCCTTATTAATTAAGAGGATTAATTTTGAATTCATATTAAAAAAATATATATATCATTGTTTTGTAATGAAATTGATCACATTATTGTAAGAAAGAGTTTATTCAACAGTGAAAATAAATTCTTCTCGGCTGATGAATAGTAAGTAAGCCCTGTGGAGTATATCATTGATTTTCGCCGGTTCAATTCGTGGCCTTTCGGTGGTGAGAGACTAGAGAGTGTGTGTTTATCGCGCTCTATTGACTTATTAGCATGGTTCCTGAGACGAGTTTGTATCTGCCTGATAATGCAACAGCAACCAGGATTCATTAGCAGCCCCAAATATATGCTGCTAGCACATATTTAATATTTGCCCCTTTTTAAAAATTTCCATCCTCCTACTTCACAAATAATTGAGTCGGAATGAAAAATAAATCCATATACCATTGCGGCCCATCTCGGCGCGGACCTCTTCTGAGGCCTCGCGTTTTAGCAACCTTTTTGCCAGAGGTGTTGCCGTTTCTTCACATTTTGTAAAATTTTCTTTTCCATGACTTGATTTGTGAAGAATAACAATAATGGCACGCAGAAGGCGGCCGTCGTTTTTCCCATTCTGATAAAACTACTTTCACTGGTTAACGCATAAATTATTCCGACAGGTTTGTATATTTCGCACATTACGGACAAACGCCCACGACCCTGTGCAAAAATGAGCCGCGCCGACGTGTACGTTTTGAATTGCATTGAGGGTGTTGTGTGTGTGTGAGTGTGTGTGTGCACGAGCGTGCTGACGACGATAGGCATTGATTTTTCTTCAAATGGGATGCATTGGGCGAAGAGAAAGACAAGAAGATAAAAAAAGAAAATACATTATTCCAAGCGAAAGGCCACAAAAAATTTACAAAGAAAACGTTTCATTTTGTGAGAAACTGAGAAAATTAAGAAATATGACTTTATATAAAATTTTATTTCAAATAAAAAAAAAAAAAAATTCAGGAATGATGTTTTTTTCCATTTCAATTTATGAAATTCCAAATGAAAATTTATCATTAAAGCAATTAATTTAAATATTTGAGCCTTTTCACACATTTAATTAGACTACGTTTTTAATTTATTCAAATAGAATTAACAAGAGTAATTTTTTTTCATTCTTTGAATGGACCTCGCACGGTGGCCAATTCACCATTTGCGAAATCGAATAACATTGGTTCTTATGGCAGCTTCATCTTAGAATGATTAAATCTATTCAATCCTAAGACATGTTGTACTAGATGAAAAATAAAAAATATTGGCGTTGGAAAAATCAAAATTGGTTCAGCGTGGGGCTGTAGTCAGGCAATCAAAGATTTGTAAAAACTCCAAAAATTGGCTTCGGTTGCCTACTTTACAAATCTTTGATCGCCTGACTACAGCCCCATGCTGAACCAATTTTGATTTTTCCAACGCCAATATTTTTTATTTTGCATCTAGTACAACATGTCTTAGGATTGAAATGATTCAATCATTCTAAGATGAGGCTGCCATAAGAACCAATGTTATTCGATTTCGCAAATGGTGAATTCGTGATTGTGGGTCACCGCGAAGAGTTGACTTGCGCCATGAGGTGCTCCGTCGCCTCTGTCCAATGCTGGAATCGGTGCTCTCGCGTCGCGCTGCCAGGAGGCGAAGCAGCAGCGCCTTGACCACCCCCGCTCGCCCGCACGCGCAGCGCCTTTTCGCAATCAATGTTCTCCGCTGACGTCACCGGCATGCAGGGCCGATCGAACAGATCGCTTCGCCGCCGTTCCTGGTGGCGCCGCCCGGCGACTCCGCCGAAAAGTGGCACCCTCGGCCGCATATCGACAGATGAGGCTGAAAAGCGACCCTCGATTTGATAATTTTCACCCCCTGCCAAACCGCAAGTCGTTAAACCTCAGCTCCCTTTTGCTCTAGGGGTGTTAATTTACTTATGGATTAATTTAATTTAGAGAGTTTAAATTCAATTTTATTATTGTTTCGATAGACTAAAGGTATATTAACAGTAGTCTTTAAAACATTAATTTTTTGGGATACTTGGTTTGTATAAATTGCCGTGCAGATTGCGCGCCGCAAACGAGAGCACCTTTGCTGCTTTGCCGCGCGCGATATTCATAATTACCAGACAAGGGCTAAGAGTGATTTGTATGTTCCTGCCCAGACTTTGTTAATTTCTAAGCAGAATCCTTTCACTTGTTTCATTGTTTGGCTGCTTTATGTAACAAATTGCCCATTTCCATTCGTTTGGAGCCTCGATACAAGATTTTTGAAAGTAGTTTGGGATGATTTGTTGATTCCCATAAATTTTATAGTAAAGAAGAGTTTTTTCAACTAATTGGTACATAGTAATATTTTTTTGTTTTGTTGCTCTTTCTTCTTTTCTTCTCTTGTACAATGTTGCAAATGAGGAGCGTCGCAATGAGTAATTACATCGTGGTGACGCCTCATAAGTCAATAAAGATCAATAATAATGATAATAATAATAATAAAAAGGTTGCGCAACTCTTTTTTTTTCTTTCTAGTTGCTGAATGATGGGTGAGTTCAAATCATATCACTTTTGTAATCAAAAAATTCCAAATCAAAGCAGTCAAAGCATTTTTTGTACAATTCATCACGGAGAGATAAGAGATTTAATTCTTTTCTATATCGCAGGACGTCAGGCTTTATATAATATAAAGTGGAGGCCACGAAGAAACAAAAGTAATTTTCTTTGTCCGCTGATTAGGAGAAGTGAAAAAATGACGTCAGATCGCAATCGTGGCGACCAGGAAGAAAAGCGTGACGTCTTCGCCGCGACAGCAAATCCGGAGTACAACAAAACAAATGTGAAAAAATTGTGTGAGGTTGGCAAAATGACACGTTTTGTATTGCGGTTCATTTGTATTCATTCATCAAGAGTCAAGACGCGTGCCAAAATTCACTAAGCTTGCAGATAACCCATTGAGAAAAACAAACAGAAGTTTTCATTCACTTTGAGACAAGACATTTCTGATTTGAAATGTAGCCAAACGAAAAAACAAAATAAATATCTAAAAAAAAATGGAATTTTCAGGAAGTGAGGATTTTTTTTTTTTAAAAAAGGTCATATTTTAATTTATTTTTTAGTTTTTGTGGTACTTTAAATTCACTTCACCATTATTTTTTAGATTAGAAATATAAAAGAAAATGTTTAGATTTTATTTTAGAAATTATATTTACGGGAAATTTACTTTTTTTATTCCGTTTTATTTATTCTAATGGAATGAAAGAGCTCAAGAATTTTAAGTAGCATGTGTACATCTCATTATACTAGGGGAAGAACAAGCCCTGCGTTATTACTGTTATTAACTGAATGGACAAAGGGCGTCAGCAGACACCACTTGCGCGTGCGGCAGAGCAACCTTTCATTTTGTACATTTGACTTTTCGCACGTCTCACTGCTCTTGTGGGCAAACAAGAATCAATTTCAAAGACAAGCAACTCGTGATACAGATCGGTAGACAAGGCGAATTAGTTTGTTTGCATTGACCGACCTAATAAATCAACCATCCATCATGTTTTGCATTATTTATTTATTCGTTTTAAAGAATTTTAATTTTGGGAAATTTTCGCCCTCAATTTATATTTTTATTATCACACCAGGAATTTTCTAACTTTTTTACACTGGTTTTGTCTCAGTATCTCGCGTCTCGGAACGTAATTCCACGTAAAAGGTGTTTAGTCAAAAGTACTAATTTAAATTATTCCATTAGTTGAATTGAAAAAAGATTTTATTTTAAATATAATTTGTAACAAAAAAGGCACCGTGGGAATAAGGCAGATGACCATAGGACAGGCGTATTGGGAAAAAAGAAAACGACGGTGCCCATCAATTAACGTTGGTATGATCTCTCGTAGTCATCAAAAATCGTAAACAAGGTAATAAAAGAGGCGATTTTAAGGAGCTGGTCTGAAAAACTGGTCCATTCTTGTGTTAGGGGCACACGATTTTTTTTTTACCAATTAAATTGAGGGACTAATTTGAGCACTTTTGCCAATTTCCACTATAGCAGTGACAAATATGCTCTGATCGTAAAAAAGCCCAACTCTCCTATATAAATTAGTGCAACACCAGGGAACAGCAACTTTTTAGAATAAAAATTACCCACCTGGTTTCCTGCTGGGTTTTTACAGTCATTAGCAGTGGAGTAGTAATAATTGTACGCATCGAGCAATTGGTATTATTTGTGATCTCAAGGTGCGCTGCAAAAGTCGACTTTTAGTCCCCTGCTCAAGAATTTGGCCGCGGGCGAAGAGAGAAAACTGTTGCACAACTACAGCAGCAGGAGAGTATCAACCTCACAATTCTGAGCGACCACCTTTTTACTGTCGTCGCCAATAAACAAGCCGATTCTAATTGAAAATAACTATTTGCTCAAACATTAATATAATTATTATGTAGAATTTCATAATATATTAAAAATCAAAATGGAATAAATGTAGAATATAATAATTATATCCTTATTTAATAAAATAATTCACAATAAATGAGTTTTAAACTATTTAACAAAATTTAAAAGAAAATTTTTGAGAAAAGGGGTCAGGTTAAGAATCAGCAGGGAGTGGAAATAGTAAACGGAGTGCTCGGAGAACAATGACAATAGCAAGATCGAAGGTGTCCTTTTCCCGAGCGTGGTGCATTTCATTTGCAATGAGCGCGACGGCGGCCCAGTTACTTATTTCTTGGTGCCGATGAGCTTCTGACGCAACATTGCATGTGACTCTCTTTAGTCTCTTTGCCGCCGCCTCACCAGCTAATAATCAGTTCGGCGTCACAAACTCGTCAATCATGAAATATCCACCAACGCCTGAATCATTTTACGACTGTAAATTAAAAAAATTCCTTTTTTTTTTTTTTTTTTAAATATCTCTTCTTTAAAGAATTTAGGCACACCTGCTGAAAAATGCAAAAGTAGTGCACAATATATATCAGAGGAGCCACCCGTGGTGAGACAAGGTGTGTACGGGGCCGCGCACGTGTTTTCAGCCGTAGCCCACATAATTATCGCTGAAGCTCTGCTGCTCGGATTTATAACAGAAAATACTAATCGCCCAGGACGGTCGCGTATATAATCACAGTTCTTGTCTCACTGAAGTTCTTTTTTTTAACTTAATGCATTTTTTAATGCTAAAAAATGTGTTACAAAAGGAAATTATAGTTTTAGAAAAAAACTGGGCCAGTCGTTGAGATAGGTCTAGTTGAGGTGGTCACGGAATCTCAGCTTCTTTTGCCACGATAACTTTTGCCTACTGCAGCTTTATTATCACAGGGAACTTTCTAAACCGGCTTTTAACAGAATAAAAATAATAAGATCGGAGTTGTTTCGCGAAATTTTAAAATTTCCTTCCTCTCTTAGCTTAATACTGATTGCCATCTGGAAATGTGCAAGCCGATGTACGGCCCTAGCTCAAGTCGGAGTTTCCATTTCCAGGTCAAAAAGAAGCTTTCAATCATTGAAATATGCCTCACGGTCACGACGCAACCGATACGGGTTTCTTAATGACTGTGCCATCTACAGTCGTTTTGCAAAATGAAAGAACCGAGTCGATTTTGCACCAAATTAAAACGAATCTGGTTTTCCTTTTTATTTCTATAGCAGCTAAATTATCTAAGTATTTTTTTTCTTAGATTTTTTTGGCCGGAATTCCGTTTTGTAAGATCTGGTGGAATAATGTACAAAAAGAATCTCACTCACACTTGTCCACAATCTGCAAATTTGCCAAACTTCAATGTTTCTCCAGAGCCAAGTTCAAGAGGTCGTTCATATTGGTGACTACAGTGCGCGGATCCTCTACCAACCCAGCCGAAACCATTGCGTTTGAAAACAGCTACAAATATTAAATTAATGAAAAGTGGCAGTTTAAGTTTTTTTTTAAACTTCTCACAAAGAAAAATAATAAAATATAAAATCACTTACTTGTTGGGTGACTAGCTCGGCTAGTTTAGGGTTGCTGTCAGTCAGCGTATTTAACTTTTTGATGATCGGATGTCTGAAAAATAATTCAACGAATGACAAAAATTTATCAACTAAAGTTGAAAGTTATGAGGCAGACTCTTGCGTAAGTGACAGGTTTAAGCTGAAAGCAAAAATCCATAATTAATTGTCACCTGCAAGCTATGCCACTAATTTATTTCCCCCTTTCATCCCATATTAGCCATCCACTATGTAACCCCAAAAAAGGGGTGGCAATTTATCTACCCCCCATATTCTACCGACCATGCGCAAGCACACAGACTTGCCTAACGAGTGCTTCAAGTAAAAGATAGAGTTGCAGAACCTCTGTTGTAAGAAGTCCATAAATTGCGAAATGGTGGCCATCTTGCCAAGGTCAAGGGTCAGTTGGACACGGTCATAATGGTGTTCCCAAGAGACCCAGGACCGGTTGCTTCAATAAAACTTTAAAATTCCAGCAAAATATTGAACGTGTCTTTGACTCTAACCGTAATCTTTATTTCAGTTAGAGTTTTAATTAAATATTTAAATATAAATTCAATAAAATATTAATAATTAAATATTTTCGCTTGGTTCGGCTTTCTTCCTGTTTTTTTTTTTCAATTTACCTCTTTGAATCAATTAAATTTGTTTGTAAATACCCACACTATTTTCAAAAGACAAGTGAAGTTCATAATTACCAGACAAGGGCTAAGAGTGATTTTATATTCCTGCACAGACTTTGTTTATGTCGAAGCAGAACCCTTTGACTTGTTTGGCTGCTTTGTAAAACAAATTGCCTGTTTCAATTCGCTTGGAGCCTCGGTGTAAGACTTTTGAAAATAGTTTGAGGCGTTCATGCCCATAAATTTTATAGCTAGGAAGAGTTTTTTCAACTTAAAGATAAATTGTAATTATTTTTTTAACCCTCTTTCTCACTTGTTTTGTACTACATTACAAATGGGGCGCGTTGCAATGAGTAATTACATCGTGGTGACACCTCATAAGTCAATAAAGATCTATAATTAAAATATATTTGTTTGAAGAAGTTGACACTCGAGGAGATGATCATGTAAATGAAGAAGTCTGGCTTGTCCTCGTTGTACGTCCAGGACAAGCCCGATTTCTTCATTTCCAATAATAATATAATTTTACACAAGCAAAGATACAAAGTTTAAAATATAATCAAATAAAAAATGCAATTACTTTGGATTAATTTCGAAGCGTGGCTGGAGCAGAGAGTAACGTGATTCTTCAGTCAGTTGGTGAGACTGTGTTCGAATGAAGTGCCTAGCAGCAGCCATCTCTTCGACAGTGACCACACAAGGGTGGGTGTCCAACCTTTGTGTTACAGTCACAGAGTACGCCTTGCCAGAGAGCACACCCTTGATCCACTTCTGCAGTTTATCAACCGAAATTTTGGACAAACTGTCTGGGCCTAGAGACAAGACAGATATTGAAAACTTAAATAGAAAAATGCAGTTAAATTCATTTTGCCCTCACCGTAGTCGGAGACGTCTGTTGATTCTCTGTCCATTCGCATCTCCCTTTCGATGGAAGTCAAATTCTTAGAGTCAAACTGCCTGAGTTGCATCAAAACAAGTTCGTCGTATGGCTCGTAACAGAAGAGTACTTCAATATCCTTCTTTTTGATAGCTTCGTAGTACGGAGATGCTTCAGCCAAAGCCCGACTGGAATTTCAAACAAATTGAGAATCATAAAAATGGAAACCAATAATAAATTGTTTACCTAGGGGCAGCAAGGTAGTAAATATCTCTCTGATCTTTTTTCATACGATTGCAGTACTCGGGTAAAGTGACTTTTTCCCCACTCTTCTGGGTTGAGGATTCAAATCTGAGAAGTTTTGCAATTTCTTCCTACAAAGGAAATATGCTTTAATAATAGTTTCTATGATCGACAGTCATAGTACTTTATCCATTTGCTGAGCACCAGTAACAATGCCTTCTTTCAAAAACAGTCCGTAATCTTGGTAAAACTTTTCAAACTCTTCTGGATCTTTGGTTGCCTTTTCTTGCAAAAACCGCAAAATTCTGTTGGTGAGGATGGTTCTCAGCTTCCTACAATATGGATATACATAATTATTTAGGTTTTTATCGTCACATTAATAACAACTTACGTGATTAGCGCACTATTTTGAAGAAGCTCTCTGCTTAAATTCAGGGGAATGTCTTCGGAATCAACAACACCTGCAAACAGATTGATTAACATAAACATCAGGTTTAAAAATTAGTGCAACTAGTGTACCTTTTACAAAACGAAGCCACTTGGGCAGGATATTGTCAGCTTTGCTCTTGATAAGCACCTTTCTTGTGTAAAGAGCAACTCCCTGGTCACCTTCTCTCGTAAGATCGAAAAGACCTGCAAAAGAAGTTTTATAAATTGACTTGCAAATTCGTTTTAAAAACCCCTACCAGGCTTTCCCTCTGGGAAGTAGAGAAGTGCCCTGATGCCAAGTGGGGCGTCAGTCTTATAATGCATGCAGAAGCGCGGTCGATCACCCGAGTTGCCTACAAAGCGGTAAAACTCATCATGCATCTGCGGAGTGACGGATTTCGGGTCCATCATCCAAAGGGGTTGGATTGTGTTAGCCTGCTGACCGTTGACATAAATTGGACTTCCGACAAAATTGCTGTACTTCTTGATAACACCTTTATTTAAATTAAAATATGGTTAACATTATTTGAATTACAGAAATTAAAACCTAATATTGTGTCCTCATCACTGAATTCTCTACTTTCTGCCTTCAGGTAAAGAATGATTTTTGTTCCAGTTTCAGCACTGTCCACAGGTTGGATTTCATAAGTCCCGGTTCTAAATCACATTTATGTGAATGTCAATAAATTTTAGCAAAAACAGAAAAGGGTAAATAATATTTACCCATCTGATGACCATTTGTATCCCTGAGCATCAGAACCAGCTGCTTTGGTAAAAACCTCAACTCGGTCGGCAACCATGAAGCTGGAGTAGAAACCCACGCCAAATTGGCCAATGATAGCAGATGAATCATGCGCGCCACCCGACTTGCTCTTCAGTTGCTCAAGGAAAGCCTAAAATTTTTCATAGATCTTTTAAATTTGCATAAACTTATGATGATTTTTTTTTTCTTATAGCACCCGTGAGCTTATTAGGCTATTGGGTCGGTCTCTTGCCGAAATCGAGCACCCTTAACTTAATTGCGCTTCCCAACAAACCTGACCCTTGGTCGGGGGCTTTCTAGCAGATTTGGTGGTGCTCGCATGGGCCCCCTACCCCCCTAGAGACCTTGCCCCAGCCTTGCCACGAAGGACTTGCAATGAAACGCAGGCATTCGCCACACAAGCCGAGTTCTTCCAGCTTGTGACTCGGAGGAAACGTGGCAAACCTCCGAGTGCAAGTCGGTACAGCTTGCGCCATACCTCCCAAATTTCCAACGTGTCAGCCGAAATGTTATCAATGATTCGCATACCAGAGGCTATTTGTTTCCACACAAAAAATCGCCTGAGGCTGAGCATTGATCCCATGACGGCCAAGCAAACCCACTGATCAAAATGCATGCATTCTAACCACCTGAGCCACCATGCTTGGTGTATTGTAATAATTTTGTTGTTTATTTTACACTCTTTTTTACTTATTTTGTACCATTTGCAAATGGGGCACATCGCAATGAATAAATTACATCGTGGTGACACCTCGTAAGTCAATAAAAATAAATAATAAAAATTTAGTATTTTTTTTTCAGTTTTCAAAGTGTGGATGCTTTTTACAGTGATTTGAATTTAAATTCGGCTTTTCCTCGATGGGCTTTTGTGACTTTTAGTGTTTAAGAAAAACAATATCCTGCTCTACATGTTTCGGCTGCGGGCTGCAGCCATAATTCATGGGCTGCGAAATCATTTTGACAAAAATTAAAATTAGTACAAAAATATATCTTTATTCAAAAATTATTTTTCTTTCAACTTGAAAATTTTCCGTGAAAAATATTTAAATTAACATTTCTTCACAAAATAATTTTTAACACAAAATTTTACATTTGATTCAAAATATTTTTTAAAAACAGATAAATCTTCTTCTAATGATTTTGGTATATTGAAACATGTGTTTTGAGTGTACCTTTTTTGAAAAATGATATATTTTTGTACTCATTTTTGTCAAAATGTTTTCACAGCTCATGAATTATGGCTGCAGCCCGCAGCCGAAACATGTAGAGCATTTTTTTCTTAAACAATAATAATAATAATAATAAAAACTCACAAAAACCCATCGGGGAAAAGCCGAATTTAAATTCAAATCACCATGAATCAACCCTCAATTGTGAACTTCTACTAAAAAATTTTTTTTAATACCAATGAATTATTAGCACAGGCAAGCAAAAACAACCTTATGTTAAAAATTATGAATCAGTAACGAAACGACGATGATTTCAAGTGAAATCCCCTGACTGGCTTGGTCGGGGAAAAATCAATGCTCGCATATCAGGAGACACAGCGAGGAAAGCCATCGATCTTGGCGCCGAGAACATAAATCACTCGTCGCTGGCCAACTCGAGTGTCTGCCTAAGAGCCTAACTGATGTCTCTCGGTAAAGAGAAAAAATGCTGAGGGACCATATTTGTGTACTTTGTCACATATTTATTTTTTTCTAACAAGGGCAGAAACTGATAAAAAGGTATTTGTGAAAAGTAAAGACGAGTCAAAAATTTTGAAATAAAAAATTATTCAATACCTTAGATCCTGATCTGGCGATGGTGCCCAAGTTTTGGATGAGCTCTTCTTTGGTCATTCCAATACCTGAATCCTATTTAAAAGTAATTACAATTTTTCTGTTTCTTAAATTTTACAAATATATTTGATTCTGGTTTTACCTGAATAGTAAAGGTCCTGTTTTGCTTGTCGGTTTCAATCTTTATTTCAAGAGCAGATTCATGCTTTTCTCCTCCCGACTCTGCCTGCTGCGCTGACAATCGTTCATGACGCAGTTTTTCCAAAGCGTCACTTGCGTTTGAAATGAGCTCGCGTATAAAAACCTGGAATCGAAATTGAAACAAACTTCCAGTACAAAAAATGGTAATTTTCAAACTGGTATAAATATTAATTGCTACAAAAACAGTTACGAGATTCAATCAAGAGTAAATTGCTGAAAGTTGACGGGGACTTATTTGGACGCTGAGCGACGTTTGCGTCAGTGGAACAGGAAAAACAATTGAAAAAGAGCAAAATTGACTTTCAGATGGAAGAAAAATAGCCCGGGTCTCCTTTTCATCCATAATTAATCTAATGGCTACCCCGCTACTAAATTTAGACTCTCTTGATTTCTATTTCCGAACGGCGTATGAGCAATTTGTTTGTTAGTTTTTTTTCCATCGGCAGCGTGGGCGTCTGGAATGGAATGTGATTTGGTTTGGCGTGACGTCTTTTGTGGCAAAAATACACCGACGGCACATTGGCCGGTTGGAAAGGTTCTCCCCCAAGAGCGAGAAAGAGGAAAAAGTAAAAGGCGGGAATTTGTCACAGGATCGATAGATGGTCGGCGCGCACAAAAAAAAAAAAATAAAGAGCGGCCGACAATCGAGAGCGCCGTTGTTGTGCAATCAGAAAAGCAGATTTAATCTAGACCAAGTGCATTCAAGTCGCAGAGTGCGAGAAACTAAGTGACAATCACTTTTTATCTGCCCACAGTGCCCACAACTCAAATAATCAATATTAAAAAATTTAAACACTTGAACATTTTCAAACAAAATTTGGTACCCAAAATTTAAGAAATAATATTAAAAATCATTAAAAATTCTTTTAGAAAACCATTATTGAAGTTAAATTTTGTGAGAAAATTTCTCTTACTGGTCAAAGTGAACTAAAATTAAATGGCCAAATGCATTATTTGGCGTCACTTTAAAAGTACCAATCGGTCAAACAATTTAATATTATTATTTTTGACGCCCGCTTTGTGGCTGCGAAGTCACCTGAGAAGGGAAGTGACCTCAACTGGGTCAGGTCGCAAAGCTTTCTGACGTCACATTGCACGCAACTTTTTATAAATTTTTTATGCTGCAAAGTTCCTTTTAATTCAATGTAAGTATTTTTAACGATTTAGTTTTATAAAAATTTTAAATTTTGCTCTACAGCGTGTAAAAGGGCCTTGTGTGTATGATGCAGGAGCGATCAGCAGCAAGCGGCCGGCAAGAGCATCCTTTTGACTCCTTACGTTCGCGGCGGCCGCGATCAATACTGCGCCCCCTAGGTGACGCCAACCGCCCCGCAGAGTAGCGCAACACCCTCGCAAGTCGACTTGCGCGACTCACGATAAATAGAAACACAAAATACCCTTCATGGAATGCAAAATACCAAAATTTAATTAAAAATTGTTTTATTTTGGAAATTGAGAGATCGGGCTTTTCCTCGTTGCAGAAAAATTGTTTTTTATTCAAAAACAAATGGCTCTACCAGTTTCGGTCACGGTCTGCGACCCTATTTTATGAGCAAGAAAAAATACAAAAAATCAGCGAAATTGAAAAAACCACATTTTAACATAAAAATAAAAATCTTTAAACTAACAATTTCAAGTACCAACCTATTTCATGAGCAAACGCGCTGCTCGCTGACTAATACAAGAATGAGCTAGCTAAAGACAGATTGATTGGGGGAGGTGATCTTTATTGGGTGATTAGCGCGCGGCGCGGCCGACCTCAGGGGCGCCGAATGACGTCGGACACATTATGCGTTTTCGAGAAAAAGCTGTTTGCTTTCTCTCTCAAAAAGGACATCCACCTTTGATCGAATTGGTGGCTCGGTTGGCTTATTACATTATTACCGCATGCCATTGCCATTGCTTCCAGCACTTTTCTTTTTGATTGATTTTCTTCGAATTTAATATCCGTTGCATCTGACCAGGCAAAAGAGTGGCCAAATTGAGTCGCGTGTTGAGCTATTTGAAAACCATTGCTGTCCGTCCCAATTGTGACCGGATCAAAAGTTTTTGAAATTGCCCTTTTATGCTCGTCAAATCGGAAATAAACGTGTCTTTTTGTCTCCCCAATGTAATGTGAAGAGCAATCGGCGCATGGCACGCGGTATACACAATTACGCAGAGCAGGTTCACATTTGGGTTTTACATGGAATTGAAAATTTTCGCAGATTTGAAGTTTTTGAGAAAGCAACTCTCACTTTGGCAACTTCTTGGCTGATGGCCGTGATTTTTTTCCCGATTTTCCTTTAAAATAAGGAATGACCATTGTGGAAATGAAGATTCGGGCTTTTCCTCGTTGCAAAAAATTGTTTTTTATTCAAAAACAAACGGCTCTACCAGTTTCGGGGTCACGGTCTGCGACCCTATTTCATGAGCAAGAAAAAAAAAAAAAAAAAAAAAAAAATTTTTTTTTTTTTTTTTCTTGCTCATGAAATAGGGTCGCAGACCGTGACCGAAACTGGTAGAGCCGTTTGTTTTTGAATAAAAAACAATTTTTTGCAACGAGGAAAAGCCCGAATCTTCATTTCCATGATCATCTCCTCGAGTGTCAACTTCTTCAAACAAAATGACCATTGTGATTGAAAATTGTTAGGTGGTTTTGGGGGGCGCGGGAGGTTTTGCTTTGTTGTGTGCTTCATTGATAAATTTGACGGGATAACAGTTTTGACGGTGAATTTTGTAAATGGTGGAATTTTCTTATTTCAAAGAGAGTCCCCGCGAGCAATAACTGTATGCTTTTTTAAACAGTGAGAGAGCAACAGAGAACTTGGTTGGGAAAGAGTGATTTGATTCGAAGTGGAGGGTTGAGTTGGTGGAGGCGGGCTTTCGGTAAACTGAAATTGAAAATAGATCAAGAAAGGGGATTTGGTCATCCTTTTCAAACTCACAAGTTAATGGAATTGAGGGGTGGATTGAGTTGCTATTATCTAAAAATTTGTCACTTGGGAAAATTCTTTTTCTATAAATTATGAAATAAAATCATCTACATACGTAGACGGGGGAATTGTTTGAAAATTTAATACCTCTTTTTCGGAGTAGAGCGATTTGGCCACAATGTCAAGCAGCATCCGCGTTTCGGCCTGAAATTCAAGTCGGTCCACTGCTGAAATTTTTTTATTATTATTATGACATGTTCAAATTTTAATGTATCTTAGGACGTGGAAAATTTGGGTGAAATTTATTGTTTGCATTTGGAGCACAAAATGTTGTATTAATTAACACGGAATAGGTGTAATGAATATCTCAGTTGCGTATTATTTTCGTGCTTCATCTGGGCAAACATGCGAGCGTGAGTTTCGTTTGCAAATGGAAATCGATCGAAATTAGGCCGTGCCAGGGTGTCTGTCCAAGAGCGCTTATGCAACCAGCACGACTTACAAACAGACACGGTTGCAGGCATACCTTGATAAATTTATGTGCGTGTTTAATTTCTACTTTTCTATATTAATTTTACCACAGTTAAATAATTTTGGAGTTTTGGATTTTTTATTTCTCAAGGGAAACACTTTTGACTTAATTCACCATTTGCGAAATCGAATAACATTGGTTCTTATGGCAGCTTCATCTTAGAATGATTAAATCTATTCAATCCTAAGACATGTTGTACTAGATGAAAAATAAAAAATATTGGCGTTGGAAAAATCAAAATTGGTTCAGCGTGGGGCTGTAGTCAGGCAATCAAAGATTTGTAAAAACTCCAAAAATTGGCTTCGGTTGCCTACTTTACAAATCTTTGATCGCCTGACTACAGCCCCAACATGTCTTAGGATTGAAATGATTCAATCATTCTAAGATGAGGCTGCCATAAGAACCAATGTTATTCGATTTCGCAAATGGGGAATTTTTATTCAAGCGGCTCATAAATCATCTTTTTAAAAAGACATTTGACCTGCGGTGGAGGTTTTGTTGCGCAAAGGAACAGACCGGCAAGCAAATCTGGCCACTCAATGCGGCCTCACGCGCCCCGCACAGAGAATAAAGGCATACATATGTTGATCTATACAGAATATTATCTGAATCTGAACTTTTGTCCACATTGACTGCGAGAGCGGGAGGAGAGAAAACCGACGCGCTTCCTGCGCAAAGTAGCTCCTCCATAACACCGAGAGATGCTCCAGCAACAGATAACCTCACTTATGCATATTCAAATTTTTGGAAAGTGAATTGCCACTTGAAACCATATTTGGACAAACCCAATCTATTACACAATCAAAATTTTATGACATTTAAAACGAGTTCAGTTTAGCAAAAAATACATTAATCTAGAAAGTGCTATAAAATAAATTCTTCCTTGGCAGACTTTTAACAAAACCGGGTGACGGCAAATGAGTGAAATGAGATGTGTATTATTCTATTAAAAATAACTCCATGGTGAAAAAAGTTCCTCTAAATATTGAGCTCAATCAATCAATAGATTTTTTATTCCGTATTAGATCAAATATATACAGCGATCTTTAGAATAAGTCTCAATTTAATTTAATAAGCTATTTACTTATTTATCGGATGGAACATAATCTTTCTGCTAGATTCACTCTTTACTTGATTTAATTTTTTTAAGCCCATTAATATCAATTCAGTTAAATATATCATAATATATTTATCAAAAGTTCAAAAATATTTTTTGTGAAATGTTTAAATTAAACAAAATAAACCATCAAAAAAGGATTGAAACAAGGTGAAATCGAATTATTCAAAATTTTTAATATTATGATTACTAGGAATATTTTTTGTAAATGAGAGAAACAAATAATATTCACATCATCTCAGTCACCAATGTTAAATAAGAAATTTTGCTACAAGTTTTATAGTTTGGTGAGTACGGACTTGAAGTAATTTAGTTTTATCACAGTTAATTTTTTGATTATTTCTTTGGGCAAAGTTTACAAAATCGCTGATTAGTGTTTGTTCTTTCAGTTTGATCATTTACTTCGTCGAAAATTTATTATTGTTGTTTATTTGTCCAAATTGTTACATCACATTGTTTACATACAAATTGTTGAAAACATTTATTTTGAAGAAAAAAGAAAAACGGCACCACCACTAGCAAAAATTTTGCTAAAACTTCCGAGGCCAAGAAGACCCCATCCGCCGCAGTGAGCCTCGGTTGACTTTTTTGCTCTTAAACTGTCACTATTCACAAAGTTTGCCACATGTGGGCCTTGCACAGGGTGGGGAACTATTCCACTGGGCACGTTTTCAGAGCGTCCGGAAGGGCATTCCAGGGTCCGACGACCCTGAAGGAGAAGGCGCTCTTGGCAAACTTGCTCCGGACATCAGCAGGCTGCAGTTTTTGGGGCCCAGAGGGTCATCTGATCGGAGGGGCCGGCTGCGCTCGATGATGCACTCCATGACATCAAAGTCGGTGGCGCCGCTGGTGCACCTCTTGAAGAAAACGAGGTCGGTGTATCGGAGGTGCATGTCGAAGGGCATCACCACCTGCTTGTGCACCGGCGGCAGCTGCCAGCCGTGGATGAAGCGGAGCGCCCTTCTTTGCAGCCCTTCGAGTTTGCTGATGTTGACGCCCGAGGTCGGGTGCCAGGCGAGCAGTCCGAAGGTCATGATGGGTTTGACCAGCGACTGGTAGGCCATCCTTTTGACCCTGGGGGTGCACCCTTGCAAATTTCTGGCTGCAAAACTGAGGGTTTGCGCCGCCTTTGCCTTCACGGTGTCGGTGTGGTTGATTCTTCTATTATTCGCCATGCAGCCCTTGATTTATTAATAGATTGCTTCATTTTATCAACATTTAGTTGCCTTATTTCATTACTTATACAGTTGCCGACTTTCCAGTAGTCGGGTTGGTTGGGAAGACATGTACATACTAAAAGTTCTTTTTTCTCAAATAAATGTTTTCAAAAATTTGTATGTAAACAATGATGTAACAATTTGGACAAATAAACAACAACAATAATAATATTAAAAGAAATAACCCAAAATAGGATAATGTTAACTTGTACAAATTAAAGCATTTAGCTTGTGGCCAATCTCGGCGTGGACCTCTCTTGATGCCCAGCGTTTTAGAAACCTATTTGCCTGTGTTTGCCAGATTTGTTGCCATTTCTTCACATTTTGTTATTTTCTTTCCATTGACTTGATTTGTGAAGAATAATTAACAATAATAATTTGTACATCGTACATCGTTTCAATTAAAATTTTAAGGAATTTTATATTTACATGAAGAGGGTGGCTGAGCAGGCTCCTGCTGTGTGCTGAACGAGCGGCATATTATTTCATATCTTTGAAAATTATTATGATGTAAAATAGCACCGATGGGTTTCACATCTGAAATCATAAATTACAAAAATCGTAAATAAAACCAATATGTTGTTGAAAATTTTGTTGATCAAGATAAACACGCAAAAACCAAAAGTATGATTTGCAGCTAAAGAACCAAAACAAAACAACAGTAATTGTATGTATGCAATCAACATTGATTATGTCTTATATGTCATGAAACTGAAGTTACTAGGACAAATGCACATTGCCGAATTAAAAAATGCAGAAGTTTCCAATACCCAAAATTATATTTCGTACTCTCAATGTTTTGAATTTGCAATATTAAGCGCGAATATTTTGCAAAAAATGTTTTCTTTTTTAGTTCTGCCGGTGCATATTTGTTAGCGATTTTGCCCAAACAAGAAGAATAACCTGCAGTAATTTTTTAACCAACCTGTAATAAAACTCTTACTTAAGGTTTTGGAACCTTCCAACCGCAAAGGGAGGCCTCGGGAAGCGCGCAGGACGCGATTACAAAGTCCGAAAGCGGTTCGGCACCTGACGAGGGCGGCCATGTTTACTTTCAACTTTCACGTGCGTTGACTGCGTTGATCACTAGTCGATCTCTAGTCGGTCGAAAGGCCACGGATGGCGCTGCCTCTGCTTTAGCAACAAAATGCGAGCCAAAGGAGGAAAAGTGCCGGCGCGCGAGGGGCGGAAGTCATCGGTAGGGGAGGGGGACAAAAATCAAGCAAGTTGCCATACGTACGCGTACATGTGATAATACCGAATAACCCACGCGTCCGCACAGCGAAGAAGCATGCGGTGGTGGCCTCATCCACATCCCCCCTCACGCGCCCTCCGAGGTGACTGATGAAGAAGTGTGACTGATATTTATATCGGTGGGCGATACTCAATAGAAACCGGTTATTAAAGAATTTCAGTTCTTTCCCTTACGAATTTCAACTTTTTTATTGTATTGCGGGAATATTCTAAGTGATTATTTGAAAAAAGTAGCAGGTTATTTGATTAATTTAAGAGGTAAACGTTAACACACACATTTAAAACAATTTTATACAAATTTGTATAAAATTTTACTTGACAACCGGTAATCTAAAAATAAAATTGCCCATGCAGAATTTAGCTAAAATTGTGATGTAAGATGAAATATTACATTATTTAATGAGTATAATTAAATTAACACCAAATTTAATGCTATTTCAGCTTAAATTTTAGTTGAATTTTTACAGTTTTTTATATAACAGATAAATAACCGGTTTTTCTGTCTATGGTAATCGATGATGGAGGCCCAATGTTGATAAGAGGAGGAAGCCGCTCGGGGCCAGAGTTTTGTTTCTGTTCTTCATTCTTCAGTCAGTCAGTGCAAGCAAGTTGGATAGGGACGCACACCGGCGGCTGCCGAACGCATTCAACGGCCGAGTGAGAGGAACCGCGATTGTCCGAGTGGCGTCCGAGCGCGGGACGATCGGCAAAAAGTGACGATGACTTAGGCGGACGTAAGCGGCAGGTGTCATTTGCGTGGTGTCATCGTTTTTAACCGCCCAACCATTAACAACAACAACAACATAGGCGCCCCCAACGTCGTGGTTGGGGGGCGGCTCGGGGGCGGCTTTGGGACAATGTGTCCAAACGGAGGCCTCGACGGGCCGCCTCCGCCGCGGCTGCACCAACCCGGCGGGCCGCAGGCTGCGGCCGGCGGCCCGCAGCCCCAGGTGCCGATGGGGGCGGTCGCCTCCGGTGGAGGCGGCATGGTAGAGGGCCGCCGGCAGACGGTGGTGGACAGGTTGCGGAAACGCATCGAGAACTACCGGAAGAGACAGTCCGAGTGTCTGCCAAAGCACGACCGCTCCTTCAACGGCTTCTGCGAACAGAATCTGCAGGAGACGATGATGCTGAAGCAGAAGTTCTTGGAGACCAAGGCCAAGCGCCAGGCCAAGAAGTCAGAGAAGAAGACTGAGCCGCCCCCGACGGCCTCCATGGGCCACCTTCACAGCCAGGTAAAGAAAGAGACATTTTAATAACGCCGTCCCTCGAAGGCACACGCGTTCGCCTGTTTGTTTGTTTTGGACCGGCGAGCGCGAGAGAGCCAACCAGTCGTGTTCACAGGTGGCCAAACGACCCCACTACTACCTCCGTCCACAGATTTAGCCCGTTTGGTACTCTTTTTTTCCAAAGTTAACAATCAGATTTATTGCCAAGCTTCCAAAATTTCAATTGAAGAATCAAATTTCAGAGATTGTTTGAAAGGTTAAGAATTTAAGTTTTTTTTAATGCCTAAAATATAAAGTTTTTTATATATATATTATATAATGTCAATGGTGATAAGGCTTTAGTTGATTTTTTCCTATTTATTCATTCTTTTTTTCAAATTATTACAAAAATTTTGTAGCGAATAGTTTCTGCATAATAAGTGCCCGCAGTTATAAAAATTGCTTTAATAGTAATTCTACCTTCTATTTATTTAAGAAAGATAATAATGCAGAACTGAATGAATTTTTATAGACTATTTATTACAAGAACAAGAACTTGTTAAATAATGTGAATGTTTTTTTTATAATTTAGAAATTCATTTCTTTCGCCATATTAAATATCATGCTATGGTACTTCCAAACGTGTCAATCTTGATATGGTTCCACTTCGATTGCAAAAATATTACATTATATTTTTCCAAAATTTGCAGTTTTACACGCTTTCGGTGCTCACTTGAAACTGTGACGTCATCGACTGAAAAAAAATGAACGGTCCGGAATTTTTTGCTTATTCCTTAATTTTTATCTATACATGGTTCAATATCAGCTGGCCAGCAGGAAGTTGGTCCTAGTTCCTATTTTGGACGTTACAATAAGACGCATTTTCAAGAACAAAAATTTCTTGGAGATAAGTAAAAGTGATTTTGCCATGTGTATCGCGCGATTGCAAGCTGGAGTCGAAAAATCAGACGTGAGTCGCGTTTCCTGCTGATTATCAACTCTTGTAAAGAGTAGATTTTGTAGACAAGGAAAGAATTAGAAATGAATTGAAATTTGTACAAAACATATTAAATGAATTAATTAATATGGTACATTATACTACACCCAATTTTATCTTTTGACTTTAAAAAATGAAATTTTAATTTTTAATCAATTGCATGTAATGAAATGATGGACAAATAAACAACAATTATAACAAATTTAATAGTGAAAAAACTCATGTTTAAGTTAAAAAAGATGAAATTAGATTGAAGAAATTGACACTCAAGATGATCAAGGAATTGAAGAAATCGGGCTTTTCCTCGTTGTAAAAATGTTGTTTATTCTACTCTAGTCAAAATTAAATTGTTTTTATTCGAAAACAAAACGGCTCCACCAGTTTCGGTCACGGTCTGTGACCCGATTTCAGGAGCAAGAAATCAGCAAAATTGATAATACACCACTGGTAGAGCCATTTTGTTTTTGAATAAAACTTCTTCAATTCCTAGATAAAAGTTCGATTTTGTTTATCACTCATGATTTTTAATAAATCATTCTTTCCGCCGTTTTCTGCATGTATTTGTCCTCCAGCTTCTCAACCAAAGTAGCCATAAAATAAGAACTCGAGGCGAAGGAAGTGAGAAATATGCTTTGAGGCGGGGGAGTGCGTCCTCTCTTTCTCGTCTCCTTGTGTTTTGGGCGCAAGACGCTCTTTTCTCGCTGGCCGATATCTCACTTTATTTCTTTCTCTTCTCGTTCTGCTGCCCCGTTCGTTCTTTCTTCTTCAGTCCAGCAGCAGCGCGCAGAGATAACTTGTTGTTGTTTGGTGCGTTCATATGAGATAGATAGTTCGGCTTGGCAACGCGGCGCGAAACCTGCCGCAGAAGCCGCGCCGCCGAGCGGCCCCCCGACGCCCTCCTCTCTTGCTGAGAAATAATAAATAAAATAATGCATAGTGAAGGGAAGCATCGAGAGCGTGCTATCGGTCTTTTGTTTCAAATGCTTCAAAATATTATAGGAAAAATATCCGCACATAATCAAAACTGTGCATCAGAAGAACATTTTTTAAACATTTCCAAAAGTTTTTGTAAAAAGGACAAAATTTGCAATATTAGCGAAATTTTATTTGATTTTTCTAACAGTTTGTTCTAGTGAACAATAATTAATAAAGTCATTAACCTAAAATCATGGCCTAATCAATGCTAATGCTGTGGTTATCATTATTTTTTGTATTACTTTTTTAATATTTTTTAAATTTTTTCCCCTTTATGATTTTTAAATGTAACAAACTTTGTGATATTTTTTTTTTAAATTCGGCAATCTGTATCGCTCCATGTTTGCTTTGTATAATTTGTATTCAATTATGTCTGGCTGTGCAAAGAGAATGTCCCTCCCGTCACTTATTTTGGAGAAATGACTTTGAGGAAGCTGCTTTTTTGCAACAAACACACACACACTCATGCCTTGGTTGCGCGAGAGAGGAAAGATTTTGTACACGAGCTAATTGTATGTCAACCTCGCTCAACGTAACAACAATAATTTTTAAATCTACGGTTTGAAATGTACAGTTTTTACGTCTAATCAGAATAAAGCAATTCAGCTCAGGGAAAGCAAAAACTGCTGTGAAATAAAAATTGATCAAGTTGCTTTTCAAAAATTACAGCAGCCCTGAAAGGCGTAGACTGATCTAGCCAGTGAGATCACTCAATTTAGATAAATTGAAAAAAAATTATAATGAAGCAAGAAGAATAAATTATTAAAAATTAAATAATACAAAATCAATCAGCTGTTAGTTTAATAGTTAAATTAAAAGCCTTATTAACTAAAATATATTTTTTATCTTGAATTATTTTTATGAAGAACTCGAGCGTTTTCCTCGTTTTAAAATATTTATATTAAAAAACAAATGGCTCTACCAGTTTCTGTCACGGTCTGCGACCCTATTTCATGAGCAAGAAAAATATAATTATAATAAACTGATTATTTGTATTTTTCTTGCTCATGAATTATGGTCGCAGTCCGTGACCGAAACTGGCTGAGCCATTTGTTTGTGAATAAAAACAATTTTTTACAACGAGGAAAAGCCCGATCTCTTCATTTCCATGATCATCCCCTTGAGTATCAATTTTTTCATTTTATGTTAGCAAAAATAATACTCACAAAAAAACTACTGAATTGGGCTTTTTCCTCGTTGCAGAAATTGTTTTTTATTAGGAAAAATTTGGCTTTTTTTGAATAAAAAACAATTTCTGCAACGAGGAAAAAGCCCGACTCATTCATTTCCATGATCATCTCCTCGAGTGTCAACTTCTTCAAACAAATAAAAAAACTAGATTTAAATTTCATTCGGAATGATGGATTCGGGCTTGTCCTCATTGTAAAAATGGTTTTTATTCAAAAACAAAGGCCAGCTCTAACATTCATCACCTCGAGTGTCAACTTCTTCAAATTAAATTTCATCATTTAATTTAATTGGCAAATTTAGATTTGCTTCATAGATGAATTGGCTTAGGAATTTTTTTTCGTTCTAGTTATTTTTGTAGCAAAACAATAAATTGTCAATATAGCAGCAGCTCATTTCCATACGAAATTAAAATTAGCCTGGGTTTTTAGAACGCGCTTTTCTTCTTCTCCGGCACGATCGGACGCTTATAACGTCCCGCGGCGGCAGTTTTGTTTTTTCATTTTGCATCTCTTCAGCGGCAGTGCAACGCAAGCGACGTCGCCGTTTTATTATTTGAAAATAATTACCATGTTGCCAAGAGCGAGAAAGACTAAATAAATTTAGACGAGTTCAACACGTGAGCCAGTTAAAACGCGCGGTGAGAAATCCGACGGCGAATTTCAGACTCCATTCAGATTTTTTTTATCACTCATTGATGAAGAAAAATTATAAAAATCATTAGACATGCAAGTTATGAATTTCAGGACGAAAGAAAAATTGATCAAGTCTGCATATTGATCGAGTTGGTCGGAATTTCGGCCGTTTTGCATTTTTGTCCGGGCGAGAGCGAGAGACCGACCGCGAGTTTGACGTCACATGGAAACGTCATCGTGCGCCGCTTTTGTTCACCTTTGCTCGCCGCTGCAACAACAGGTGGCACGGGGATAACAAGCGCAGGCACCGCTGCTCTCAGAAAATAATCATGCAAATCTGCGCAATCGCGACCGGAAACTTCCGCGGATTAGTTCAATAAAAGCTGACGCTTATAAGTTGGCATAATTGTAGAATTAAATAAACAGTGAAGTAGTGAAAATAAAAACATTGTAATAATGATAATAAATGTACTGGGAATGGTAATGTTACGCGCGACGTGTTTTTTCATAGGTTGGCAACACTTGTGCTCCCATGTAAAAGTATCACGTCGCGCGTTCAATAGTGGTTTTACGTCGCGCATACAATACTGGTGGCGGTAAAATTGATAAGAAAACCGATTATTCCATCGATACCTCGGCAACATGTATAGCACGCGCGACGCAATTCTTTTCCTACAATCTTAATGTAGGGGACTGCTAGGAAGAATAGGGGCCCTTGGGATGGGTTCAGAATGGGGCAAGACGACCTCTGGAGGGCCGTGCGCACCCTTATTGCAGGCGCGACGTTTGTCTATGGGACGCGCAACGGGCCGTAAATCCAGTGTGAGGGTCAAAGCGAACTCCGGAAGGCGCATTTCACCACCGTCGGAGGCGCGACGCATGCTTTTAGGACGCGCGACGCACGATTATAGGACTCGCGACAGGCACGGCAAATTAATTGAAAGGTGTTGCACGTGGCCGGAGTTGTGGGCACCCCACGAAGCAGCAACTCGGAGGTGGGCAACCCCCAAGATTAATTTTTGCAGCTCGGGCTCGAGGCGCGCTCGCCCGAGAACGTGGTGAAGGCCGGCTCCGGGCGGGACAAAAGGGCGGGGTTCGTGAGGGGGCTCCAGACTTAATTTATATTTTAAACAGTTTTCAATTAAGAACACAGATATTGTCTAATAAAAAAAGAAACTGATAAGTCCAATCCTGTTTTCTTTTTGTATGAATTGTTGCGAGATAATTAAATT